TGCGAATGGTGCCTGCCCGCATGGGATGCTATGTGAATGGGAACACGGCGAGATCAATGCGAATGGGGTATGCTTGCGAGTGGCCTGACCAACATCATGGGAAGACCGAGAGGAACTGCGAGTGGTGCCTGCCCGCATGGGCTGCTATGTGAATGGGATCACGGAGAGAGATCAATGCGAATGGGGTATGCTTGCGAGTGGCCTGACCAACACATGGGAAGACCGAGAGGAACTGCGAGTGGTGCCTGCCCGCATGGGCTGCTATGCGAATGGGGAACACGGAGAGATCAATGCGAATGGGGTGTGCTTGCGAGTGGCCTGACCAACACATGGGAAGACCGAGAGGAACTGCGAATGGTGCCTGCCCGCATGGGCTGCTATGCGAATGGGATCACGGAGAGAGATCAATGCGAATGGGGTGTGCTTGCGTGGCCTGACCAACACATGGGAAGACCGAGAGGAACTGCGAGTGGTGCCTGCCCGCATGGGCTGCTATGCGAATGGGATCACGGAGAGAGATCAATGCGAATAGGGTGTGCTTGAGTGGCCTGACCAACACATGGGACGACCGAGGGGAACTGCGAATGGTGCCTGCCCGCATGGGCTGCAATGTGAATGGGAACACGGCGAGATCAATGCGAATGGGGTATGCTTGAGTGGCCTGACCAACATCATGGGAAGACCGAGAGGAACTGCGAGTGGTGCCTGCCCGCATGGGCTGCTATGTGAATGGGATCACGGAGAGAGATCAATGCGAATGGGGTATGCTTGCGTGGCCTGACCAACACATGGGAAGACCGAGAGGAACTGCGAGTGGTGCCTGCCCGCATGGGCTGCTATGCGAATGGGGAACACGGAGAGATCAATGCGAATGGGGTGTGCTTGCGAGTGGCCTGACCAACACATGGGAAGACCGAGAGGAACTGCGAATGGTGCCTGCCCGCATGGGCTGCTATGCGAATGGGATCACGGAGAGAGATCAATGCGAATGGGGTGTGCTTGCGAGTGGCCTGACCAACACATGGGAAGACCGAGAGGAACTGCGAGTGGTGCCTGCCCGCATGGGCTGCTATGTGAATGGGAACACGGAGAGAGATCAATGCGAATAGGGTGTGCTTGAGTGGCCTGACCAACACATGGGAAGACCGAGGGGAACTGCGAATGGTGCCTGCCCGCATGGGCTGCTATGTGAATGGGATCACGGAGAGAGATCAATGCGAATGGGGTGTGCTTGCGTGGCTTGACCAACACATGGGAAGACCGAGAGGAACTGCGAGTGGTGCCTGCCCGCATGGGCTGCTATGCGAATGGGGAACACGGAGAGATCAATGCGAATGGGGTGTGCTTGCGTGGCCTGACCAACATCATGGGAAGACTGAGGGGAACTGCGAATGGTGCCTGCCCGCATGGGCTGCTATGTGAATGGGATCACGGAGAGAGATCAATGCGAATGGGGTGTGCTTGCGTGGCCTGACCGACATCATGGGAAGACCGAGAGGAACTGCGAGTGGTGCCTGCCCGCATGGGCTGCTATGCGAATGGGATCACGGAGAGATCAATGCGAATGGGGTGTGCTTGAGTGGCCTGACCAACATCATGGGAAGAACGAGAGGAACTGCGAATGGTGCATGCCCGCATGGGCACATCGAAGACGCGTTCATTTCACTTTTTCCTTCCTGACCTGTTCCGTTTCTCCTCCCGCAGGTGTGGACGACACGATGGTGGTTTTCGACGGCCCTTCAGGATTTGGCGTCTGCTGTATTGGGTTAGTGCGGTATGGGTGGTAAGGCCTGGCGTCGGCGTCTTACTTCTGCATACATGCACGTAGGGCATGAGGCATCTGCTTGGGCATTACGTTGCACTAGGCTGGTCTACCGGTGTCTGCAGCAAGCATGGGCATTACACGGACAATCCTGTGAGGCGTGCTCGCCTCACAAGTCGGCCTTCCCTTGCGCCCTCCTTCCCTTGCCGCCTCCTTCCCTTGCCACCTCCTTCCCTTGCCGCCTCCCTTGCCGCAGGGTTCGGAGAGCGCCCTGCTGCTGTAGAGGACCTCGGCTGCTCAAGTGAGGCGGCGTGGGTGCGGCGTCTGAGGTCAGCACAGGAGAGGGGAGGTGAGTTGATTATGGTCAAAGGGTGCATATCTGGGCAGAACGGGATGCATGGGAGCGCACAGCCGCCGCCCCAGCCCCAACCGGAACAGCAGCCAGTCAGTCAGAGTCGACTTCGGAGAACCAGATCAGCTTCAGTCTCAGCCATCAGCCTCAGTATCAGCCATCAGCTTCAGCAGTCTCAGCCATCAACCCTTTGCGACACCCAGCTAACCAGCAACAGCAACAGCTTCAATGGGGTTTGGGGCGGCGTGCGTCGTGTGTTGTCGTACGTTGGCCGCTTGCAAGCATCCATTGTCCCTTGTACCCTTCCCTTGTAAATGACATGCCGTTCCCTGCCCCTACTGTCCGCCCCTACTGCTGGGGCCCTGCTTGCTCGACGGCGGTTGCTGCGTTGCATGAGGACGCTGACGAGCAGTTGCAACGTGTAGGAAGATGGAGGCGTACGGGGCGTTACTGCCGACAAGGACGTGAAGTTGATGTAAGTAGAGGGCTGCTTGTGGGTTGCGGAGCATAACAACGAGCAGGGGATTTTTCAGGGATTGTTGCTCGTCCAGGCATATGCCCCTCCAGCCCCAGCCGCCGCAGCAGCCTTTCAGCAGCCTCGAAGCTTCAGAGCCAGGTCAGCCCCAGCCTTTCTGTCAGCCGGCAGCCAGCACCACAGCGCGCACCGCAGCAGCAGCAGCCAGCAGTGAATGCGCTTGGCCTCAAGGGGTCTTTAGTCATTGTGTGTTGCTTCATACATGGGTTTGTGGTTTCCGACTGATGTCAGTAACATGAACAACCGACATACGTGCGTGACCCACGGGCCATCCATGTACACGTTCCGGCCTCGTTGGGGTTTTTTTGGGGGTTTTGTCCTTATGCTTGAAGGTATCCTTGAAGGGCTTGATTAGTGGCTGCTATCGTGCTTTTGGAGATGGCCGCAAATAAAGTCCTTCAGGGTCTAGCTGTCTAGACCGTGGCTTGCAAGGGCATGTAGCCGCTGTCTGTCAGCTGTTATGTATGGTCATGTAAAAGTCGCTTCCTTCCCTCCCCTCCCGGCGGAAGCTGTGGAAGGGAGGGAACTCTTGCATGGCACGTGTTGCACGGGAAGAGGTCTTTATAGTACTGGCCAGGCCTGTCTTGCGGATTTCCGGGCCCAAAAACTTCAATGCAGGAATCGAAATCAGCACCAAACCGAACTTAGAGCGCTACATACGGTGATGAGCACAGCAGCTTAAGATTACCGATTGATGCTCTCCCCACAGCATGGCGTGTGCTACGTCGTTGCCTAGGCACCTCCCCAACTCATAGGCATCATTCTCGGCAGACAATCGCGGGGTTGCACACGTACCTCACAGAATGAGCTGAAAGTCGCGAAGTGCCGTACACTTGTGCCGTACAACAAAGGGCATCTCATCAGACAATCCGGTGGCCTTATGAACACAAGCAGGCAGCAAACGCAAGAAGAAGAACGTTCAAGGTGTTCAGAGACACCGGTATAGGCTACATCCGGATACAAAAGGCCACTGTTGGCAGCAGGGTACCTTAGGTAGTACCCTCGAAGCAACGACATTACACTCTTATCGTACAAGCAACTAGCGACGATCCCGTACACACTATCTATCAGGTTACCTCCACATACTGCCCAGCCCAGCCACCACCACACACCACCACTTCCTCAACTATGTTACAACACGACACCAGCGGTACAACACATGTTGCTGCTTCCACCTCAACTCTCCATACAATCCTTCACACGTCTTCACACTAAGAGAGGATTACGCCAGCTTACTAGGTATAGGCATATTGAGACAATGCCGTACAACACATACCGGTATCATTAGCAATGACTTGACAACAACCAAGTCGTCGTCACACATCACGACAAGGGGACGAGAGTACAAAGCATTGGCAATTCGGTTTCAGAACACCCCAGACACGTTGCTTTCATGCACACAAACACAAACACAACCTCTCCGCAACCAGAAACGCCTCCTTCACTCCAGGCAATATGCCGTTTCAGCTCCTTCCTCTCCCCCGTGTCTCTCACTCGGCCTACCTTCGTCGGTTCATCTTTTCTTCGACGCTTCCCAAGCGCGTTCCAGGGTACCGCCACATATCGTACATCACCCTTTGCCCTACCGTACAATTCCGCTCCTACCGTATACAAACCGTATAACGTACAACGCAGGGGCGAGCGCAGGCCGAATGTCAGCCCATTCGCGCTCTCTCCCAGCAACGCATCCGTTCTCCACGCTTGAGCTCGGGTCCCGACCGGCAAAAAGCGTATTGCTCCTCGCACAACGCACAGTTGATTCATCAAAGGTAACAAACACCTCGCCAAGTGCTTGACTGCAAAAGAATACATTCTCGTCCCTCCGGTTTCACTTGTGAGCATCATCTCCCCTCTTCTTAACACATACCCGTAACTGCACAACACGAAGCTTATCCAGTACATCCTTACCACGACACGTGACAATGTCGCTTCCACGGAAACACACACACACACAGCCCTGCAAGACACTCCCTGCAGGCCAACAGACAAGGGGAGCCTCCCCTGCTCCCCAAAGCCCAGCCACGCATGTAAGCACCCTCTCACACACCCTACACTCGTACTTGCACCCCTCCCACCTCGCACACCCTTGCCTCTATGTCCCGCCTGTACCCACCTCCCATTTACCCCTGCCCTTAGCCCCTTACCCCTGCTGCTGCAGCTGCAGCACGCAAAACAGCCTGAGCACTCCACCACTCGTCAGCGCACCGCCGCTCTCCCACCACGTGGACTCCAATCCCCGCAGCCCGCTCCACCACTCCCACTGCACCCGCCCGCCCGCCACATCATCACCCCCACCACCACCATGCCCGCCACCCCCGCCCGCCGCCGCCCCCGCTCCCACGCCGCCTGCCCGCACGGTTTCATGCGTCCTGGTCAGCACGCAGGGCGACTGTACGACATGCCATGCAGTCTTCCCTGCCGCATCCACCAGGCCCAGCGTACAGCTGCCGATGGTGAGGGAGGCGTGCAGGGCGGAAGCGAGGGAGGGGGGTGAGGTGGAGGTGGAGGCGGCGGATGGGAAGGGGGCTTGAAACAGCATGAGGCTTTGGTCTTCTTCCGCAGGGCCGGAGGGCGGGGTGCACACAAGGCCTACTTGAAGCTGCATCCGGGTGGGGTCTTGCAGCAGGTGGGAGGCGGCGGATGGCGGTGCCCTTGACGCCGTGGAAAATGATGACATGGAGGAAGAGGCGGCGGAGGAGGAGGAGGCAGGGGCGAAGCGGGTTGCGAGGTGCCAGTTGTATCCGCCCAAGAAGACCGGCGGGCTGAGCAGCGGGGTGGAGGTGGTGGAGCCGCGGAGGGTGGGGCCGCCCACACCTGAGGAGTGAAGGGAGGTGTAGGGAGGGCTTGTGGAGGGGGGAGGGGAGGGCGATAACGTGTGCAAGGGAGCTATGTAGCTGCTATACCCCCGGCATGAGCTCCTACTGTTGCAGGAGCGCGGCTAGCATCAAAAGAAAGTCCGCTACAAGATCACTACGTCCATGCATCCCTACCCGTGAGGTGAATCCGCACGTCTCGGATGTCCCGACACCACTCGATGCGTCGGAGCACGTTGTACGGCTGACGAGGTGGCAACAACGGCAGTACGGCAACGGCCGACGGCTGCGACTGTGCAGCTGAGGCCACTGTGGGCGGCGACTGTAGCGCCGTTCCCATGCTTCCGCTTCCGCTGCTGCTACTACTGCGGCCAGACCGCAGCGCTTGCCGCTGTTGCTGCTGCTGCTGCGGGTCATCGCAGCAGCCCGAGGTATCGTCCAGAGCGCCCGGCAACGTGGCCACGGCAGCAGCAGCAGCAGCAGCATCCGCTAGGGCGCTTAGCTCGGTACTTGAGGCACTGCCGGCACGGCTGAGTGACATGGGCGTGGCAGCCGGAGTGGGATTGGCGGTGCTGGGCCGGGAGCAAGGCAGTGACCCACGGGACGAACAGAGCGGTGACCCACGGGTCATCATGCCGCCGCCGCCGCTACTACTGGTGGAGGAGCTGCTCGAAGTGGCACCACCCGTCGAGGTCGTCGTCGTCTCGATATTCAAAGGGCATGCGAGGCCGTCGTCTGTGAGATGCGAATGCTGCTGCTGCTGCTGTGGCGGCGATGGCGGTGGGGTCTGCTCCGCAGCCCCGATAGCGGCTATTGCCGCGGCTGGCGTGGGGAGTGACGGTAGCACGGGGTAGACGCCAGGTTGAGATGCTTGAGACGCGTTGGAGGGCTCGACACGCGTTGCGGGGGCGGCTCCAGGGACCGGATCCGCGGTGGGGGTAGCAGCAGTGGGCGAACGGAGCGCTGGTACGTCGCTCTCAGCTGCGGCAACAGCGGCGGCGGCAGCGGCGGCGGCAGCAGCAGCCTCCGCCTCCGCCAGAAGCTGCTGGTGCAGCCTGAGAGGGGGGAAAGAGAGGGCATGTGTGCGAAGGGAAAGAAGGGGCGAAGTGCGGTGTGTCTGCAATCTGGGTCACGGGTGAAGAGCAAACATGGGATGCAAGACGCAACAAGAACAACGAAAGTGACTATACTCCCATACTCCCCTCCATTCCTTCCACGACGGCCCCCCCATTCCCGCACTCCTCCTCACCTAAGCCTCCTCAGCACCGGCAGCCCGGGCGCCACCGCCGTACGGAAGTGCGCTGTCAGGCTGCCGTACCGCACCTGCCGCAGCAGCTCCTCCACCTCCACGGGGGCTGTGGTGACAGCGGCGGCGGACGTGGGCTGGCGGGCCTTCATACCGGCGCTCATGCTGCTGCTGCCACCGCCACCACGGGGCGCATCATCAATCCCAGCAGTAGCAGCAGGAGGTGCTGCCTTACCCCCTCCTCCTCCGGTAACAGGGAGGGGTGGGCCCGACCCGGCAGCGTCAGCAGCGCCTAGCGCCCCAGGGCTAGCAGCCGCGGTCCCGGCAGGAGCCTCGTTGCCGCCACCACCACCGCTGCAGCATGGGTTGCCGCTGCTGCTGCTGCTTGAGAAGCATGTGTGGCTGTTGCTGCTAGTGCTGTTGCTGCTGCTGCTGTCGGCAGTGGCTGACATGCATGGCTGGGCGCTGTTATCAGAAGCAGCAGCAGCAGCACTGGCTGGCTGCTCGGGCTGTGGCCCGGGCCCCTCCTGCTGCGTCTCGAGCTCGGCATGGCCATGCTCCGCCTCCCACCCCTCTCCCCCCTCCCCCTGCTCCCCCTCCTCCTCCTCCGGCATGTTGTGTGACAGCCAGGCTGCCAGCAGCGCCAACACAACATTCTCCGATGTCACCTGAGGGAGGGAAGGAGGAAGGTAAGCATCGGCTTGTGTAGAGATCCAGGGACGTGCGAGGACACAGACCCTGACCCATGGGTCATAGGACGCAGCAGCACCGAGAGGGCGGTAGCAAGTGGGCGGTACTTTGTACCGGTACCACCCCATGCCCTCCAGCTCCCCATACACCCCTCCTCCTCCTCCCAATCTCCCCGCACCTGCAGATCCTGCCGCCCCACCAGCAGCGCCGCCAACCGCTCGGGCGGCAGGGCCAGCAGCAGCTGCCGCTGCTCCGGCTCGTCCCACACCATCTCCGGGCACCTTGGGCGGGCGAGGGCGGGAGAGTGGGGACGCAAGGTTAGCCGGGTACCGCCACACATATACCCTAACCCTTGCCTTCCCCACACCGGCACCCTCACCCGTCCATCCCCCTCCCCCCCCCACCTGAACGTCCTCATCAGCGCCGTCTCCGCACGGCACTGCAGCTGCGCCAACAGCGGGTTAGCCGCCGCCAGCCCGCCCGGCAGCCCCGCCAGCGCCGCGCGCACCCGCCAGCTGAGGCTGCTGGCGGGGGTGGCCTGCAGCGCGGCGGCGCAGGCGGCGGCGCAGTCGGGCAGCAGCCAGCGGTCCGCCAGCAGCAGGCAGCGCAGCAGCTGCTCGTCGTCGTCGATACCGTCCAGGGTCTGGAGAAGCGGGGGGGGGGAGAAAGGAGGGAGCGGGCGGGAAGGAAGGAGAAGGTGGGTCGGTGGGGATGCGGTGGGAGGTAGCATGCTACGCTGCTCCCCTGCCCGTGCAACCCCTACCGTACATTGCGTACAGGGTTTGTGACCCCATCACCGCCCACCCAAGTCCCTTTCCCCCATACCGGCACCAAACGCATGTCGCCTTGTGCCTTTCTTCCTAGCCCCTCCCTCATCCTCCCCAAAACCATGCAGCTCCCGCCCCCTTCCCCCCGCCTCCCCCCCCCAGCTTTGTGTACCTGTGTTATCATTATATATTTTGTACCCCACCTGTGTGTACATGAACCGCACCACCGCCAGTCCCGCCGACAGCTCCCCCGCACCCACATCCAACACCAGACGGTGGGAAAACCGCGGCCGCTGCTGCTGCCGCCGCCGCTGGCGCTGTTGCTGCTGCCGCTTTTCCGGCTGCGTCCCTAGCCGCTGCCGGCACCGCTGACAGAGCTGTTGCTGCTGCTGCTCGTCCTCCTGTCCCCCGTTTCCCCGCTGGCGGCCTTGATCCTCATCCTCCATGTCCCCTCCGCCCTCCTCCATGCCGCCCTCCTCCTCCCCTTGCTCCTCCTGCTGTTGCTGCTGCTGCCCCCAGCGGCTGAGCCAGCTGTGCAGCATCTCAGAGCTGCTGGCCAGGATGACGGAGTGAGCCTTGGGGGAGAGGGGAAAGGGACATGAGAAGGGGAAGGAAATTGGAGCGCGGGAAGGAGCGGGAATGGGGGCACGGGAAGTGGATTAGGGTCGGGGACTAGGGTGCGATGCGCCGAGGGCAACAGCAGCAATAACCCATTGTTGTACTGTAGCTAGGGCATAATGATACTAAGAGAGAAATAAGTGTAGCAAGATGACGCCACGGTAAAAGGGAGGGCATAAACGGATGGCGAGGCGGGTTGTAATAGTGGGCAGGGAAAGAAGTTCCATTTGGGTCAGACCTAGCAGCAGCGTTATGAAATGCAACGCACGAATATGTAATAACAGCAATGGAAACAACGCTGCTGAAGGAGGGGCGGGGCGCCGTGACAGGATGTTCAGGATAAGGCATAGGTGCATTTGGCCAAGCCCGTAAGTGATTGCAGCCTTGCGGCTAAACAGGATAGGTGCAAGCACGATGCCCTAGGATACAGGCATTTCAGCTTACGTAAAGTTGGATTTCATCAAAAGGAGGCGCGGAGGCGTTGTGGTCGCTCCCGCGCGTGACGCACGTTGTGGATGGCACTTTGGGGCTCCCGCCTTCTGGCACCAGCCCTGTCTCTCTTGCGAGGCCATGAATGGAATTTGCTAATAATGAAATAGACGAGGACTGGTTTCTTGATGTTGAGCGGTCAAGCCCAGAGTTGACGAGCGCGGCGCCGCGGCTGCGACGGTCCATGTCCGCCCTGCAGCAAACGCCTTGGAGCTCGCTGCTGGAAGTCTGGTGTGAGGTGCTACCTCCAACATGGTAAGGAAGTGGACCAGGCAGACCGCTGCTCACGGTTTGAGGGGCTCGCAGGATGAGGACGGTGTCGCTGAAAGAAATGTTGTTGAATAGCCATGCGAAATTGCTGGCCATGGCGACCAGAAGCTGTTTGTGGTCTGGGGTTACTAAGTAATAACTTTTACAGGATGGTAGGTGCGAGCGCAGAAGGTGGGGATTCCTTGTTCTGGTGGTAGTTTGCCGCGGGTGTGGCTAGTCGCAAGGCGTTCGCGTCTTGTAGAACGTATAGTCGTTACTAAAAGAAATATACTGTAGTAAGCGCCTCGTAACTGAGCATAAGTCCAGTCACCATTTGATTGAATTTACTTGAACCCTAAAAGACCATGACGTCCGAGCTACCCAAATGCTCTCCTAAAAATACGTTGGTTGAAGTTGCAATCATATTCCTAGTCCAAGTCTTGCTGCGCCAAAGTTGTGGCCTCAGGAAAACCTGTTATCAGTATACGACTGACGCTCCGAAGACACTCGCGCCTTCCATCAACCGACGCACCCAACCCATGTCCAGAGATGATTATTGGAGCAACGATGTTCGCTTACAGAAAGATGCTATATGCCTATGCATAAGGACTGAGAATTGGAGGTTTGAGCAACCGGCAGTCCAAGGCAAACCGCCTGCCACCCCTCCGTTCACCGCCAGAGGCATTGTACGACTACCCCGGCACGGGGGTAGCGGCGGTCATGCACGTTGCTTGTTCTCTGTGGAACGTAAAGAGTTTGTTAGATTTCAAGAATTTCAAGAAGACGTCATATTAGATAACAATGGCGCTCAAGACACCTTCCGCCAGCATTCTAACTCCTGCCTCTTCAACCCTTGAACTGGGAGTACAAACCAAGACGGCATCGCGATGGTGATGTGAAGAGCACTGTAGATCCGGCTACGGGCGTAAAGTCATATACGCTGTATGCACAACCTCGCAAGGTACATAAATATACCGGTCAGCCGATATATTTTGGCGTGAGTTTCTTTGAGCCCTATCCACAGTTCTTCGAGGCAATCCACCAGCAGCTAACCAACACCGGTGCCTCGGCTCTCGGAGACAGCAAGGAGGAGTGCGCTGTTTTAGTGCCTAACTCCGACCTCCCGGACGGCGTGGGCATTGTACATGACGGCAAGCTCAGCCTTCCGCTGGTGGGAGACGCCAGTATCGAATGTGGAGAGCACTACACGCTCGTCGCGACCCGGAGCATGCCAGCAGCTGACTTTGAAGCCATCTTCGCGGAGCTGATTGCGAACAGCAGCATACCCTGCGAAATGAAGGCAGGAGCAGCGCCAGTGGACCTCCAGCTGGACAGGGACCGTAACCCGGCGGACAAGCTCACCTGCGCCGCAATGATGGCCCTGGACGCCCTCAGCAGGGAGGCGACTGACCCCAACGTACAGTGGTTTGCAACGCTGTACGCCCTTCACCTGCGGGCGACGGATATGGACTTCGAGGACTTGCTTGGATTCGGGCCTCTTGCTAGCATGGCCGCGGCTGCCCTGGAGGCATGGACTGTGGAAGACGGCTTCCTCATGGCGAGCGCATGCGAGGCTCAGGACCGCTTGGCCGAAGTACTGGAGTGGAAGCTCACCCGGCCAGCGTACCAGCCGCCCTGGGTAAGCTACATGACAGGCTGTCATTGACAGCTTCGCTTACCCCGCAGCCCTAGTGCTAGTCTTACAGGGTGCTTTGTGTTCCGTTGAGTGAATTGTTTTGGTTATCTTGGGTGTGACAGGGAATCGAGTGGCACCGTGAGCTTCACACGCGCCTCTTTCCATCCTGCATCTTCCTCAGGTCCACCCCTTCCAGTTCCTTTCCGATGAGTACTCGGATGAGCTGTTTGATGAAGAGGTCAAGGTGTGCGCACTGGCTTTTGTGGGCGATGAGGATCTCAAGGAGAAGGTGAAGAAGGCAGCAAAGGACCTGTTCGAGTTGCTGGCCTCAGACCCGCACCGGGTCATGATCAAGAGCACGCTGCAGCACCGCGGAGTGACGTTCCGGATAGAGTGCGCCAAAGGAAAGGGTGCGCCTCCCCCCGCAGACGCCTACCACAAGACCTAGTGCGGCAACAGTACGGTGATGATGCGAGCCGCGATGAGATAGTTTAGGCGGTTGAGTTGTATTAAGAAAGTTTAGGCGCTTCTGCTCGTCGCTAATGTACTGCGATGCAAAGGTTTTCGCGGACTCGCTGTAGGTCAGCGGCGCTATGAGGCCCACCACCAGGTGTAACACGACGGGCAGCAGGATGACGAGCAGCTGGTGTGGCTAGTCGCAAGGCGTTCGCAGTCTTGTGGAAAGTATTTTCGTTTAGGAAATAAATTATACTGTAGTAAGCGCCACGTAACTGAGCATAAGTCCAGTCCACATTTATTTAAACTTACTTGGACCCTAGCATACTATGACGTCCAAGCTACCCAAATGTTCTCCTGAAGATACGTTGGTTTACGTTGCAATCATATTCATGCAAAATCTGTAGATTTTGAAGTCACGCGTTTAATATTTCGCCCAGGGACTGCTACTGTACGATGATAAATTTTAGCTCCGGAACCGTCCAGGAAGGATAGCACGAAACAAAGCGAAACCAATTGGAAACGTCGATATATGGCAAGGGGTATGAACGTATGAAAAGAGCAACGCCACATACGAATAGTATGTGGAGAACGACGTAGGAAGGTGCGTGCCGAGCTTTGGACACGACAGCAGGGAAGCTCACGACACACAATGCAAGGCCGAGTGTAGGCAATGTGGTTTAAGGCGGCGCGGAGGAAGGGCAGTACGCCGGAAACGTGAATGGGCAGGGAAGGCTTGTTACTGCCTGAGAAGCGGCACAGAGGAACGTGAAACACAAGAGAGCATTGTAGTATTGTACACCTGAATAGCACAAAGGTGTTATGTAACAACATTAACGGATGCGTGCTGGTGCACTCGTCATCCAAGCGCATGCTCATAACACTGACACGTTGCAAATGCTTTTTTCAATATTATGTCAACAAGAGCGGACGAGCATTAAACGAAAACGAATAGTCGCACGGAGAGCTGATCGCCGACGTTAGAGGTCAAGCTCGGCAATGCCATTAGCTGAGAAGTGTGCACCTTGCGCTGCGAAGGCTTCCCACCCTAGTCCCCACAGCGCTGTCTGCTTTGGAACAGATCTGTCAGGACGCGACCTCCGCAATATGCACGAGGCTATGGCTTCCTACATGGCTGGTGCAGCAACCCCGCGGTCCCCCCCCCCAACCCCAGCAACTACAGCTTCACGAGGCCGACACTCCCCGTGTTCACGCACGCATCGTCCTCGTCGACCCCATCCGCAACGACCTCCTTACTGACACCCCCATCAAACCCGGTGTCCCACCCCCTTACCTCCGCCTACCCCAAAACATGCTACCCTCCCCTGAAGACACTCCGGACCAGGAACAGCCCTTCCTCATCCTTGCATACACCCTGCTTGCTGAGCTCCGGCATGGTCTACAACCCCCCCGGAGCTTGCTTGTCACTGGCGAGGCAGGCAGTGGCAAGAGCCAGTGCATCCTTGCACTTCTCTGGTTTGCTTTCCAGCACGATGCCAGCGACCTCTTTGCTGTCGTCAGCTACACTTGGCGTGCTGCCCTCCAGGTGCGCTTCCTCACTCCCTGCAAGCTCGCACTGCTTCCCCTGCCCCCCACTCCCTGTACGCTCGCTGACATGTCTTCCATCTCATCCGCGGCCTCCTACAGATCACAACTGACGCCAACGTTGGGGTCAGCACCACTACATTCTTCGCTCTGGGAGGCAGCCGAGGCGGCTTCAGCTACGCTGCTCAAGAGCGCGTCCAAGAACACCTCAGAGGCGTCCGCTTTGTCGCTAATCTCCACTTTGTCACAGCCGGCGATCCTCGTCAGCTACCAATGCCCCAGCAACCGCCCATGCACTGGGGCGCTGCTGACATCACACGCCTTCTCCAAGACGCAACAGCCCTGCAACGCATTGCTGCGACTGGCGACCCTGCAGCAGGGTTGCGCGCTCTCCAAGCTGTGATTCTCCGCAAGTGCTTGCAACCTCAGTGACCCTAACCATGCACTTCTGGTTGCTGGGCGTGCTGCGTGGCACGCCATGCAGCTCGCCTTCATCCTGCGTCACCAGCACCGACAAACAAGCGATGCAGATGGTGACAAGCTCCGAAGATATGCGGCTCTCTTTGATGGCACCGGCGCCGTTGGCGGCGCTGCCCTCCAACAACAGCTCCTCGAAATGTGCCACGACCTCAATGCTACGGTTCCCGCACCTGACAGCCTACACCACCTCCCTGACCCACGGGTCATTGTCCTTCGGCACTCGGTACAGCTCCCCCTCAACCTAAGCCTCGCCCTCATTCACGCGCAACAGCATAACCAGCCCGCTTATGTCTGGCGGAGCCAGGACGTTGCAGCTGATGGCTCCCCTTTATCTTCCACCACCCTCGGTCACCTCGAAACCACCTTCAACGCTAGCATTCCAGCCGTTGGCATCTTCTTCCCCGGCATCCGCTACGTTTTCTCCGACAACGCTTACAAGCACCTGCACCACGTCCACAACAACGGCTGCACCGGTGTCCGGCTCATCCTGCACCCCAACGAACCCCGCCAGCAGTTTACCAACCCCGACTCCGGTATCCACATGCTACACTACCCTCCACAAGCTACCTAGATGGTCCCAGCGTTGGAGCAGTCTGCACCCATCCTGCTATTCCCGCAAACTGCATCCCAGTGCTCCTGAGCCACACCCGCTTCCTGTGCGCCGTTCAATCTGCCCCCCGTGCCTCCCTTTATGTCATCCTAACCCGGTTCGCCAAATTCTCCCAACTCCGCTTGTTGACGCCGCTTTGGCAACCTAGCGACGAGGCAGCAAAGCAGCGTGTACTGGCCAAGCTCACTGCGCTTGCTGCTCGTGATCCCGACTTACGCGCGGAATGGCTTCGCCTTCAAGACCTCGCACAAAATACCCAGGAGCGCTACTCTGAACTCCTGCGTGCATGCAAGGCTGCAGCTGCACCATCTTCAACTTCGACTCAAGCACGCCCTGGTAAGCGCCCTTTTAGGCTCCTCTCGCACCATCGTTGCTCATGCTGCCGCTAGCTACACACCCGCTGCCTTTCATTCCCCCCCCACCCCTCAGGAAGCCCTGCTAACACGTCCGCTGCTGCTCCTGGTGCACGCTAGCGCATTTGCGCACGCACAAGCCTGGAGCCGCCAACATGTTCAGCATGCGTTGTTTGGAGTTGGGGGGTACACCCAGGCTAGGAGTATGGACCGGGCTTGTATGAATGTTGAAGAACGTCTTACGTTGTTGGAACGCGATGATTCCATCTACTGACGGACGCTGTATAGCGGCTGCATGCTGATCAACGCGAAGGCTGGCAGTTCCCTTGCTGGCGACGACGACACCTGCTCCCTTGTCACGGACCACGAGTGCGCTATCATGCCCATTAAGTCCGGCAACACCCTCCTCCTGTCGGTCCTCACCCACCCCAATGTCACCCCCCTCGTCAACCCCTTCGGCGACCCGCTTGGTACGCCCTTCAGTGGAACTGCCACCGGCGCCTTCCTGCCGCAAGCCCACAACCCGCTGCACGCTGGGTAAGCTGCCGTCACCCTTCCCCTTGAACCAATCGAGCCCCACGCTTGGCCACATGGTACTACATGTCTAAGGAGTCTATAGGTGTGACGGCGGGCTCAAGCGCCGCTCGCACGGTCAGATACGCACCCCAAACTCTGGGTTTGGCTAGGCCCCCCACCATGCACCCGGTCTGAACGGCACATCCTGCCCAACCACACTCGCATGGCGCAACCAATCGAGCCCCACGCTTGGCCACATGGTACTACATGTCTAAGGAGTCTATAGGTGTGACGACGGGCTCAAGCGCCGCTCGCACGGTCAGATACGCACCCCAAACTCTGGGTTTGGCTAGGCCCCCCACCATGCACCCGGTCTGAACGGCACATCCTGCCCAACCACACTCGCATGGCGCAACCAATCGAGCCCCACGCTTGGCCACATGGTACTACATGTCTAAGGAGTCTATAGGTGTGACGGCGGGCTCAAGCGCCGCTCGCACGGTCAGATACGCACCCCAAACTCTGGGTTTGACTAGGCCCCCCACCATGCACCCGGTCTGAACGGCACATCCTGCCCAACCACACTCGCATGGCGCAACCAATCGAGCCCCACGCTTGGCCACATGGTACTACATGTCTAAGGAGTCTATAGGTGTGACGGTGGGCTCAAGCGCCGCTCGCACGGTCAGATACGCACCCCAAACTCTGGGTTTGGCTAGGCCCCCCACCATGCACCCGGTCTGAACGGCACATCCTGCCCAACCACACTCGCATGGCGCAACCAATCGAGCCCCACGCTTGGCCACATGGTACTACATGTCTAAGGAGTCTATAGGTGTGACGACGGGCTCAAGCGCCGCTCGCACGGTCAGATACGCACCCCAAACTCTGGGTTTGGCTAGGCCCCCCACCATGCACCCGGTCTGAACGGCACATCCTGCCCAACCACACTCGCATGGCGCAACCAATCGAGCCCCACGCTTGGCCACATGGTACTACATGTCTAAGGAGTCTATAGGTGTGACGGCGGGCTCAAGCGCCGCTCGCACGGTCAGATACGCACCCCAAACTCTGGGTTTGACTAGGCCCCCCACCATGCACCCGGTCTGAACGGCACATCCTGCCCAACCACACTCGCATGGCGCAACCAAATCCCCTTCTACACCCCCCTTCACGCCTTCTATTGCACCCCTTCCCTTGTCATTCCTTTAACCCCGTCTCCCTCTTCATTCCCTCCACAGGTGCACCGCCTGCGGCTCCTCCATGCCCCTGAATGCCACGCACTGCCCCACCTGCAACGCAAGCGCTGACGACCACACGGCGATCATCGTCCTCGGCACGCTTTTCACCACCGCCCTAAACGACGCAGACTCCATTCAGGTACTCTCTAGCCGGTACACATCTGCTCTGCCTTACATCCCTGCTGCCTTTGCCCTACCGCCCTGCTCTCCTCCATCTAACCTTCCTTCACGTTTCTACAACTACCAGTTTAACTTCGCATTCGTTAACCCGCATCCCAGAGGGCCGCAGCCTTAGCCGCCAAATTGCAGAGCTTGCGATTAGCTCAGGGTTCGAGGTCCGGGCTGAGCACATTCCCGGCGTGGACAACGGCCAGGCCGACCGCCTCAGCCGCCGCCTTGACAGCGCCCAGGATCAGAACCTGCGGCTGAAGGCCAGCATCTTCAGGGAGCTATGCCGCAAGTTCTCTCTCCGGCCCACCGTCGACTGCTGCTGCGACGCCCATGGCTCCAACCGGCAGCCCGGCTGTGAGGTGTTCTACAGCGCGGGGCGGTCGGTGCTCGGCCAGGAGGCCGAGCTGGCGGGCAAGGCGCTGTGGGCCTTCCCACCCCAGGCCCTGGTGGGGGAGGTGCTAGCGACCCTCGTGGCAGCGGCACGGCGTGACTCGCGGACGCGGGCGGTTGTGGTGGTGCCTTTCTGGCCGGAGCGGGGGTGGTTCCGGGCCTTCGTCCGTAGCCGATCCGCACCATTCCGGGTCGCCCAGGTGCTGCCCAGGGGCGGCCGCCTCTGCGTTTGGCCCTGGGGCGACGAGGCGGGTCCTTCTCCTTACGATATGCTGGTCTTACGCCTGCCCTGACCGAATTCCGATCCGCGTTTGCGCCCCCATGGCGATTGTAGAGGGTGGCGGGAGCTGCGAGGCCTGCGTGCGGCGCACCTCCGTGGGGGACTTGCGCTGTGAGACATGCGACATACGGGCACATCGCCGCTGCCTGGGACTGCCGCCGGGCTCGTACCCCGGCGGCTGGTTCCGCTGCATCCACTGCATCCTGGCGGCGGCGGGTTTTCCGGCAGGGGCTGCGGGCGGTCGGCAGGAGGCACTCGCGGCGAGGCTGGTGGCGCTAGCGGGAAGCGCCGTGTCGGCGGGTTCAGCAGGGACGTACGAATCCCATCGCCGCCGCTACGCGGCCTTCTGCGCTGCTCTGGGCTTACCCATGAGGGCGGCTTTCCCACCTGCGCGGGGCGCGGACCTCAGCCCCGAGCTGGTGAGCCTGTTCATCGCCCATGAGGCCGACCGTGTGGCCCCCTCAACGTTGTCAGGCACCATTAGCGCCCTTGCGGACTGGCAGCGCGCGAAGGGTTTTCCGGCGGAGGCCTCCATCCGCCGGAACCCATTGGTGCAACGCACGCTGAGGCAGGCGTGGCGTGCCCGGGCGCCGGCGGCAGCCGCCACAGCTGGCGGCGATGCAGGGGCCGAGCCGCTGCCGCAACGTACGAAGGAGGCGTTCCCGGTGCCGCTTCTGCGGCTCCTATTGGGCTGGCTGGCAGCGACGGCGGACGGGGCGCCAGCGCGCCGAGCGGAGCTCGAGCAGGATGCGTGTTGGCTGGTGGTGGGTTTCTTTGGGATGCTGCGGAGAAGCGAGCTGGCGGGGCTGCGGCTAGGTGACGTGCATTCGCTGACTGGTGGGGTTCACGTGGTGCGGATAACGAGGAGCAAGACCGATCAGGTTGGGGCAGGGGTGGATGTGCACCTGGGGGCATCGTCTGGCAGCGGAGTACGCATCGGGCGCATTATAGGGCGCCACCTAGAGCGGGCCCGCTCAGGGGGGGCGGAGCCCAGCGCGCCGCTCTTCACGCGGGGCCCCCAGTGGGGACCGGGGTCGGAGGCTTGGCGGAAGGAGGGGTTTACGCGTAGGCTTAGGGCGCTCTTAGGAGAGATGCAGCGCGCCCTGCCACAAATAGCCGGGCGGGTACCAGATTACGCGTCCCACAGCCTGAGAAGGGGGGGAGCCACGGCTGCAGCGGAAGGGGGGGCCTCTGGAGAGCAGATCAAGGCGCACGGGAGGTGGCGGTCGGAGGCGGTGAGCGCGTATATCCTCCCCTCCGCGGCGGCTAAGGCCCGCATTGTGGGGTGCATGTGAGGTGACGAGGCGTGCGGTGGGTGACAGGGTAAGGGGGGTCCTCTCTAGGCGTGCATGCATGCGGAAGCGCGCCTAGAGCCTAATACGCCGGGGCGGGTTTTGGGGGCTAGAGCCCATCCGCGCCCGGCTCGCCTACCTACAGCTGCAGCCATACTTAAGAACTGTCTGCAACTACGCAAAAGTCAGCGCCTTCCTAACTGCGCACGGAAACTCAGCGGCAAAGACCCGAAAGGCCAGCTGAGGGCAAACTGTTTAACCAAGGTCAAAACGTCTAGCACCGTCCACTCGCAAGCCTGGTGGCGACTGCTCTGCTCCCTGTCGTACATGCGCTCCAAAACCCCATTTTTAGTTGACACTCAAAATGATACTTTAACTTCGCATTCGTTCTGCTGTAACCCACACCCCCCCAGGTCATCGTCACCTCGGACGCCGCTACGCACATGTTCATGCCCGCGCATGGTTACACTGTACCCAACACCGGCGCCCCCCACGACGGCGCCTCCGACCGCACCGTCACCACCTTCGCTGAGGCCGCACGCGCTGCCGCCCACTGCGTTCTGCCCTCCATCACCGCGGTGCACGGCGAGACTACCATCCAGGACGGCTTCGTCACCTACAATAGCTTCCCGCTTTCATTACGCATGTTCACGCCGCCAATAAGCTTTTTAAAAAAACACCTTCGATTTCCATCTACGTGTTGCCTTATTTCGTTGTACTCTTAGTTTGTTCAAACTTCCCATGGCAATGTCCCATGTCTCCGATGCTAAGGGGGGTGGTTCAGTATTGTCCCAGCCACCGCCCGGTGAATAAACGCTACTTGAGGACGCACTTGGGCTACCCCTCTGTAAACACCCTCGCACCACCAGCTTGGCTATCCTCCCCTACATTCGCACACCACATACTACCTGCAATCAACAGATTTTGCCCTCTCACCCGACCAAAGGGAGGCTTGATAGAACAGGCCTTGCTGCGCCAAAGTTGTGGCCTCAGGAAAACTTGTTATCGACGCTCCGAAGACACTCGCGCCTTCCATCAACCGACGCACCCAACCCATGTCCAGAGATGATTACTGGAGCAACGATGTTCGCTTACAGAAAGATGCTATATGCCTATGCATATGGACTGAGGATTGAAGGTTTGAGCACCTACGGTTAAGAAACACCATAGCTTGCTTAGCAAGGCAATATCATTATTGCATTTAAGCACTTCTAAGCGATACGTTACATTGAGAGCGTTGTCTGCCTGAATCCGCAGAGTTGGCGCCGTGCGCATTTAGCCTTGTCGCTTCTAGCTTCCGAGCTTCAGTAAGCAACGCTTGTTCGTCCCATGGATCTTCTTCGGCGTGGTTTAGTCCACCTGCAGCAGGCGCGGATTGCTGTTGAACAAGCAGCAGAGCGAAAAGCCAACTCCTCGGAGCGACCTACTGCGCTAGACTTTCTCATCGCGATATTAGCGCTAGCGACGGTCATGGCTATGGTACTGGGCTCTGTTGCCCTTGGTAAGCCGCACTCTTGCGCAAGCGTCCTCTGTGAAACCCACTACGCGGATGCACACACGCACACAGCCATCAGCTGCCCCCACCTGCCCATCTCCTCTCCTTTTCCCCAGGCTGGCGAACCCTCTGGCGCACCACACTCCACAAGATCGGAGTCTTCCGAGACATCCTGGGCCTCAACAGGTTGGAGAAGTTCTTACGAGATGCGCGACGTAACCGCCGCAACAGCCTTTTGTTCTTGCGGCCCTAACCCCCCACCCTCCCTCCTACCGTTCGTCAGTTTTCCTTATTTTTACCCTCCCTCCTACCGTGTTGCAGGGCAGCCAAGGCGGAGGCAAAGCGGCGAGCGGAGGCAGAGATCCGCTCCCTCAAGGTGGCTACGTTGGGGGGTTGCAGGGAAGCGGCATGGAGTTGATCGGATGATTGAGGGAATGTGTTAGCACATGTTGTAACAGCGGTAAACACCCAACAGCTTGGGTTGGGGTCATGGTGGCGACACACCCGAGGAGGAGTAGCGAAGTGGGTAAACAGGAAAACGAACTGAGCGGGGTGGTTTCCTGGCCCGATGCCTGCCCTAAGTAAACCCTATTCCATTCCCTCTCCTCTGTCCCCACCACAGAGCCAGATACACCAGCAGCATTTCGGTTTCGGAGCTCCTACGTCTGCGGCGGCGAGCAGTAAGGTGCGGCGAGCTGTGTCTTGATGGGTTCAAGGGGCGTGTGGTGGACTGGCGCTGCATACACCGCTACATGCCGCAGCACGCAGCACAGGTTTTCGGAGTTCGGACACTTGGTCACGCGAGGGAGGGGAAAGGAGGGCAGACCGACCCCTGCGCTGTTGCTGCAAGCTCAGCAACTCGGTCCCTCTTTCCTTCTCCCTGCTGCTAACACCAACATGCTGTTGTCCGCGCCTCTCTCTCCTGCGCCCCGCTCCTCCGCAGGACGACTGAGTCACCCTATCGTGCCCCACCCCTCGCACCAAAGCCGCACCACACCGCTGTTCCATCAGCCCTTCATTAACAGCTCAGTAAGAGCGATTCAAGGCCCCAAGCGCCCCTCGCTGCTGACATGTCATTATCGTTCCTAAACTGCAGCACCGAGGCACTCACCCCAGCCGACCCACGGGTCTATCTCCACCCCAGTTTCTGTCTCGAGGTGGTCCAACATCCCTCCCGGCACTCACTCTCAACCGCATCACACCGCCAGTCCATCATCCTCTTTCATCTCCCTGAGGAACCGCTCTTCACCTCCCTGTGTAACGCTGATGGCGCCCCCGGGGCCGTGATGTCTGCTGCACCCCGGCGCACCCGCAGCACGACAGCAGCGACCCGTGTGTCCCTCTCCTCCTATCGGCGGCCTCGGCCTCCTGCCAACACACCACCAGGCTGCCAACGGGTCACCACCCAACAATGTGTTGGTGCGCCACGACCAGCGGAACGGCTGTACGGTTCATCGGCCCCCTCCGCAAGCCACTGAGACGCCCGGTGAACCCCATCATGCCTCCTTCTCCTCCTCCTCCTCCTCCATTACCCGGATGGCAAAGCGCCTCTCCAACACACCTCCATCTCAGTACCTCTTCTTGCCGGTCTGCTGCCATTCCACGATCTTGTCGTACCCCCGCGCCACCCCCTCGTAGTCCACAAAGTGCTGTTTGGGCGGCTCCGGAGGCGGCTGCGGACCCATGCCCAGCTCCTTGGCGCGCTTGGCGATGGCGTTTGCCACCTGGGCGTTCGCGGCGTCACGGGTGCTGCATGGGGGGTTGGTGCATGGGAGGGGTGGTGTAGGGGGAGGGGGTAATCGAGTGAAGAAGGAGAAGTGGAGCAGGGGGGGGCGATGGGGTGTTGGAGTGGCGGGAGTGTGGGGGCGCGTGAGGGGGTGCGTGTGAGGGTGAGATGGGGGTTGTAGTGGATGGGGACGGGGGCCTGGTTGGTGGAAGGTATGTGCCGTATGGAGGGTGGTGCATAGGGGCATGGTATGGAAGGTTTGGGGATGGAGGAGAAGAGGCAGTGGCGTGGAGATGTGGTGAGGATGTGGTGTATGAGGATGTGGTGACTAACAACGAATGGAGAGGTCAAACTGAACGGTGGCGACAAGTGTTGGACTTTGGTAATGACGTCGAGGCAGGGGTGCAGAGGCCTCCACCAGCAATGTCCCATGTATCGTGGTTAGAAAGGCGTGAGGGTAGTGGTAGGCCGCAGCACCGCACACCCCACAGTCAACAGCGGCAGGTGGGGGAGCGCGGTAGCGGCTGTGAAACATGTGGGAGGGGCGACGTCGAGCATGCGGAGAGTGGTTCGTGCGTGCACGTGAGTGGGACCCAACTTGATGTGGGTTTGCTGGAGAGCGACGGAAGCGCTGCCAACAAGAAGACCCCTCTGCCTGCCCGCTGCCGGATAGCACCCCCCCCCTCCCGGGTCGCCAACTCACGCTTGCTCCTTCGCCGCCTTTTTGGCTTCCTTGGCTTCCTTCCGCAGCTGCTTCTGGGACTTGGGTTTCTCTTGTCTGGGGTTGACCCGGAGGGAGGGGAAAGGAAGGGACCACATGCGGCATGTTAGGTACGCAGCAGCACGCGCACCGTCCTAAGCTTCTCCGGGTTTTCCGGAGCAGACAGTGAGCTTTCGCCCCATTCCAGCCCTCACCTGGACCTGCTTTGCCGGTTGTTGGGTGGGGGTGCCGGGGTGCGGCCGCTGGTGCTGGCGCTGCCGCTAGTCTGTGGCTGCTTGTCAAAGCAAAACGAACTACCGCCGTTCTTGCTTTTTGGAGACGTGGCCTGTACGTTACCGTGTATGTCAGGCGGTCGGCCACAGAGCTCAGAAGTAAGGCACCAGAAACGGCGACTCGCGGTCCCATTGTGCCCACCTCGGCGACGGATGATGACCCAGCGGTACTAGCAGGCTCCCGTTTCGCGCTCCCTTCTTGCCATTTGTTCCAAAACCGCCACGCGAAGTAGCCGATGCCGCCAGCTAAAGCAATCGTCAGCAATGTAACTGGGCTTGCTTGGCCATCGGGCGCTTTTGTGCCCCGCGCCACCAGCCGCTGGGAGTCCTTATCTTTTTTGCGCTCGTCCATCTAAAAAATTCAGGTAAAAAATTATGATCTAGCGACTGGGCTCTGACGGACGTCAAATGGTAGCTCTTCCTTTACCGAACAGAAGCGATGAATTATTACGGTGGCAAATTGTAATTATAAACAAGTTATTGGTTTAAGGCCGTGTCCTACCAAAAACAAACTGCCGAGGTGACACTATGCTGTCCGGAGACGCATGTTATCTTGAGCTACACCCAGTGGACATTCTGAAAGAGAAAACTTCCACGTAATTCTTAAAGGCTACAATCATCTCAGCGTGTACATCCCAAGCTCAGTTCAGGTGCAAGTCCCGCGGGTCTGCGGTGCCCTGGCTTCACGGGGCAGTTTAGCACGTTGAGCTTGGGATCAGCTGGGGCTAGGCAGGAATTGAGTGTCGGTGTGCTAAGGGGTAGAAAGTGGGATTTCCGGGGTGGCCACGTCTAGTGTTCACTTTTGATGCCTGCCGTAGTGGCTCGTGACATAGCCACCCTATACCATAACACGATAACACCTTAACTCTCTCTCCAACCAAATAGCCAGTCATGCCGGGAGAAGCCAACTGAAGAAGGGGGAATGAAACAACTGGGCCCCTGACGCGCTACCCGTGCCCTCTTACGTACTCAGCTAACCTGCTAACACGCATTACTGCTGGCACGGCAACGGACCCAATCTGCGTGGCCTGCTCCTATCCAAGGCCCACGCAGAGACAACCCCCGGCCACTAGACCCAACAAGGAAAACAATGCGAAGGGCGGGTGGGTGGGAAAAGAAACTAGACCTCGGTAAGGCAGCAAGCCCAAGCTCTAGACAGCGAGGGCTATCCCCAATTGACTAGCGTTGACTACAAGAGGCTAGCCGCGATTGGACACAAAACCAACGAAGTTCCCCGGAAGAAAGCCACGCAACGATAAAACAACAAGGAAGGCAACTCTCAAAACGCCATCCGACCACCAAGGCTCAATGTACGACAACTCATGCACTCGCCCCTACGGGTCCTCAAACTAGATTTTTAGCTACGCCAAAAATATAATTTTGATGCCTGCCGTAGTGGCTCGTGACATAGCCACCCTATACCATAACACGATAACACCTTAACTCTCTCTCCAACCAAATAGCCAGTCATGCCGGGAGAAGCCAACTGAAGAAGGGGGAATGAAACAACTGGGCCCCTGACGCGCTACCCGTGCCCTCTTACGTACTCAGCTAACCTGCTAACACGCATTACTGCTGGCACGGCAACGGACCCAATCTGCGTGGCCTGCTCCTATCCAAGGCCCACGCAGAGACAACCCCCCTTTCCCTATCCCTTATCACATCTGCTCTACCACCGCCCGCCTGACTGCCACTGACTTGCGAGTGTACACATCTACGGCCCGGGACTTCCATCGCCCGTGCTCCTTACTGGCCTCTACCACGTGGGTGATGAAGAGGCAGACCAGGAAGCGGTTGAGGTCCTGGCCCCGGGCCCGAGGGAAAGCATCCTGCTCGCTCAGGCGCAGAACAACGACGCAGAACCTCAGGAACCGCTGGCGCCCCGCCTCATAGGTGGCCGCAGACCGGGCCGCCACCGCGCTGCCTACCTGCACTACCCATCGTTTGGCGAGTCCGCTCACGTAGCCTTCGGCAGCCTCCGCCCCAACGCCCGCCGCCGCCAACACGCAGCCGGCGCAAAGGTACCACCCACCCGGGTAGTCGCCGGCTGCCAGCCCTAAGCAGCGGCGGTGCGCCATGCGGTGCTGAGCTGCCGGCTGAGGCGATCTGCGCGCACATTCTCGACGCCCGCGATATGCTCCGCCCGGAGCTCAAACCCCTGCCGGATCGCAAGCTCCACCATCTGCCGGCTGACGCTGCGGCCCTCCGGCACGCGGGTGGAGCCGTGCCTGATCGCAGCCACGGCCTGAGTATTGTCGCAGCGGATCAGCACACGCCGCCCGGTGAGCCGGGGCGCCCACGGCTGCACCGCCCTGAGCACCGCCTTCAGCTCCAGCCAAGCCATGTGTAGCTGCTTCTCCGCCGCTGACCACGGCCCCTGCAGCTCCGCGGGGCCCCAGGCCGCGCCAGAGCCGCAGCCGCTGGCGTCGGTGAAGAAGACTGCACCACTGGGGCCCCAAACTCCCCCCTCACCAAGTCGAGGTCCGCTACAGCGCACTGCTTGACGCCATCCCACACTGGCGAATCCGACCGAAGACCCTCCACCAGAACTCCAAGTCCTCTATGGCCTCAGGCGTTAGCTGCACCAAGCGTGGTGGTAGTGTAGTTACCTTCCACGCTGCTCGCCCCTGCCACTGCACCTCCCTGCGGCGCTGCAGGCGCCACGGTGCTGCTGCTCCCATGTTCTACCGATGGCCTGCCGACTGGATCTGCCATTGAGGATGTCGCCACCGGCTGGCCATGTTCCGCCACCATGGCTCCCTGTCTCAGGGCCAGCGCCGCTGCGTACAAAGCCTCCAGGGGCCCTACCAGCGCCTCTGACCACCGGCCATCCGTCTCCACCACGTGTCCCAACAGCCTGCTGCTGTTCACTGCACGAGCGATAGGGAGATGGGCCGGAGGAAGGGGAGGAGGCCCATAAGATACCCACTTCGCCCTGGAATTGGGTTGTTATCGCCTTGGGTGGTACACAGGTATCCCATTTCGCCCTGGGATTGGGTTGTCCCATATCGCCTTGGGAAGGCACAAACGTATCTCACTTCGCCCTGAGATCGGGTTTTCCCATTTAGCCTTGGGTAGGCACTAAAAGTCCCACTTCACCCTGGGATTGGGTTGTCCCATATCGCTATGGGGAGGCGCCTAAGTATCCCACTTCGCCCTGGGATAGGGTTTTTCCATTTAGCCTTGGGTAGGCACTAAAGGTCCCACTTCACCCTGGGATTGGGTTGTCCCATATCGCTATGGGGAGGCGCAAAAGTATCCCACTTCGCCCTGGGATAGGGTTGTCCCATTTCACCTTGGGGAGGCACTAACGTATCTCACTTCGCCCTGAGATTGGGTTTTCCCATTTAGCCTTGGGTAGGCACTAAAAGTCCCACTTCACCCTGGGATTGGGTTGTCCCATATCGCTATGGGGAGGCGCCTAAGTATCCCACTTCGCCCTGGGATTGGGTTTTCCCATTTAGCCTTGGGTAGGCACTAAAGGATCCCACTTCACCCTGGGATTGGGTTGTCCCATATCGCTATGGGGAGGCGCAAAAGTATCCCACTTCGCCCTGGGATAGGGTTGTCCCATTTCACCTTGGGGAGGTCTAACGTACGGCCCGCCCTCATGGTGTCTCCCACACCGCCCTGGGGTGGCCTACCTGCATGAGTGTCGCCCATGCCGCCCGATGCGCCCGCTAGCCACCCCGCGCCACCGCCCCCCGCGGCGGCGGCGTCTGGGGCACCCGCCATGTCCCTGGCGGGCGCATGAAGTTCCTAGTTCCTCCGCGGCATGCGCCTGCGCGCCGCCGCTAGCTTCCTGTCACGCTCATCCTCCGGGAGGCCTACCAGCGTGGGCCAGTTGTGGAACCTGTGGCCCGTCGCGTCGCAGACAAAACAGCGCTATTGTGCATCGCCGTGGCTGCCTGCGGACCCGCTGCTCGGAAGCGGGAGGGGCGCCTCCCTGGCCGCTGCTCGGTTGCTGGAGGTGCCTTGACCCGTCGCGCTGCGCAGGATGTCGGTCAAGTCCTCCTTGCTGAAAGAGGAGAGGCCGCGCAGTAGGTTGAGCTTATCCGGGTCTCCCTCCTTTAGCCAACTAGACCTCGGTAAGGCAGCAAGCCCAAGCTCTAGACAGCGAGGGCTATCCCCAATTGACTAGCGTTGACTACAAGAGGCTAGCCGCGATTGGACACAAAACCAACGAAGTTCCCCGGAAGAAAGCCACGCAACGATAAAACAACAAGGAAGGCAACTCTCAAAACGCCATCCGACCACCAAGGCTCAATGTACGACAACTCATGCACTCGCCCCTACGGGTCCTCAAACTAGATTTTTAGCTACGCCAAAAATATAATGTTGTACGAACAGGAAAACCCTAGCCCACCGCGGGTCCACACCAAGCGGCTCTCCGCTCCCACCATCGGGGGTATCAATGTCTGCACAGCAAGGACACACCTGCCCAGCCAAACATGTGTTTAGTGCGTTACGTCGCGTGTATCATGTACGTTGTTTCCGAAATGTTGCGTGTATTGCATGGCAGGTGCCCTGAACCGCTGAACGTACACGTGCAAGCTACCAACCGAACAGGGACAGATTAATTTACAGGATGCTGCTGCTGCGAAATAGCAGTCAAAGGCACAGGCTCAATCAATCAGGCAAGTGAAAGTTTGAGGGCACATGCGTGGCCGGTGTAGCGCGCACATGCACATGCAATTCCAACCAGATAGGGGAATACAAGCACACCGGAGCGGACCCGCCACAACGTACATCAAGCCCTGCAGCTTGGCACCGCTTCCTGGGCGTGCCTCTTCTAGGTAGGCCCCTAGTGTAGTGCCTAACGAAGGCATGCATATACTAGCATGCCAGGAAGCCCAGCCCGTCACGCTAGTTGTGTTCGGAACTAGCGCGCACTTTTTTTGCGGATGACCCATGGGTCATGCCATGAGCGTACACACATGTACGAACGGTTCGTACACAACACGACAGCGCACGCGCAATGCAAACAAACACGCAACCATGCTTCCATTTTCTTTCTTCTCCCCCGTCCTCTCTGCATCAACGAACGTACAGGCCTTCGATACCTGGTAAGTCCCGTCGCAGTGTTCGTCGCACTCTCCTCTCGTAGATCGCTATGAAAGGTAACTGTCGCCTCGGGGTCACGTTAAAACGTAGCGAACCGAGGTGGACCCCTCGTCGTAAAATTGGTACTACAGCCTCTTGGACCGTTAGTGGGAATAGCAATAGTGTACGGCAGAGCTCATAAACATTTGGCGACACCAAGGCGCTTGGCGCGTGAAACGTGGGTGCATTGGGAACGGAAGCTGATCATCGATGTGAAGGGCGACCCCGCAACGCGGAAGGATGCAGGAAGACGGAGGGACCCTACTAACCGCAGATTGGACGGAGGAATACGGAGGGACCGCAATTGTGTGGGACGCCGCTGTGTTGTAAACGGGCCGCAGCGACAAAAAACACATGAAGAAAACATTGAAGAACATAATCTAATTGTGCGTAGGAAAAGAGGCGATGCCACAAGTGCAAAGCGGTTATATAACCAACTGTAGCCTCAGCCCCCTGACCTCTTTCCCAACATCTGCTACCCAGATCCCTAAACAAACCCTTTCCGAGAGTAGAAATGTTTACGGAAAAAATAGCCCACCAACGAACATTGAGGTGGAAGTATGATGAATGGCGTTCATGTGACCAGACCAGGAGGCGCCTCATCATCTTTAGTCATCCAATGCCCCCCACCTCCCTCCCCCCCGCCCAATCCGCGCTGTGCGTGAGAGGCCGTGCAGGCCAGCCCCTCCCCTAACCGTAGGTGGCAGCACGATGACGTGATGCGTTTTCGGGTGTACTAAAAGCACGGGGAGGGTAAAAAATGAGGCCCTTCCCTTACCACATCCATCATGAGGACCCCCATGCCCCCAAACCGGTACCCTTCCCAGTTGTGCAAGTCCCCCCGCTAGCCGGTGAGCTAGTATAGCTGACAAGGCGACCCAACCGTAGGTGGCAGTACAAAAACAACCTAACTGTAGCCTCAGGCTGAGGGGGCACACGGGCCCCCTCCCCCCTAACCCCTCACTCCCCCCAACGCTAACCCTCACTAATTTTATTGCATCCAGCCACCACATATCCCCTTTGCGTTGCCCTTACTAAAATTTCCTATGATTTGGGATATCCTTAAATCCCTCCTGCTACCCGCCTGCACTCCCCAAACCCAATCCAGAGTAATAATTATTGTAAAAACAAAGTGTCCCCCCTCCCCCTCCCCCCTAGCAACCTACGAAGCCACATCATACAGCTCTAGAGATTTTTTCTTTTCACCCCCCCATAGAGTTTCCGAATGCGCACACCGCATGAGTTGGTATATGGGATTGGGACTCATTGCTGCACTTATCATTTATTCCCCCACCACCACCACGTGCGCTGTGCTCGAGCGGCCGTGCAAGCCACGAGGCCCCCCTTGCCCCCGAAACGGTACCCTTCCCAGGAGTGCATGTCCCCCAGCTAGCCGTTACTTGGTCCCCATGCCGTGGGCTAGCAAAGCTGACAAGGCATGCGCAAGCGCCCCTCTTTTTTCTATCGCCACCAACGACTGCCATGTACTATGCGCCAATACGTTTGCTTCAAACCATACCATGATTGCTGCAAGTGCCCGTGTTTTTGTACTTGCTACACAATACACCTCAACTTGCCTAAGAATCATAACGGGCCAAGGGCTAAGTTTAACGTCGTTTCTTCAGCATAACTTTGAAACTCCCTCTAAACCCTCTAAACCTCTAGAGGGTTTAGAGGGTTTTAAACTCTCTAAACCCTCTAATTATTTTATTGGTGCCTGAGCGCGTCACCATTCGTGCCGATCTGAGTAGTATATTAGCCATAAACTCCTCCTAAAACGTTTCAAACTCAAGCAGATATGGCTAGGTCTGCTGCCAGGGCACTCATGGACATTAACAACATTGCTGGTCCTGTTGCAAAGCCTACTAGGCAGGCCCACGGGTCAGGTGCGTCGCTCTACGGACTTCACCGGGTATTGGGTTACGGGAATTGGCACGACGCAGCTCGGGGACAGGCCGGGCAAAGTGGAATCCATAATCCTGGTATAGGTTTTTGAACGCTGCCTTGTCGAGGCAGATGTGGCAAACATACTCAGCGTCCTCACGGTCTGAGAAGCGCATGCCCACCTCAACCCAATCACCCATAACGCCTAAGTCACGAATAGACCAGAGCCAACGTGGCATGGGGCCGTCGTGGTTGGGAACGAGCCAGGGCAACCAAACTGGTAGCCATTTGGCAATGAACAACATGAATCTCGGAAACGTCCCTACTAACGTGGCGTTGAGTTTGGCGTAGGAACGTAGCATGTGACCGAGACCTACGTTTGGGCCGCTACGTTCAACGTGGGTTCCATGTAACGTAACGTAGAAAGTAACGTCGTGTCACCAGGCTATTAAGCCCCGGACGCGAGCCCGTGTCAGCTTTCCAAGCCCGTGGAAAGAAAGCAAACCTAATTACATGTTCTGGATGAAATATAGATAAGTTGGCGGAAACCTTTGGACTCCGTACGAGAGTCCTCAGACATTTTATCTGGCTGGCAACGGAGTCAACGGACAACTTCGCCACAGGACACAGCCACCAGAAACGTGAAGTATATCTTCATACGTATGATTACCACTATTCATATTTAACTCTCGTGAGCATCATTTGGTGGCCAACATCCAACCGACCCTATCATTATTGTTCAGCTTCAACAGTAACAAATGAAGGTCTTAGTCTAACGAGTACCACTTTGCATAGCTGTGTAATTAGGACCCTCACCGCGCCCAGGCCTATACCTCGTTGCCATTCACCGTCGAGGCGTCGAGGCGCGCGGGAAAGGCAGGAAAATCAATGGACGCTTGCCCACAAACTGGCCACGCGCACACAAAGCCTTATAGCCAAAATGACAGCGAAAAAGGTAGCCATCAGCTCGACGAATTGTCTTATTCTTCCGATGACGACAGTGATGAGGACTGCGACTTGGTTCCCTACGACGCGATTGGCTGGGGAACTCTAGGAGAGGACACAGCAGCGCAGGTACGTCGCCCACCCTCCCACCCGTACCTCCCTTTAGGAGTGCCAACCAGGGCATACGGGTTCAACACGACTACTGTGAGGCTGGGCACGGCAAGGGCCTGCACGACTCAGAAGGAGGTATAATCAAGCGGGCAGTCAACGACGAGCTTCGTCGTCACCAGGGTGAGCAGCTGAAGACCCCGGAGGAAGTCGTACGGTTTTTGGAAAGAAAGCACAAGGTGCCAGCAACTCAGGAGACACTTTCGGGGACGCATGACGCCCGGATCACTGAGCGTTTCTTTCGTCACCTTACGGACTCGGAGCTGAAGGAAGAACGGGAGGCATGCACGAGGTACAAGACAGTACCAAACACCCAGAAACTTCACTCCGTTCTGGCAACTGCTGATGTTGCTGGGAGGGTATCTGTTCGAGAGCGAAGCTGCGCATGTGACTTCTGCCGGCATTTATCAGCTGGAATGCCTAGCATCTCCACAGAATGCGCATGCGAGGAGCACGTCCAGGACTGGCGCGATGTTGTGCTGAGGCCAGCCATCGAGCCGCAATCGCCGCCTCCAGTGGATCTAGACCTCGTCACTGACACCTTTATAGCCCTTCGAAATGACGAGCCAGATGAGTGGCCGGATTACGACTACTACCTTATGTACTACAAGTACAAGATGGAGGTCAGGGACTCCTTCACGGACGCTGACGGCAAGAAGTTTCCTGACGGCGCTGAAATCGTTAATGGCCGATGGCTGTTGCTCTCTGGTCAGCACCTGAAGTTTACCATGGACCGCCGCTACAAGCTCTCGGCGGCTCTGCAGAGCGATGTCATTATGACCAATGTTGGCGTGCAGGTAGCAGGTAAATATTATAGCATTACTGAGGCAGCGCATGAGGTCATCTTGCAGAAGTTGAAGGAAATGACGGGCACGAGGCGTGTGTAGATTAGCTGATAGGGCGGGTGTAGTACTAATACAGGGTTTCCGAACATGATTGATTTTGTCCGTAGATTGTCCGTACATAACGCATGCATGCATTCGGTTTGTCCGAAAAGATGTGTACAACCTAACGTTTAATTTAGGAGCATCTGTCTTGTTTCAAAGATTACCAAAATTTGCGTAACCCTATATAGACAAGGTGCGTGCCGGCGCAGGATTGGTTGATGCCGAGTTGTGGAAGTGGTCTAGGTGCTGTCCGTGCATTTCTGATATAGCACGAAATACCCGGGCATGTTCTGGTTAGCAAATGGGGGAGGGCGCCTGCATTGCTGCTTGTCATGGTACGTGTTGGCGCTGATTGTTTCTTACTAGTTTCCAAGTTGCCGGGGTAACGTTTATGTCATCACGATTTTGCGGTTGGTGACGCCCCCTACGTTATCTCCAGCACGTACCGTGCTGTGTAGGAAGTTAGGTTCATTAATGTGTGAAGACTCTCTACGGTAGTTTCTGAGTCGGCGTGCATGTGCTTCGTTTGCGGCACACTTGAAGGGAAAGGAAGGAGAATGCGCAGAGAGGAAGAGGGTGGAGAGCAAAATGAACCAATACTGCTTCTCCGCTTCTGTCTGTAATATTGCTTATCAATCCATAGTATGCACTAATACCATTACACGAACAAAATGTTAGTTACCTCGATTGCATTACACTGCGTCGCGAAAGGAATGCTCGCAGCCTTAGCAGCCGGTGACAGCAAGTTCCGGTTTACGGCATTCTAAGACAGCAGGATTCATAAAAATTTATTCCTTTATACATACAATTGAATACATAACAATAAACACGAAGTGCATGGAAGTTTGTGACCGAAGCCAGTTTACTAGGCAGCCGAAGTCGGGCCGGTCATCCGTGACCGTCACCTTCATTGCTTCGGGCACTGAGCTGTTGTCGAAAACGTGTAGGAGTGTTTATAAAAGACGGTACAACAGCTGAAAAGAAAGCGGGAAGGTTTAGGCTTGCTTGGGCACAAGGTGCAATGAGGTAAGCATGTCGACCACACCTATTTACAGGCAGCGTACAATTGATAATATTATGCAATGTTACAATATATTCCTCGGTGTGTTTGCAATAGCGATATCTGGCGATTTAGAAGAGTTGTCCGTTGACTCCAGGGAGCCAGATCAAATGTCTGAGGATTCCAAACTGGCGTCCGAAACCTTTATTGGCATCGTGAAGATGCGGTAGCTGCCCGCCCGTGTCTGTCCGAGAATATTGAAGGTAAGGCGTTTACATACCTTTAAGGTCTAGATGCGTGGTGGGACAATGACAGGTCCCATTATAGCTCCTAAGCGATTTTAAAGGTCTTTATTCCTCCGGATATGGCTAGAAAATTTGTACAAACCGCTCGTCAGCGGAATGTACAAACAAATATCAAAACAAAGACAGTAATAAGCCAGCGACGGTTGCGCTCGTCCATCGGGCCCATTGAAGTCGCACAGGCATTAGGGCCACACTTGGGGCTCTTTCAATCCTGGTCACAGCCTGTCCCTGGACAGCCATTGTCCTTGCTATACAATAAACAGAAGGCGGCTGTTGTTAGACTTAGGAATTCCTAAGAACGGACACCACGAAACGCTGGAAATTTCGTCTGGACGGCTCTCACAAAGTGGGTATTCCGGAAATGCCAAACATTGACGTTTGTCCAGACGTTTTTAGGACGGGCGAAGGTACTGATTATTGTATGATGGCACAGGCCGATGGCCGACGCGCGCTGGGTCGACTTTGGCTCCGTCACTGCTGGCAAGGAGCTCGTACTGCCAGCCATCCCTGAGACGTTCAAGGCTGACAACGTGAGGGGCTACTGGCATTGCTGAGGCAGCGGCGCATCATGCCGGAGGGCAGCACAGCCCTCATCAAATCGCTCTCTGGCGGGCTGCTGCGGTGGCAGAACCTTGAGGATGGTCCTGAGCTGCCTGCTGAAGGGCGTCTGGAGGTAGTGTTTAGGCTGGGCACTACAACAGGTGGGTGGGTTGGGACAGGGACGGAGGGCAGGCGGTTGCAAAGTACAGGAGATGGGGTATGGGTTGTAGCTTATAATAATCCCTGATGAGTAATACATGTTTGTCGCGCTCTCGCTAAGCAAGTCCAGCACGTATGCCTTGAGTAAACCACCAAAGACGTGTGTTATGAGGACGTAGGATCTGCCATGCCATGGTGTGTGGTCGCCATACTGAATATGGCTGTCACTTGTGTTCCTCATGTTGTGCTTTTCCTTGTTGCGTAGCCAAGATGGGGCCCGCGTCCCTTCCTCAACTTAGTCCACCCCCTCCACATCATTTTACGCCATTAGCAAGTGCGTTGAGCTCCGCAGCAACACTGCTAGCCACAGCACAAGCACGTTGCGCCACTGCAGCAGTCATCATCAAACTCGTATAGTGAACGGCAAGCTTTTCAGCAGAAACGTCGTTCCACTAGCCTGCTCCTCCCCCTGCATGCTCTACACCATGCCACCCCAGATGCCCCCACCCCACCCGCCTATATTCCCGCGCAGGCGCGGCTGCCAGCGCCCCTCAAACTGCAGTTGCAGTGCCACTGCCGGTGTGCGTGCCGGTGGAGCCGCCCGATCAGAAGGTGGAGGACGCATTTGGGCGCGTGAGCCGCCTATTGGACCGGGATGGCAACACCATCGGGACGTGCCTGCGCGTCAATGGCGACGTCATCCTGGTGGCACGGCACTGCGTACTGTCAGGAGGCCGCTGCCTGAGCAATTTGGAGGCCTTTCAGGGGCAGCTGGAGTTCGTGGCGGCACGGCCCGATTTGGACGTGGTGGCATTCCGTGGCCCGGCTGGCTCAAGCTTCACACTCTTGGGGACGGAGCTGCAGCGGGGCATGCTGGTTAGCCTGCTTTCCTTCCCGCTCGAGCTTCCGGGGACTTCTGCCCCGGCCCTGGACAGTGGAGCCGTCGCCCAGGTCAGCCGCACTGGGCGGCACGCCCTGGCGACGTTTGGCACAGGTGCGTAGTGAGGTTTGGGCTGGCGGTAGCCACATGCTGTCGCTTGCTGCCATGCATGCATGTTGCATTGGCAGTCCCTGTGGACCCACATCCACTTTCGCCTGCACCCTCACCCTTCAGGCATGCCCAACAGCTCGGGCGGGGCGGTCGTGAGCAGCACCCGCACACTGGTGGGGCTGTATACCGGCATTGTGTGGCACTTGGAAGAACTCACTAACAGCAGCCGCCGTAGCAGCAGCAGCAGCGGCGGTGGCAGTGTCCGGCCGCCTGCTCAGCTGGAGCGGGACCCCACAGCAATGTGGGAGGATCGCAACGACGAGGCGGATGTGGTGGAGGCAGCCGCTGCAAGCGACAGCGTGGCTGCGCAACTCAGCCGAGTGAACATTCAGCACAAGACCAATGCAGCCATGTTCATCCCGGCTGCAGCACTGCTACAGTTCTTGCAGGCCGCGGGCCTGGCAGCGTACGACCCCCTGGACGCCGCCGGCGACAACATTGCCCGCCCGCGACTGCGGCCACGCCACCGGTAAAGGGTGGCCGCTCCACCGCTGCGGCGCCGTCGCCCCTCGCAGCCGTAAGGAAGCAGTTCTTGGGCAGCAAAATGGAGGAACACCCAGGAGACAACAGTGCCGCACCGTGCATGTTTCATGTGGCCCCAGAATTCCCCATGTTGTTCGTGTAAGCACGCCCAACAAACGGAGGTCCCTGAAGTTGTGCGTGCTACTGAGGCCGATGTGGCAGCCATCTGAACATGATGGGCAGCGTCAGTGCCCTTCAAAACGTGAAATGTATAAAATGTGTAACATGTATGGAGCTATGATGAGGAGAAAGATGGGTCGATTGCGTGTGTGGGCCACGTCGGCTGGTTGCATGATTGTAGTTGATGGCGACCAACCAGGATAGACCAATGTGGTGCCAACCTATCACACCGTGTGAGCTGACAATGACAAAAGGGTGTTAGTGTTCGTCGTTGAGCGAATGCCCACGGGCGAGACACCTGAAAGGATGGGTTACAACAGCCGACAGGGGAAAAAGCATAGGCACAAGGATGTGTTGTGGGACCCTTTGACAGATGCCATCGTGGATGATGGGAGCATTTGAATGCACAACATGTGCGCACGTGATTGTTTTGTTGTTGGTGCCATGAGAGCTCGCCGGTGAGGCCTGCGGCATAGTCAAGTTTTTGAGGCCGTTTCAATTGTGTAACTGCAAGGAGATATTATATTTTTGGCGTAGCTAAAAATCTAGTTTGAGGACCCGTAGGGGCGAGTGCATGAGTTGTCGTACATTGAGCCTTGGTGGTCGGATGGCGTTTTGAGAGTTGCCTTCCTTGTTGTTTTATCGTTGCGTGGCTTTCTTCCGGGGAACTTCGTTGTTTTTGTGTCCAATTGCGGCTAGCCTCTTGTAGTCAACGCTAGTCAATTGGGGATAGCCCTCGCTATCTAGAGCTTGGGCTTGCTGCCTTACCGAGGTCTAGTTTCTTTAGTTTCTGGGCCTCCTCCCCTTCCTCCGGCCCATCTCCCTATCGTTCGTGCAGTGAACAGCAGCAGGCTGTTGGGACACGTGGTTGAGACGGATGGCCGGTGGTCAGAGGCGCTGGTAGGGCCCCTGGAGGCTTTGTACGCAGCGGCGCTGGCCCTGAGACAGGGCGCCATGGTGGCGGAACATGGCCAGCCGGTGGCGACATCCCCAGCAGTGGCAGCGCCGCACGGAGGTGCAGTGGCAGGGGCGAGCAGCGGGACGGTAACTACACCACCACCACGCTTGGTGCAGCTAACGCCTGAGGCCATAGAGGACTTGGAGTTCTGGTGGGGGGGGGGGTCTTCGGTCGGATTCGCCAGTGTGGGACGGCGTCAAGCAGTGCGCTGTAGCAGACCTCGACTTGGTGAGGGGGGAGTTTGGGGGCCCCAGTGGTGCAGTCATCTTCACCGACGCCAGCGGCTGCGGCTCTGGCGCGGCCTGGGGCCCCGCAGAGCAGGGGCCGTGGTCAGCGGCAGAGAAGCAGCTACACATTGCTTGGCTGGAGCTGAAGGCGGTGCTCAGGGCGGTGCAGTCGTGGGCGCCCCGGCTCACCGGGCGGCGTGTGCTGATCCGCTGCGACAATACCCAAGCCGTGGCTGCGATCAGGCACGGCTCCACCCGTGTGCCGGAGGGCCGCAGCATCAGCAGGCAGATGGTGAAGCCAGCGATCCGGCATGGGTTTGAGCTCCGGGCGGAGCATATCGCGGGCGTCGAGAATGTGCGCGCAGATCGCCTCAGCCGGCAGCTCAGCACCGCATGGCGCACCGCCGCTGCTTAGGGCTGGCAGCCGGCGACTACCCGGGTGGGTGGTACCTTTGCGCCGGCTGCGTGTTGGCGGCGGCGGGCATTGGGGCGGAGGCTGCCGAAGGCTACGTGAGCGGACTCGCCAAACGATGGGTAGTGCAGGCAGGCAGCGCGGTGGCGGCCCGGTCTGCGGCCACCTATGAGGCGGGGCGCCAGCGGTTCCTGAGGTTCTGCGTCGTTGTTCTGCGCCTGAGCGAGCAGGATGCTTTCCCTCGGGCCCGGGGCCAGGACCTCAACCGCTTCCTGGTCTGCCTCTTCATCACCCACGTGGTAGAGGCCATTAAGGAGCACGGGCGGTGGAAGTCTCGGGCCGTAGATGTGTACACTCGCAAGTCAGTGGCGGTCAGGCGGGCGGTGGTAGAGCAGATGTGATAAGGGATAGGGAAAGGGGGGTTGTCTCTGCGTGGGCCTTGGATAGGAGCAGGCCACGCAGATTGGGTCCGTTGCCGTGCCAGCAGTAATGCGTTAGCAGGTTAGCTGAGTACATAAGAAGGCACGGGTAGCGCGTCAGGGGCCCAGTTGTTTCATTCCCCCCTTCTTCAGTTGGCTTCTCCCGGCATGACTGGTTATTTGGTTGGAGAGAGAGTTTAGGTGTTATCGTGTTATGGTATAGGGTGGCTATGTCACGAGCCACTACGGCAGGCATCAAAATTATATTTTTGGCGTAGCTAAAAATCTAGTTTGAGGACCCGTAGGGGCGAGTGCATGAGTTGTCGTACATTGAGCCTTGGTGGTCGGATGGCGTTTTAAGAGTTGCCTTCCTTGTTGTTTTATCGTTGCGTGGCTTTCTTCCGGGGAACTTCGTTGTTTTTGTGTCCAATCGCGGCTAGCCTCTTGTAGTCAACGCTAGTCAATTGGGGATAGCCCTCGCTATCTAGAGCTTGGGCTTGCTGCCTTACCGAGGTCTAGTTTCTTTTCCCACCCACCCGCCCTTCGCATTGTTTTCCTTGTTGGGTCTAGTGGCCGGGGGTTGTCTCTGCGTGGGCCTTGGATAGGAGCAGGCCACGCAGATTGGGTCCGTTGCCGTGCCAGCAGTAATGCGTTAGCAGGTTAGCTGAGTACGTAAGAGGGCACGGGTAGCGCGTCAGGGGCCCAGTTGTTTCATTCCCCCTTCTTCAGTTGGCTTCTCCCGGCATGACTGGTTATTTGGTTGGAGAGAGAGTTTAGCTGTTATCATGTTATGGTATAGGGTGGCTATGTCACGAGCCACTACGGCAGGCATCAAAGGCTTGATTTGAGACGAAGTGGACCTGCTGGAACTTGACGACATGCATCACATGCCTGAAGCAACGTGCGATGCAGTCCAACCGCAGCAAAATGACTTCAGAGACATTTTAAGCCAGCCAGTCCGGTGCAATCAGTACGGTCGGGGCGCAGGACCCGTGTCAAGCAACCAGGAGCTGTCGTGCTTTTGCAGCAGTACATGTCGCTCATCAACGAAATGAAGGAATATAGGCACCTGCGCCATGGACTTGCACTTGTCCGTTCTGCCTGCGCGGGATTTGTTGGGGAGGGGCTATGTTGGGAAGGCAGGCAGGGAAACTTGTAAAAACACTGAATTGTTTTTTGGCCTGCCCTTGATTTCAGGCGCTCCGAGGGGGATGTGTGAAGGGATGAGCCCGCATGGCCTGGCAAGCCAAGGACATGACGACGAGATGTGCAAAGGGATGAGACTACATGGGACATGGCCTGACCAGCCAACAGCGCCCCGAGAGGGACGTGTGAAGGGATGATCCCGCATGGCCTGGCAAGCCAAGGAGATGACGACGACATGTGCAAAGGGATGAGACTACATGCGACATGGCCTGACCAGCCAACGGCGCCCCGAGAGGGATGTGTGAAGGGATGAGCCCGCATGGCCTGGCAAGCCAATGAGATAACGCTGAGATGTGCAAAGGGATGAGACTACATGGGACATGGCCTGACCAGCCAACGGCGCCCCGAGAGGGATGTGTAAAGGGATGAGCCCGCATGGCCTGGCAAGCCAAGGAGATAACGCTGAGATGTGCTAAGGGATGAGACTACATGGGACATGGCCTGACCAGCCAACGGCGCCCCGAGGAGGATGTGTGAAGGGATGAGCCCGCATGGCCTGGCAAGCCAAGGGCTATACCATGAGATGTGCGGAGGGAGGGCGGGTGGCCTGTGTGCTTGTTGGTTGCCATTGTTGACTTCTGCCTCGAATGATGCTACATGCCAACCCCAACCCCAGACCCTGCTTACGTCCTTGAGTTTGCTCTGCGGACGCACAGGCAAGCATCGACGCGCACATAGACCGAAGCACCTGGCCGCCCCCATGCTCGCTTGCTGGTAAGCAGGCTATTGGGAAGTCCCTGGGTTGCGTCCTTTATCAGTACCGTAATCTGCTACTGAGCTCACTTCATGAGCCGGAAAATGGTACCGTACTTCACTTCTCATACCGTATCTTTTTCAACCCCATGCTCGCAGCCCTTGGGAAGGGTGGTCCCCTGGTACTGATTATCCGCTTTAATCACATGAAGTAAAATATCCCAATGGCGGTTAGCACCAACTGGACTGGCACGTAGCGACTATGTTGGCAACACCCTTGTTACGGTGAAAGCGTTCTGGTACCAGCCGTTGTACGACCCCGACACAATCCACCGTGCTCGGTGATTTGACAAGATATACAGATTCGAAGCAGGTAGTTAAACTTTCTCAAACTTTCCTGTGAGACACGACGCTTCCGCCTGCAGCCCACCCAGCTTGCTTACCGAACTAGACAAAACAATGGCCCTTCCGCGTTGGGCACTAGGCCTGGCATTCTTCTCTATTCCTGTGGGAACTTATACCTATGTTCTGCTTACAAGGCCCAACATTTATGAGCAAATTGAAGAGGTGAGCTCCGGAGAGTTGCCGCTATAAGGAGCTTTGTGCCGATCATTGTTATCTTGTTGAAAGAGAAGCGTGTCTCAGCGAATACTGGTGGTGTGCGCCTTTTGAGCGTCATTTAAGTCACAACGTGGCAAGGTGTTGTAGCCGACTAAAATTGCCACCGTCCTCTCATGCAGGAAATTAAACGGCAACAGGAGCGCGACCGGGCTGCAGGAAAGCTGTGACAGGGTGCCTGACTTGATATGACCGAATGTTCCATTGTAGCATCGGCGAGCAAATCGGTGTGAAATGCGGGGCTTTCCATCAATGTAGAGACGATCTGGACATACTGACCGTTGGTGATGAAGGGGGACAGGCCTATGCGTTATGTGTGGCTGGCGCGCAAGCGGGGGTAAAAGGATGCTTCGCTGTTACAGCCGTGTGGCCGGGGGCGCCCTTCACGTTGCATAGCACCGCGTTAAGTTGTAAGACAAGCCCATGTTGACCACTACTCGTCTCCGCCCTCCTGAGGCCTAGGCGACTCCCTGCACACGCAGCACAGGGATGTACGTGTACAGTGGTTGTGCTCAGCACCGGTGTGTCATTTAAGAGCGGGGAAGATATCAGCTTAGGATTACCGATATTCAACATCTAGCCCTGGGGGTCAACCACGGAAGCAGCCCATGTGCCATTACCTGCGGGGAGTTGGGCTACGCCCCCGGCTCCGGCTGCGCTCTGCAGGGCTCCGCTCGCGCTCATACTCCTTCTCACGGCTGCGCTCCCGGTCCCGCGGGCTGCGCTCGTACTCACGCTCCCGGCTGTAATCGCGATCACGCGGGCTGCGGTCGCGTGGGCTACGGTCGCGTGGGCTGCGATCGCGCGGGCTGCGATCGTACTCCCGGTCACGATCCCGGCTGCGGCTGCGGCGCGGTGAGCGACTGCGTCGTGGGGAGCGACTGCGGCGCGGCGAACGGCTGTAGCGGCGGCGCGGCGACCTGCTGCGGCTGCGGCGCCTGTCGTCCCGGCGGTCGTCATAGCGGTCATCGCCTGCGTGCGCAGGTGCCAAGCAGTTTTAAGCGGGGCTTTGTTAGTTGAATGTGACTCGGGTTGACAGTTCCTTTTGCCAGGAGTCGTGGTGAACGCAACAATACTCAAGCAGCCCACACAGGCTTACAGCTGCTGGCGTGCGATCTAGTTCACAATGACGTTGTGCATGCCATAATTGCAATGCAGGAGGTGTGCCAAGGTAGCTGTCGGTTATAACGGTACCCACCCTTCTGGCGCGCCTCGATCTTCATCATGTCGCGGGGCGTCTTGCGGCCCTCGCGGGAGAAGGTCACCTGCAGCAACGCAACAAGGGGTTGAGGGCTAACTCGCAAGATGCGGGGTTCAACAACAGACAAGCCTTAATGACAGACAAGTGCTGCGCTGGGGTGTGGTAAGTCGGACCACGCCATCTGCTGCGTGGTGCCTAGTTGGCAGCGGAGGATCGCTACCGGTGCATGCTCTCTTAAACCACTCAAATGACAAATACTCCAATTGACTCGGGCCCCAGGGCTGTCCATGCAGATGTCCTTTCCCCAGGCATTCTCCTCCATGGTCGCAACCTTAGGACTTACCGAGATCTCGCGCCCGCTCATCGTCGACCGGTCGAGCGCATACATGGCATCCTCAGCGTCCCGAGAGTCCTGTTGGCACGGGAGCAGCAAGGAACGCCGTTACACCACCACCATCGCCATAGCTCTGATTAACCACATGCGGCAATGCTTACCTTGAATTCCACAAAGCCGAACCCACGAGGCCGCCTGCAGGGGTTTGGGAGTAACGCACGGGGTGTGGGGAGGCCGTCAATGGAGAAGGCAATCTGCCGTGTCACCGGCCTGTCGTAGGACATGTACGAAAGGAGGCGCTCTTGGAAGGAACCCTTTGTGCGGCTGTACCCTGCAGGCACCGTACGGTAAGGACCAGATGCCTTGCACATCAATTCAGCAGAAGGGGCATTTCGCAACTGGACACGTGAAGGGACGAGATCAGAAGGGAGCATACCCGTCAAGAGAATTCTTTCACTGCCTCTTGAGCGCCCAGCCCTCGGCCAACACAACACTTGGGCCTTGTCCACACACGCCTTGTCCCGACCAGCAAACACGTGGTGGTGGTGGTGGGCGACTTGCATGTGGCACTCGGCTCGGCTTTCAGGTCGCCTCTCGATACCACCTCTTCCTCGCCAACTTTGTTGTGGATGTGGTGGGGCTGAAGCGCCTCTCGCATGCTTCGCTTATAGTTACGGTGCTCCCAAGAGGCTGCCTCACGCCAACGTTGTATTCGAGGAGAAAGACCAAAGCGCATACACTAACTTGGTCGGACTAACATGCATGCGTTTAACCCCTCGCCAGACCCCGGGTGCTTGTTTGCCGCCGCTCATGTGCCTTGTGTGCTCGGATTGGCCTTGTGTGCTCGGATCGGCCTTGTGTGCTCGGATCGGCCAGGTACACGGCTCTGCTCGTGTCCGTTCCTGCCACCCACATGCAAGGCGCGCCAAAGGCGCGCACCGTGAGCGGTGTTTGTAGGAACTAGTGGATGCCGTCGCACATGCGCTCATGACACGGTTAACAGGAGGGCAACACCTTACAAGTGGCCTGCAGGCGTCGCCTAACATACCCTTCTACACACCACCAACTCACGGGCCCACCCCAACCCCGAAAACCCTGTTTAACTAACTGACCCGCTAAAACGCCTTCTGTTGTGGCTGTGCCAGCACAACCTATGGCAAACCCGCCGTCCCTACCCTGGCTGCCCGGCATGGAGACCACACCCTTACTCACTGCGTGTAGTAGTCCCGCGGGATGTACACATCCTACAAGATGCAGATGTTGCAGTGCTTTTGTAAGCAGGTAGGTTTGGCGAACGTAGAAGTGCAACATGCAATTCACAGGCGGTCGACCCCAAGGCCAATAGTGAAAAGGTACCAGTCGAACGCTTTGGGTAATTCTTACCTTTAACTCGCCATATTTTTCAAATCGGTCGCGCAAGTCCTGAATATGCGAAGGAACCAGTTGGCTTACAGTCCAGGTGATTACATCGCCTATTATCAACGCAACACACTAAGGGAGACTAACCTCTACCCGAATATCCAGCGGCAAGTTCCGGACCACCAGTGAAACGCGAGGTGGTCGCGAACTTCCACCACCGCCGCCCCCTCGATCCCGATAAGACATCTTCAGCTAGCAGGCCTATTAACTCACTTTATCTTCTATGCAAATGACATTATTGCAATGCAAACGGTTGAGACCCATGTCCGGCATGTCGTAATGGCAGCTGTCGTACCATGTTCTCATGCACGCAGCCGCGCATCGGGGCTAAGCGGTATTTTTCCATACATGTCTTCCTGGTGCTGAACACGGCTTGGCATGCCCATTCATTGGACTTCTGCATTGGTCCTGTTATCTGTCCCGAGTACTTTTACAAGTAGAGCCCATGCCGCTGCTTAACCCCTTGGCTGCTACCCTCGTCCCAGCACAACCGTGCCTCAACACATGCATGCGACGCCGCCTACCCCCGTGCCAGTACACCAATCCTCAGCTAACATCAGCCATTGCAGTCTTTGCTTGCTTGGTGTGCAGTTTGGACATGTTTGGAGGGTATGGCCTAGGACGACCTAAGAAACAACTGTAGCAAGAAAGGGGAACCCCTGGAGCACACCCAACCCGGGTTGCTAAATCACAAAGGGAACTTCTGACGCTAGGATGTGCGATGCCATGTGATGCTACGGCAGGGGACCGAGCTCCACATGGCCTGGAATTCTTATCATACGGATTGCAGGCTTAGGTTGCCAAGCACCAGCAACGTCATGATGGATCGATTTGTCAAGAATGAAATATCTAGGCTAGGAAAACAGTATTGCTGGATGACAGGTATGCGACAAGGTACGTGACGAACTGATGGTTGAGGATGCATGGATATTGGAGTCAATTGGCAAGACTTTGTGAGCGGCTTGCGGCTGCACCAGAGTTCTTCTGTTACGTTATACATCTTGCGGCCTATGCGGCTCAATTGCTCGTTCGTTGGCCAGTTTGGATAGACCTGTCTCTGTAGCTATCCAACAAAGCACCATAGAAATGCTAATAATAATTGACCCAATCCATATAACTGCAACCTATAATCCAACTATTGCCTTACTGATAGACTCCCCAACATGTAGGTGTTACTCACCCTGCGTCAAGCACCTGGAGCACTCACTATCCTGGCATTGGCTAACCAAGGTCAAAGCGCTTTCAGCAACCACTCTGACATATCGCAACTGAACTAATGAGGTTTTGTCGTAACTACTATCTATTGGTAACGAAGTAACAGCTCATTCCAGCGCAGCTGTTCTGTGAGTAACTCCCGCAACCGTAGCGTGCATCAGCCGGTCACTGCAACCGACCTACTTATAAAAGACCGATAGTTGTACATAGCTAGGATACTCCGTAGAGCGGCTCTGGACTTCGCGGTTTTGGTGGCTTTGGCCGTTTTTAGGAGCCGTCGGCTAGGCGCAGATGTATGCGCTATTCATAATCAATCATAGCTAGTATATGTTGCCGCAGGAAAATAAATGCAGACTTGCTTAATGCGTAAGCGACCCTGCGCAATTGTCCTGGGCATTGTTTCGAAGCCGTTGACCGTTGGCTAGGTAACGGCCAAACTCTTGCTGAAGTGATTTGCAAATGCGTAAGGGGAACAGTGGTCCTTGGCAGTTGTCTTATAAACAATATCCATTCTGTCTGCGCTGGGGGATGTTGTTCCTGCACAAAGCGCGCGAGTCGCTCGTCCCACTTACATTGCCAGTCAGCCGCAGCCTGAAGCCAAGCAAGGTCCAGCCACAGCACGGTATCTTTACACGCCTCATGTGCTTGTGTAAGACATGAGAAGCCGATACATCAATACGAAAGGAACCACCCCTAATGCCACTTTCATCCGCACCCCAACGCGTCACACTGCCAACCCCCGCCTAACCTCCACTCCTGAACACATGAACAGCACGCATCCGGCATCTTCTGTCCCCTCCCTCTCCCGTACCCCAACCACTCCATTACTTCCATCCCCCAACCTCCCTGTCCAGTCATCCTTCCACACCCTTCCCTCGCCCGCCTTTGCGCATGCCCGCACCTTCACCCGCCATCTCCTCTTCCGCATCTCCGGATTCCACAAAATCATCCGCAAGCGTTACCGGCTCCAGAATCTTAGCCTCATGCTCCACCGTAACACCGCGACCCGCCGCCGCAAGCTCCGTCGCCAGACTCCGGCACGCCGTCTTGTCGATGCGCGCACACTCCGACACACCCACGAAAGTGACCCGTGGGACATGCGGCAGCAGCTGCCGCAGCCCCTCGGGCGAGATCTCCGGCATGCCGCGCAGGTCCAGTTGCTCCAGGGAGCCCGCCAGGGCCCGCAGGTGCTGCGGCAGGGAGGGCAAGTGGCGGGGCCGGGTGAGGGTTGATGGGCTGGAGAATGCAGTGGCAGTGACAGTGCGGGTGACGGTTGGAGGTACCGGTAGCAACACGTGCTGTGAGGTGACTCCCGGATGAATGATGACATCGCAGCAGGAGGGGACACGTGGGAGATCAGGGGCAGGAAGCAAGCCGTGGGGACATGGCAGCGAGCCAGGTACGACACAGCGGCAGCCACACAAATGCAACAGCCCTCCCTAACACCCTAACACCATTGTCTATGCCCCAGCAATCACCCCCCGCCCGCAACTGCAAGTCCTCTACCGGTAAGCAGCCCAAGCAGCCCGCTTCCGCACCGCACCTGCAGTCCCCCGTCTGTTACGAGCTCCAGCCGCTCCAACACCAGACTGCGCACACCCGCCCCCGCCCCCGACCCTGGCCCCGCCCCTGCTGCCATCCCTGCCCCAGCTGCCACTCCCGCCCCTGTCCCTGCCCCTGCCCCTGCCCCTGCCCCTGCCCCTGCCATCCCCGCCCCCGCCCCAGCCGCTGCCCCCGCCGCCCCCAGCGCCCCCAGGAAGTCGTCCGTGACCGCCGGGTCGCAGTCCAGCAGCAGCAGCTGCTGCAGGGGGCCGGCGCGGAGGCGGGGGGAGGCGGCGGCTGCGGAGGCGGGTGTCAGCTGCTGACAGCCCTCCAGCTGCAGGCCGACCAGGGAGGGCAGCGGGGGAAGCTGCTGGAAGGCCTGGGTGTGGGTGGTAGGGGGGTGGGAAGGCAGGGTGAGGGAGAGGGAGAGCTTTCTGTTGAAGATAGATCAAGGGGGATACCGCATGCAAGAACGCACCGGGAAGCACCTACCGGCGGCAAGCAGCTACCGAAACATTACAAGGAAGCAGCCTCAGCAACATGATTACCCTCACTCCTCCCCGCCCCTTCCCCCCCACCTCATCCGTCATGCGCGGGCAGTTGAGCACCAGCCGCCTCAGCTGCTGCGCCCCCTGCAGCGCCCGCAGCCCCCATCCTGCCACGTGAAAACACAGCAGGTTCTCCAGACGCGGGAACAGGGGCGCAAGCAGGGGCTGGGCGGGAGGCTGAGGCCGCGGGTGCGGCTGAGGCTGAAGCGGGGCCGGAGGAGGGTGGTGCGGGTCCTCAGCGGCCGGCAGGGTGAGCTCCCCGAGGATGAGGGTGCGCAGGGAGGGCAGGCAGGGTGGGGAGGTGCCGCCAGCACCCAGGGTCTCCAGGGCTACGGAATGGACCTGGGGGACGTGGGAAGAGAGAGGATTGGGCTTGCAGAGCACAGAGAAGGTGCCTGGGCGCCATGGCAGGCAGGCTGAACACTGCACTCGTACAGGGTCATCCCCATCCCGCATGGATGCGCCCTGCTCCCTCCCCCCCCCCCCAACTTGTATCATTATCACACCACACTTTGGAATTTCCTTTTTCCCCCACCTGCATCATGCGCAGCCCCGCGCACCCCGCCAGCAGCCCCAGCTCGCGCCCGCCCAGCACCACCGCCAGCGACACCTCCCGCAGCCAGCCCGCCAGACCCCAGCCGGGGCGCAGCAGCGAGCCAGCTGGCTGCGGAGCGGGGTGCCACCTGACGGGAGGAGGAGACCGGGGTGGCAGGGTGGCGGTACGGGCCTCGGCGGGAAGGTTACCATGGAGTACGACACAGGGCAATGAAAACGCGCAAGACAGAGGACTTGCACGTAGGGCCCCCTAGCTAGTACATGCCGCATGGGGATCTCCACATGGGCGTCTTCCGCCTCAACCCCCCAGTAATACCCCCTCAGACACCGCTCCTGAGCGCCGCCCCCCGCCCCCCGCCTCACCACCCCAGCGCCCGCAGCTCCGGCAGGTGCGCCAGCCGCCCCGGCCCGCACCCTGCCTCCGCCTCCGCCCCCAGCTCCAGCCGCAGGCTGGTGAGGCGGCTGAGGGCGGTGAGGGGGGCCAGGCAGCCGCCACCGCCAACCACGTCACCACCCCCGTCAACACCCCCGTCACCACCCGCACCCGCACCCCCACCCTGCTGCTGCTGCTGCTGCGGGTGGGGCCGTACGTTGACGGCGGTGAGGCACCGCAGGCCCGTCAGACGAGCCAGGGACTCGTAGCTGCAGGGGCAGGAAGAGGAAACGACTGACTGACTGTGTGATAAGGCGTCATCAGGGCTGCAGGGGCGGCGCGGGCGGTGTGGGTGACACACTGAGGTGCAGGGGTGTTGCATGTGGAGGCAAGCATGCGGGGCTGGCTCACCGAGCTCCGAGAGTCCCCACGTGCGACCCCAGGCCCCCTGCCAGCGCCCCTCACCTTCCCTCCCTGTCCGCTCCTTATCCTCCTCCTACCCCCCGCCCCCCCTTGCGCTCCCTTCCCTCCTCCCCAATCCGGCCCCCCGCACCCGGCTCTGGTGAGTGCGCTAACGTCACCCAGATGCAGATGCTGCAGCCGCATCAACCCGCCTCCTGACCCTGCCTCTCCACCCGCCCTTCCTCCTCCTGCCCTTCCTCCTCCTGCCCCTCCTGCCAGCGTCCGGGCCGCTGCGTCCGTGAGCCTCCAGCCCTCCAAGCTCAGCTCCGTGAGGCGCGTCAGCGCGGCCAGGGAGGCCAGCGAGACGCGGTAGGGCGGCGAGTCGGGCGGCACGTCGGGCGGCAGCGGCGGCAGGGAGAGCGAGGTGAGGGAGGGCAGGGCCGCCAGCAGGCCGCGCAGACAGCGGAGAGGCAGGTGGCGCGTGCCGGGGAAGCGAACCTCCTGGTGGCGGGGAGGAGGGGAGGAGGGGTCAAATTCCATACCATAACATAGGAACTTAGGAAGCCACAGGTTAGGGCAAAGGCAAGGGGATAGGACGCGGCAGGGTGCAACAGTACAGACTGCAAAGGTAAGTGGGGGAACAGAGAGGAGCAGGGAGGGGCAGGGACCGGGTGGAGGACAGCATGGGAAGCGGGTAGTGAAGAGGGAAAAGGGTGGCACGGTACAGCATGCAGCCCACCCCTCCTTCTCCTGCCATACCCCACCCCATTGCACCCCATCCCGCCCTCACCCCGCCCCGCCTCCGCTTTTGCACCCGCACCCGCACCTGCAGCCTGCCAAACACGCCCAGGTTGCTGAGCACCACTGCCAGTAGGTTGGCCTCCTGCTGCCCCTGCCAGCTCCAGCCCTCGAACCACATGTAGGTGAGCGAGGTGAGGCGGCGCAGCAGGTCGCTGGTGAGCAGCGCATCGCCCTCCTCCACCTTCATCACCTGTGTGTGTGTGGTGGTGGTGGGGATTAAATATGTGAAACAACGAGTCCCAATCCCATATCCCGACTCATGTGGTGGGGGGGGAGGTAATAGGGATACGGATTCCGCATTAGGCCGGGTACTTGGGTTAGCGAGGGGAGGGAGGGAAGTAAGGAGTGAGGAATGAAACACGGTACCCATATACCGAGGGAGGGAGTTGCATAGGGAGGGAGGAGAAGGATATCCAATGTGTTGTGTGACAGTGGAGGGGGATGGATGGATGGAGGGAGGCAGGGAGGAAAGGTAGACCTTGTGGCAAGGCTGCACCATGGGTTCGTTGCGTCATGGGGGTTGCAGAGGTGAAGTGGGGGGAGCGAGGAGAGTGGGGTGGGATAGGGGTTGTTGCGGGTGGGCGACAAGGAGGGCCTCTATCAGCTGGGATGGAGTGATGGATGCAACGGGAATGTTGATGGATGCGAAGAGCAAGGGGTCCAAATGGGCAGAAGCCTGGGTTGTTTCGTTTTATGGTTTGCCACCTTTGTATGCCATTGCAAAGACGACGGGGAGGGGAATGCTGCTAAGGGAGAGATGCATGTGTGCAGGCCGTGCGTGCGACATGGGCTTGAGACTAAGGGGGGCAGACGGAGGGAGTGGTCACATGAGGGAGGTACATCGACTCTGGCCGTATGATACACCTCCCAAGGAGGACAGCATATAATGTGGAAAGAATGTACTGGCTTCACAGCAACTCACGCACCCAGCCGGTTGAAGCAGCATCGACGAGCTCCCTTGCTAATGTGCACGTGGATCGGAACTCGGGCAGCGCCCCGTATGGTAGGTAACGCACAATGTGCGCCAACAATTCCTTCGGCAGATCAAGAAGCTGCATGCATGCGGAGAGCGCAGAGTGCGAACAGACAGCGCGAGGGGCCGCGCAGGGACGCATTAGCTTAATATGCAACATTCCTCTTCTGGGCAGGAGGTTTCGCTACCCGCATGGAAGTCTCGGCCATCAGAGCAACAGCTGAAGCTTTCGTTTCAACTCGCTGCTGTGTTTTATGCGCGCTTCTCGGGTGCGCCTCTGGTTGGTGTCCCAATGGCCGAGATCTTTAAGGGACAACCCTGCACACTACCTTACTGGGTTACTTAAAACGTAGCGTTTATACTTTATGCAAAATATCGCGACTTTAATGGCAAACTTGCAAAACGGCTAGTCCGTCCCGGTGTTCTTGCTTGCTTGCTTGAAGACCCCTCACACGACTCAAGGTTGGTGCACGCCAACTTTCCATTGACAGCTTTCCATGCTTGTTCGCATTATATAGTCTACTACTAAAACGCATATCCACCCATGTCCCGCTGTCCCAGATAGGTCCCCGAGATATAACTCAATAACCGCACGTCCAAGCACCAAACAACTCCAGCGCATCATCTGCAATTAATACCATGATTACATGCACATACGTTGGGAGGGGGCTGGCGTTGCTTCAGGCCAGTGGGGAGAGTTGTTGGGCCTAGCTCGCTGGGTCTGCCGTACACAAGCTAGTAAATGTAGAGAGTAACTCCAGCTCTTGGCACTTCATGGCCGAATGGCAAAATACTGATACTAATTATTGTACTCAAACATTTTGGCTAGAATTTGCATACGTTCCTGCCTTCCGGCGTGGGGTTACCCATACACCACTGCGACCACAGCTCTGCATGCGGTGTGGAGTATTGTTTATGGCTTTGTGTCAGCTTGCTTGATTGGCGTGTGGGCTGCTGGCGGCGAGTGGGCAGGCTAACATGGAGTCTCAGCTCAGCATCGTCCGGCAGGCCTTGCAAGCCTTGTACGCAGCCCAAGACGGGTGAGTTGATCGGACATATGCCGGCCCACATGGCGTTGTGCATGGTTGCCGACAAGCTCCGTTCGGATGCGTACCGACGGCTTCATGAGCTCGTCGACCGCGCGAGCTAAAACCGCGTGCACGCCATTCAGTGCTTACGGGAAGATGGGCTGATCGCGTCCTCGCGTATTTGTATAGAGGTCATAGTTTATGGCCGCCTTGGCTCGCCAGCCACGTGCCGCAACCGCCCACCACTTTCTGCCCAGACCTCTCATGAATTGTGAACCGGAAACAGTCTATCAGTACATGTTGTCAGGCACACAAGAGAACACGCGCAAGTGCTCCGGCCGCGAGTGCTTGTGCGCGCGTAACTCCATGCGATGGGTTCACCACTACCCAGCGGCTAGACTGTCATGTTCGGTGCCCTTTTATGAACCCAGAACCTGACATGCGCTATTCTTGTGGACATCATATCGCCTAGCTAATTTTGTCATCTGGCTGCTTTCGCGAGTTTGTTTTTTCCCTCAATCGTTGCAGGGTCTATCCACTTTGTGACCCATACCCTTCCTGGCCCAAGCCACGCCATTATACAAGCTGTTTAAGACCCACAACCAGAGTCCACGTTTTCCATCACATTTTATGCTCATAAGGCTAAACTTCAGCCTCACCTTTGCTCTCCCCTTACTTTTGCCACGCCCGCCTTCCTCTCCCTCTCTGCAAGCTACTTCCTTCCAAATCGTTACCAGGCAACCCGCACCATCATCCCGGCATCCTTTTTGCTTACTAACTCCTGAATTTCAACCTTCCACCTTTGGAAACTAAGGTCCTCCGAAACACCTTCCCCTCTGCCGTTCCCAGGGCTATGCGCAAGGCTGCAGATAACTGGCTCCAAAACTTTCGGAACAGCGCTGGCGCTTGGCAGCTATGTTTGGCGCTGCTTTCTCGACCCGGACTTGCGGATTATGAATACCATTTCGCGGCACAATCGCTCCGACTGGCCTGCTCCAAAGTCCCGGTGAGTTTCGGCCGGTGGTTGGCAAGCGGTTTCAGATGGCGGCGGTTGCGGTTTCTGTCGGTGCTTTCGGTTTTGCGGTTTTTCCAAACTTGCGGTGTCTGGAGCCCGGTTTCTCGTAAATCCACTGATCCGGGCAAACGGACAGTCCGCATGACTAAAACCTCCGTCCTGTAGTTTGACGGCGCAGCACCCTCCCGGTAACTGCCGGTTAAGCGCATCGTAGGGTAGTTGTCAGTTTACAGTTGCTTTACAATCCGCATCATGCCAGGGCGCTGATCGTGCTGTTCAACAAGCCCAGCATTCCCAGGATTATGGGCCGGAGGAAAACCGGGGCTAGAGAAAAACCGGTTTCCTGCCTTGCCATGCATAGGCGAAAGCCGCACCGTCCCGAAACCTTACTTTCCTCCTGGTTACTTTTACTCTCAGCAGCTCAACGCGGGCGCCGTTAACAATGCCATACGTCCTTTTGCGTTACTTTTAGATTGTACCCTCTCCGTCACACACCAACCAACAATAGTGATCACCTTACATGCTTACCAGGTTTTCCGTTTCCAAACCACCAATTTCAACCGATCTCAGATCGCATCGTCTAACCGCCCACCCACAACTGCTGCCCCGCAGGAGGTCCTCGACCCTCACGTGCTGCAAGGTCTCGCCGTACAGTTGGCGGCGCTGCTGCTCGCAAGCGTCAGTGCAGGCGCATGGTAAGTGGTGGCGAGTGTGGCGAATGTCTACCCTGACCATTGTTGCATGCGACGGTATGAAACACACGGTGCTAAAGTCTCTTCACGGTGCGCAACTCGAATGCCTCCTTGACTGCTTGACTGATATCGCCGGTCCTCCGGACTAGTGGCTTCCGTCGTTATCCGTGGCCCCTACCCTTCGCCTACCACCTCAGAACCACATCCCCGAACATCCATTCTCCCTTCACCGCCTCTCCAAACTGTCCCCACCCCTCCCCACCCCTCCCCACCTCTCCCCTCCTCCTCCTCCTCCTCCTCCTCCCCGCCCTTCTCTCCGCAGGCCCGTAGCCGGCCAGCTGAGTTCCGCTCTGGCCGCCCTCGCCGTCCGCGCCTCTTGTTGGGAGGAGGAGGCGCTGGTGCCTCAGCTGCTGTCGCTGCTGGCGCCGCAGGTGGCTGCGGCGATGCTGGCGGACCTGGCGCTGGGGGTGGGGGTGGTGGGCGGCGCGCACAGCGGCGGTGCGGCGGTGGTGGCGGCGGCGGTGAGCGCGGAGGCGAGTGCGGTGTATGCGCTGCTGCAGGTGAGTGGTTGGGGGTTGGGGAGGCGAGGAGGGGAGGGAGCGAGAGGCAGGGGTACACGGCTTTCACTGGGATGTGAGGATGGCGGTTACAGTAGCGTTGTTATGTTGGTTGCAGTTATATCGGATGGCAGCATCTCATGCCTTCTGGCTTAGCGTCATCAACCTTCCATCCATCCATCCCTCCGTTGTTTCGCAGGTGGTGAGCAGCCTCCCAGAGGCGTGCCTCGCACGTACCGTCATGACCCACCCGCAACGCAAGACCCTGGTCACCGCAGCCCTCGCCGCCGACGCCACTGTCGTACCGCTGCTTCGAGCCGCCGTCGTCGGAGGCCGCGCCCTCGCCGCCGCCGGCGGTCTCGGCGTCGGCGCATTGGGTCTGGGTACGGCGCCCGCGACGGCGGCGGTAGCTGCGGCGCTTGCTGGCGGCGGGCTGCAGAGCTCGGCGCTGCGTCGAGCGGGTCTGCAACTGCTGCAATCTTGGTCGGAGCAGCTGGGGACGGCACCTCGAGGGCTGGAGCATGAGGAAGAGGTTGGTGCCGTGTGGGGGTTGTTGTTGTGCAGGTGTTGCGCCTGAGTGATTAATGATGTTGCGTGGTAGGCTCGTTCGTGTTGATCTCTCTTTCATTGCCTGTCCTGTCCTGTCCTTGTGCACTTTATGAACCACCCACCAACATACTCTGCCTGCTATAACCCTTCCTCCTCCTGCCCTCCTCCCCTCTCTCCTCTGTCTCCTTCCCTTCTCCACCACAGCTCATCAGCTCCCTCTACGAGGCCCTGGTTACCACCGACACCGCCGCCCTCGCAGCCGAGTGCCTCTGCGCCCTCATCAACACCTGCTCACCCAACCGGCCGGAAGTCACCGACGACGGCTACCATAGCGACACCTCCTCCTCCTCCTCCGGCCGCTTCCTCCAAGAACTCGGCAACTTTGGTCTCAACCTGGGGGCGTTCGGACACGCACACCAACAAGCCAACCAGGCCTACCACGCCGGCGGTGGCGGTGGCGGCGGCGCTGGAAGCCGTCGTGGGAACTGGGGTGAGGCCCCCGGGTTCCGTAAGCCTCGTCACGGCGGCGGCGGAGGCCATGGCGGAGGTCATGGCAGCCACGGGAGCCACGGCAGTCACGGACGAGGTCATGGAGGTTCTGGGATGAGGCACTCGAACTCACTGCTAGGCATGGGCAGCAGCGGCGCCGGCGGTGGCGTCGGTGGCGGTGCGGGGTTAGGAGGCCTGGCGGCGGTGTCGACGGGTGCGGCGGCGGCGGCGGGGCTCGCTGTGCCGATGACGCCGGAGCGGCAGCTTGCGAATGTGCTGCTGATGCAGCGGCTGCTGGATGGGCTGCAAGTGCTGGTGCAGGGCGCCGCGCTCGTGTTTCGGGAGCAACAACAGCAGGTGGGTGTGTCGTAACTGCGCTGTACGACACTCTGTCTTGTTTCTTGTTTTTTCTTCCACCGTACATCCTTATGTATCCATTCGGTATGTATCAGTTCCGCTTTGCTGCTGTTGCTGCATTCTCTTGTTCTCATTGCTGCGCCGCCGCCATCGGTAATCCCTGAACCCCGCCCGTCCCATTGCGCCCACCTGACTGTTGCCCAGGTTGCGTTGGTGGGCGGCCCCTCCGCCGCGGACGCTGCCGTACTCGCCGCCTCCGACTGCGGCTTCTGGTCGCTGTGGACCGACAGTGCCGTACTGCAGGCGGTGTGCAACGTGCTGTGCGCCGCCGCGGCTGCCGTACTGCCCGGCGCCCTCCGCGGCGACGCGGCCATGCAAGGTCGTTTCAACGCGCTGTGGCCACAGCTGATGGCGCTGCTGGGGCACGGCAATCCCGAGGTGGGCGCGGCTTGGACGAACCGGAACTGCGTGATGGGTGATGATAGGCGGCACGTCACGTTAGCAACCTAGCACTGCAATCATTACCGGCATACGAGCATTTTAGAACATTAGCGACATCTTCAACGCATGCCACGGCCCCTGCCCCACCGCTATGGTCTATAGCTGCCTGCTCACCCGCCCTTGGTACCGCCCAACCCGTCCGTCTACTGGAAGATTCTAGATTCTGGCGCATTGCCCGAAATAGCCCACGGAACCTAGCGTTGCGGGAGGGGAAGTAATACCTGCCGGCTGACGTGCTACTGCGTGTCCTGCTTTGCCGCTTGTGGTAATGTGGCTATTTGGACCCCCGGCATGCACCTGTTGATTCTTCCTGCTTGCCCTGCCTCTGCATGCAACGCCCTGCCTGTCCTTGTTGCCTGCTGCTGCGCCTCTACAACCATCCCGCCACTTTCCAACTCCCTGGGCCCCCGCCTCTTCCCTGCCCCATCCCGCCCCATCCCCATCCCCGTCCCCATTCCCCGGCCCCCATCCCTTCCTGCTCCCGTCCCCTACCGGACCACGCTCCCGTCTCCGTCCCGATGCTCTTGCTCCCCCTGGTCTCCTGGGCTCCAATGCTGGCCCCTCAAGCCCCAGACCAACCCCAACGCCCAACCAACCAACCAACTCAGGATCGTTGACTCTTGCTCCGCCCCCGCCCCTCTGCCCCGCCCCTGCCACCCTGCCCGCCCGCCCCCCTTTGCCCGCCTCGCCCTGGCCGCTCGTACCTCCTGTCGCCGCCCGCCCGCACAGCCCGATGGATTCTGGCTGCAGGACGGCGGCGCCGTACGGCGATCGTTGAAGGAAGAATCAACAACCAACTACCAATCAACCACCACCAAGAAGCCACTCAACTCCTCGGATCCCCTCTTCTACACTAGGCATCAACCACGCAGCCGGCACATTCATTGCTGCCGTGTTGCTCGTCTTCCCGGCAGCTGACCATGTCCCTCTTGCGTGCCCCCGTGCTGCTGTGTCCCTGTCCCCCATGCTGCCCCCTGCCCCGCCCCGCCCCGCCCCTGCCCGCTCCCCCTGCCCCCCATCCGCTTCCCTGTCTCGCTGCAAACTGCAGGTCGCGCTGAGCTGCGTCTCCTTCTGGCAGGACACCTACCTGGCACAGCTCATGCAGACATGCGCCGTAGCCATGTCGCCGACCCGCGGGTCAGTCCATGCCGTGGGTCTGCAGCAGCAGCAGCAGCGCGCCATCCTGCAGAGCCATCTGCCGCTGCTGGGGCAGCTGCTGGCGGGGCTGGTGTCACGGGCGGCACTGAGCCCCGAGGCCGCGGCTGTTGCTACTGCAGACGCGCGAGACCTGCCGGAGGAAGTGCGCATGGTGAGCAGAGGGCTGGGGGTTAGCTGAGCAACACAACGACTCTAGGAACAGCTCCTGTAACGTTGCCACTGGTACACTGACTGTGCTTTATGTTCTCGAAACCGTACGATGCAGGTACGACGCGAACTCGGCGCAACCATGCGGGATCTGGTGGGCCTTGTGGGGTTGGGCCACGTGGCGGCGTTCCTGGAGCGAATGATCACGGAGCACGCCTCGCAGCTGCGGGCGGGCGGCAGCGGCGCGGCGGATGGCGCCGCCGCAGCCGTGCCTGCGCCGCCTGCCTGCGCGTGGACCCGGCTGGAGAGCTCCCTGTACGCTGCGAATGTGGCGCTGTGCAGCGGTGTGGGCGGCGGCGGCAGCTCCGGAAGCAGCAGGTGCGGTTGGGATGCGGGCTGGGGTGAGGAACACGGTTCAGGCTTGCATGGAGTTACGGTAGATCCATGAAGCAAGCATGAGTGGAATAAGATGCTGGGCTGTGTGTAGTAGCTCCACCCATCATTATTATACCGCATGCCAACCCTTGCCGCTGCCTTACCTTCTAACCCAACAGGTACCTGAACAGCACCAACAGCACCGGCAGCAGTGCCAGCTGCAGCCCAGAAAGCGCCGCCTCCGGCTCGCCCTTTGCCGCCGCGGGACCTCCAGTCGACGACGCCCACGTCGCCTCCATCATCTCAACCGCCGCCGCCGCCGTCATGCATCCCGCGAGCTCCCTCAAGCTCGCCGGCACGGCGCTCACCTTGGTAGGCGGCATGGCTGCGTGGTTCGCGACACACCCCGGGGAGCTTGCAGGTCCGCTGGAGGCGGTTCGTGCAGCGCTGGGCTCATCAGACGAGAAGCTGGCACGTAACGCGGCGACGGCGCTGAACCGGCTGTGCGTGCACTCGGGCTGTGCTGCGCTGCTGCTTGGGCGGTACTCGAGCTGGGTGGCGGGTCTGCGTGGGCTGCTGCCGGGACCGGAGCTGACGTTGAGGCACAAGCCGGCTCCTGGCGTGGACCTGAGCTCCAGGGAGTTGCTGGTGGCTTCGCTGATGCGTCTGGCGTGCAGCAGCACCATTCCGAGACCGCTGTCGCCTCGGCCGCAGTCTCCAACTCTGCAGCAGCAGCAGCAGCAGTCGTCGCCTGCACAGCAGCAACAGCAGACGCCTCAACTGCAGTCGCAGCAGTCCCTCCAGCGCCAGCACTCGCAGCACTCCTACCAGCAACTGCAGCACTCTCACTCCCACTCCCAGATCTCCACATCGCCCTCCGTTGCCGGCTCGTCCAACCCCTCTAGTCCCGATCGCGATGCCTCCGACCAGCGCATTTCCCCCGCCTTGACGCCGCAGCTGCTTCTCCAACAGCTCCTGGCGCCCCGCGTCATTGCTGCTGCCACCGAGCTGGAACGCCTTGCAACCGCCCTCGCCGCCGCTAGCTCCTCCGGAGCTCTGCAGACCCACCTTCAGCTCTTGCGGGCCGGCCGAGTGAACTCACCCTACTCCGGATCTCCGCAACAGTCACACCCACACTCGCCGACTCAGCACCACCACCACCTCCACCACCAGCCCGGACATCTACACTCCCGTCAACATCCCCATCACTCCCACCACCACCACCACCACCATCAGCAGCAGCAACAGCAACAGCGGCGTTCCTCAGACGACGGCGGTGCCCCCATGCAACCCCGAGTACCCCTGTGTTGTCCGGGATCATCGCCGGAGCTGCAGCAATTGGGTGCGCTCGCAACCACAGCGGCGCAACGGCTCGGAGGGCTGGCCAGCATGTTGTTGTTCGTACCGGCGGCGGGTCAGGTCCAAGACATGGGCGCCAGCAGCCCGGGCGGACGTCGCGGCGGCCCCGATGGAGTCCGCGGAGAGACCGAGAGCCCCGCGGTTACGGTCGTGTCGATGGTCGTACAAGCGGTGCGGGCGGTGTGGCCGCACTTGCTGGCGTGCCTGCAGCCGCCGCAAGGCGGCGGTGCTGGCGGCAGCCCGGCGGCGGCTGGCGGCAGCGCCGCTGCCCCCTCGAGTCCTACCTCTAGGAGCCCCGGCGGCCTGCTGCTGGACACCTGCGAGGGCGCACACCTGCTGCCGGCTGCCTGTTCGCTGGTGCAGGGTGCCCTGCTGGTGGCCTCCTCCTCGGGTGTGGGATTGCAGGTGGCCTCGGGCGCTGCGGACCTGCTGTCGAGCGCCGTGTGCCTACTGGCCGCCTCCCACAACGCGCTGCCCATTACACCCACGGAGCTGCAGCTGCAGCAGCAGCAGTGGCCCGCCAACCTAGACTGGCCCGAGCCCAGCGCTGCGCCCTCCACGCCGGGGCGAGGATCGCAGGGGCGCGCTGCGGCGGCCGCGCTGGCCGCTGCTGCTGCTGCGGCGGCGCCGTCGCCTGTGGGCCCACCTGTGTGTGTTTTGCAGTTGGTGCTGGCGTCACTGCCGGTGTGCAGCGAATTGATGGCACACCAGCACCAGCAAGGGCCCCAGGGGGCGCAGGCGGCAACGGTGGCGGAGCAGGCGGTTCGGGCGACATGCGTCGTGGTGCGACGGGCATGCACGAGTTTGCAGGTGAGGAGTGTGCCTGCTGTAAAGGATACCGGTGTAGTTCCTGACGCTAGCGCTGTTGTGCTCAGTTGACGTGTGGACGTCCACTATCCCTTGGTCCTGTACCGATTTGGTCCGGCTACCGGTATCTAACCGTGGGTATCTAACGCGTGTATCCTCGGCTCTGCAGGCTCCTCGACCGCCCCCCGTCTTCCCCTACGGCGGCCCTTCGCCCTCGAGCTTTGGTCCCGACCCAGATCGGATTCTGCATGTGCTGCCGGTCTTCCAGTCACTGCTGCTGCATGCGCCGCAAGCCCTAGCCTCCTCAAGGTACGTTTTGGTGACAGGGCCTGCCTAGGATGCGGTACAACCAGACAACGCTATGCATATTGCAGTTGAACGTGCGATAGGAAGCGCACCCCGATCGCTTAGCCCCTTTTACTGGCCTCTCTAGTTAAGTTGGTTATAGCCTCTGCGTCCAACAGCTGACGTGACTTCACAAATGCGCCACACAGGGAGCTTCTGGAGTGTGTCGTGGCTTCCACCGTGGGCTGCATGCACTGCAACGACCCGGAGGCATGCCGCGCCGTACTGGACTGGACGCAGCTGCTGCTCTGCTGCTCGGCCTTTGCTCCCCAGGCGTCGGGCGCTGCCCCCGCCGCCGTAACGGCCGCCATGACGCTGAATGCGGGTGTGGTTGGTGCAGGAAGCGCCGACATCGGTGCTGCTGTGAACAGCCTCCCCGCCAGCGGCAGCGGCACGCTGTCAACCGTGTTGAGTAGCACCCTGGGTCGGAACACGGGTAGCCGCGGCAGCAGCAGCGTGGCGTCTGGCGGCGGCCTGGGCTGCCTGCTGAACCGCTGCAGACAAGTGCCTGCACTGGAGGTTGCCTATTCGGGCATTGCTGCGCAGCTCGATGCTCCCTGCTCGTGCTGCGTGCCTAACAGCTTGGGTGTGGTTCACACGATTGCTGCGCTGGAGTACGGTTTGGCGCCCGGTTGCGAACCGCCGACATCGCCTCAGGCTTTGGCTCATGCGCACTTGCTGGCCTTGGCTCAAATGGGGCAGCTTGGGCAGCTAGGTCAGTTGCAGCAGCTGCAACAGCTGCAGCAGCAACTTCAGCAGCAGCTGCAGGGGCAGCGTCAGGGTGGTGCAGCCGTAGTCGGCTGCCTAGGATCGGTGCTGGTGCTGTCGTTGATGGAGGCGGGGTCTACGGGCATGCCTCCTGACCTAATGCTTCCCATCGCGACGTGCTTGCATGGGGCCTGGCATGCCATGGGGGGTGCACGCTTCCGTGCTTGGTTGCGTATGGCGGCTGTGGAGCTGTCCGGGACCAACTTACTGGGAGGCGGACCCATGGGTCAGGGAGTCATGGGAGGTCACGCGGCAGCGGCGGCGGGCGCTGCTGCGGCTGCGGCGGCCGCGGCGGCGGGCTATGTAGGTCCTCTGCCTTGGTCGCGGCTGACGCCCCAGGCCCTTGCCACGTCGCTGAATGAGCTGTGGGGCGATGAATGCGAGCGAGACGTTATGAAGTTTAAGAGAGCGCTCAAGACGCTGTGTGGCGGCAAGAAGAAGGGCACCGGCGGTCCTATGTAGGTGGAAGAACAAGCAAATGGCGTCGAAGATCCAACTTTGGAAAGCGACGCTGGGTGGAAACATTGAAGAATTTGATGGTGGAGGCTGTTTGTTTCGCATCAGCTCGGACAGGCGGTGTTTTCGGATTTGTGTGCCTTTTGTTGGATCTGAGAACAGCGGTATATCACATTTGCTGATGTAATTCCGGACCCTAATTTACGATTGTCAATGTTTGGGTTTGCAAGTTACTCATAAAGATTGTACGTATGGCGTGTGGAATCGCCACATAACGGCCGAAACAGGTCTGTACGTTTGTGATAAAAATATTCGAGGTGTTGTGCGCCTCTGTATGCCGGCCCGGTGTAAAGCGTGCCGCGTTTTGAAACGATGCCTTAAATGCGGGAGGTAAGGTAGGCTGGAGCGATGATGTTGTATACGGGCGACCTGTATCGACTTCCGTACAAGTTTTAATTCAACGTGGGAAAACATCACACTACTATGCTCCTCATTGACTTGCGTGGGCGATAGAAACAAACGTCATCGGACTTGGTGCTTTCCTTGTGGGACAGCCTCTCCTCGACAATCCAGAGCGTGTTTTCAGCCCCCCTGAAACCGCCCCCGTCCCCTGCTTGCGCACTTGGTGTCTGATTTGTGTGCGTGTGTATACGGCTGTCGTTAGCAGGGTCTTCTTACCGCGCGTAAAATTTGAAGAAGCCTTTGTTGATTGGAACAGTTGACGATTTGGGGTCTTGGTCGATTTGACGGCGTCTGACTGCTGACTGACAGTTGCTTGTGTGTGCGTGTGCGTGCGTGCGTGTGTATTTTACCCCACTGTATGGCAGGGAGTCATTGACTTTGTGTTGTGTGCCTCCCGCTGCCGTGCGTTATACCGTTACATACGGCAACCCCCAAGGACGCGCGCAAGTAAGCGGATAAGGTACGGTTATGGTGCACACCTAGTGTGGGAATATATATTGCCCTTGCATAGTGCTGGCTGGCTATAGCTGGTTGCTGCGGCGGTTTGTTCGCGTGCACCCTCATCTCGGCTCTGCGTTTCAGAGCAGACATACGGTTGTGTGCGAGACCGTACAGCAAGAGCGTACAGCGAGGGTTCGGACACATCTATGGCTGGGTACTCAACTCTCTCACGTTGTACGGTATCTGTCCTCTGCCCTGCTGCCAGCCGAGCAATTTCTTGGCCACCGCGTGCCCTGTGTGGTTGTTAAGAACACATACCGACGACCAAAACCGCGTCCATCTACCTACGCGGTCTATCTGCGTGTGGTAGCGGTGACCTATCTACTTCTTGAGACGATGCGGTGCTACTGTTTTGGCGCCGCTGTTTATAGTAGCTTTGTTGCGGAAAAGTGTGACTGAAGATGTGTGATGTCTCGCCTCGATCGCGACCTTGGCTAATGGACCATCTGCGCTAGGGCGCTCAGTTCTTCTGTCGAGAAACGGGTCTAGATGTGTGTGCGTGTGTGCGCCTAGCAGTGTGTCATATTTTTGTGAAAATGCGGCACCATACAAGGAAAGCCAACGTACAGAAACGCAGGCGATGCTGTTTGCCGCCGCGTTGTAGGTTTTGGGCCTTTTTCTCGGGTCCGAAATACGACTTACATATAACTATGCTGCTGCTGCAGTTGCAGCTACAGCTGGGGTACAGTTGTTTCTGCTACTGTTGCGGCGGTAGCTGCGCCGAATAGGTGCCGTACTGGTAATTGAGTGCCGCTTTGTCAAATGTTGCATTTAATGTTCACGGTGTGGTTGTACTTGCCGAGTGACTCGCTGTAACTGCGTGTGGCATCCAGCATGACGCTTGTGTGGTGCACACCTACCCATCCTCCTAACAACGGCAGGCACCTGTGACATCAAGCTATTGCACCCGATGAAGATTGGCAGTTAACATTGAACGGGAAGGGCAGGGGGGGGTACATTTTTTTTGGTAAACCCCATGATGAATTTTTGGTGGCGACCCCTCCCGGACCCACCCACCCACCCTACAGAACTTCGAACGCTATTTTCTCAAATAGCCATACGCCAAAAAGACGCAAAAAAGACCAATGGATTCCTTTCAGTGTTCTCTTTCTGTGTATACAACTTGTTGAGCTTTTGCACCTACTAAGTCATGCCATGGTCGCACCATGCCATGGTCACGCCATCCAAGCAACCCTATAGACAGCAACGGGTGCACCGTTGTACACTAGCCTCATACACACGCACTAGTGCGTACTAGTTTTCTTAACACACGCACTAGTGCGTCAAGACCAGCAATTACCAGCAAGGATTAGCAGGGCTCAAACAACGTGCAGCGGCTGGCACAGGTGACGCAGCTGCTGCCGAGAGACCTGCCCCGTTCTACTCCCCTCAACCCCACCCCAGAGATGCAGCACGTAGGGGAGCCGTGTCACATGGTTAACTTCCCGGGCCCCTTCTGCTTGGCTGGGCAGACCACCTGCGGGTGATTCCCCCCTAAGTGGAGGCACCCGGACCCGCACCCTGCCTGCCCCCCCACCGACCCATACGTGTTTTGGTATCTCTCTGACCACCCATGCGTGGTAATGTCATCATACCATGCCCAAACAATATCAGGAAGAGGCGAAAATGCGTTTATAGACTGCTTACAGTATGTTTATCGTATAAATGTACTTCATTGTGAGTTTGGCAACGCCAGGAAAAAGTTAGGAAGCCCTCGGAAAAAAACCACTGGACCCCCAGACCCCACCCACCCACCCTGCCGTACAGTCACCTTTGGGCGCAGATAACTTTTTCCGTACAACCCCAATCAAAATTCTGAAAGCAGATTTGGAATGCTCTCAATAAGCTCTTTAACTTTGAATCATGGGGTCTGTCCTCGCGTTTCCTACCCCCCCCCTGGGAAGGGAGTACATTTTTCAATCCAGAAACCCCAGATGACAAGCAATCACCCGCACAAGGTCACAACCGCAACCCCTGCCACTGGCTTGTGGCGCCCATCGGCCTGATAGGCTTATCTAGGTTATTTGTCGCGAATTGACGAAAGGTTACGGACATAGCTTTAATTAAGGAAGGTCGGCATGCGTATGACCTTCGCTATAGTTGGATGGTTTGGATGCCGAGCATGCGCTGGCGGTTTGGTACCAACATACCGCCCTTGGCACACAGTTCGCAGCTAGTACTCTCTTTGGACGTACAGAAGCTTATCACGTCGTTAGAAGCGGTCGGCAGTGCCTGGTTTGAGAAGGAGTTTGTTCTTAGGATTGGCGATCGCGAAGGGTGAGGCCGTGAAGACGCGCCTCAGCCTGAGCGGGCTTTTGCTAAGTTGTTTAAGTAACTTGGTAGTTAAAAGAGGTCGCTCGAACAGGTCTTTGAGGTGCGCAGTATGGTCAAAAGTCAGCACCGCCACGGTTTGACAGCTAGCAAATAGATGTTAGTTCGGAAGAACAATTGCTACTAAGTAGATTGAGTCATCAGTTGGTGCGGAGCGGATAGGAAACAGTGCCGTACCTGTGCAGAATGAGGTAGGTTGATGTCAGAAACACGTCATAACGGGGCGTAATGACGCCAGAATGGCGTAAATGGCATCATAATGATGTGCATATGGCGTCAGATTGACGTGAGTTGTGCACCCCAGAGATGGGTAGCCCTCCCTGGAGTGATGCTCCTCCAGGAGTATATAAGGGCCAGGTTTTCCCTATTGTAACAGTCTTGGACTAAACCAAAGTCCCGGCTCCTCTTCCCAAAGGGCAGAAGCTCACACCGGAAGCAGCTAGCAAGTCTCTGGCCACAGCCACAGCAAACATAGCAAGTCTCTGGCAACAGCCACAGCAATCTAGCAAGCCCCTGGCATAGCCACGGCTCCCAAAGTCAGCCAATAGGCCCGAAAAGTCGTAAAGAGGTCGTTACACCGCTTGAAGTCGTAAAACTCATAAGAACAGAGCGTTACCGTGTAAGCGTAAGTCAGAACATCCCAAGGCAACATCATCAACATCGCGGACAAGGCCCTCTATACCTTTTCCTGCGTTGCAGACCGAGTACCAATATCCAAAGACCCAAAGGACAAGACCGTAGACCCTGTTCCCTGTATTGCAGCTTGTAACCAAGCCATCCCTGAGGCATCATCATCATCAAGGTCGTCGCGGACAAGATCCCTTTCCCCTTTCCTGCTAGTGCAGATTCAAGTACCAGTACCTTAACCAACCAGCGTCATCAGCCCAGCTGAAGCGGCTAGGGCGCTTCAGCTGAGGGCCCGAGCGCATCATGGCCATCGCGTCGCCGAGTTAGACCACCGACCTCGCACACTTTAGTTCCAAATTCACTTTAGGCATCCTTGTTTATATAATAGTAGGAAGAAGCTATTATTGACTGCATAGCTTGAGAAGACCTCTTCAGCATCCGGAACCGGCAATCGCGAGGACCAGCATTGGTCGGCAGTAAGGGCTATCCAAGTATAGCCACACCTTTTCTATAGTTAACACAGGAGCAATTAAGTAGGCGAAGCCCTTCAGGCACCCACGTGCTCTTAAGTACTGTAGACGCGTCGGTTCAGTTCCAACGGCAACGGAGTAAAGTGCCCGTGTAGCTTAATCCCTATAGCTGCCGTCACGTCATTCGTTATCAATTCAAAGCCCCTTTTATCCCCGTTCCCATAAGCTACTCGCTTCCGCACATCGCTATCCGCGCCCTCAAGGCATCAAGCATCTCGATCGTCCCCAAGCCCAACGTCAAGGAGCTTCCGCGCCAAGTCCTCTCGTCTCGCAAGGTCATCACCAAGGTCCCTACGGCATTTACACAAGGGTCGGATCCGCGGGAGAGCGCGTGCGTGCAGTCCTCATACGGCGCCGCGTGGCACTAAGTACACCAGCAGGTCCTGCGGCAACGCTTCTAGCCGGCATAACCCTAGGCTCCACCCCTTTGGTGCAGTCGCGAAAAATTTTGGGGGTAGGGTTTTGTCGCCGCTGGCGCTTCTTACGCTACAGGCTCCTCCCTAAGAACAAAACCTTGCCACCGCCTAACTCCAATTTCGTTCCGGTTACACCAACCGCAAGCAACATGTACGGCTACCCAACTGGATGGGCCCAGCCGATCAGCAGCCCAAAAAGACAGCCAACGGTTAACGGTTTCCCGTCGCCGTATTTTGATGGAAAAGCAAGCATTGGTGAGGTTGTTCAGTCACCCTCCCGATGCCATCGACACCTAAATAAGCTCACAACGTCCTCGAACGTCTATTAACGTCTGTTAACATCTCAGAGCTCCGATCCACAACTTTGACAGAGTGGGTTTTCGGAAAGGACTCACACATGGTTGCCATGGCAATCTGCCACATGACAGGGAAAGGATGGTAATGATGGCTAAAGGGAAAAAATCAGGAGGTTTGACGCGTTCCCGTAGAGGGGCGGCAAAGTAGCATATCCAGGCGGTCTTAGCCACCGTGATCTTTATTGTCGTACCCACTGTAGCATCCACATCTGCTGCATGGGCCTCTAGGCATAACCCCAAAACGGCAACCTGGAATTACTGCAGTTAAGCAAGCCACCTCTCAAAGCGAAAACCCTACTAAAATACTAAACGACGCCATTGACATGCAGGCGGTTAGTCATACTGGGTTTTAGGTTTTAGAGCTAAACCTCAGCCGGATTCTTCTGTGTACGACGACGCTCCAAAGCCACTCCCGGGGCACGCACACAACCCTGTGGACGGCAACCCGACGCTAAACCCACGTAGGTAGGAAAGCCCAATCCAGCTGCTGCTATATACGAGTACTTGCACGGAAAACAATGGCGTTGCCGTACTAGGACAGCAGTGGGATGTGATCCACTTCCTACTATGGCTGCTTGTTCAAGCAGGTTCCTGAGCACCTACGCTGCTACCAAAACACCAGCCCGCCTGTATACACACGCATGCACACACGGATCAGTTCTCTTAATACACGGAACATACCCTTAATAGTCCGCTTTGTACTTGAAGATCCATCAACGTACCAACCATATGCACCGTACTCTACTTGTATGCCCATAAGAACCCCTGCCTTTCACACTAAAACTAAACAGACATTGGCGCAACGAAGACCATTAAAGTAGTCGCAGCAGCCACCAATAATGAGACAAAGCAAGACCACGCACACTCGCGGGTGTGCACACTCCTAGTCGCGGCCAGTTTTCTTAACACCCAACTCCCACAATCACAATCACAATCACAATCACAGTACGTTCCAACTCGCGGCCAGTTTTCTTAACACACCCAACTCCCACAATTCCACGCACCGTTCCTTTCCGACACCATGCTCCCTCCCCGCCACCACACTCCATGTACCCTGTCCCAGCCCCTCCTGCTCGCTCACCAGGCCATTGGCATTGAAGACGGCATAGACGGCACTCCGGGCGCCTTGCTGCCGCCGCCGGCTGCCCGACCCTCCGTCAGGCGCTTGTACACGTTGCGCACGTGCGCCCGCACATCCACCTCCGGAGGCACGTGGCTCAGCAGCGCGCTCTGCCAGCTGGCGTCGTTCTTGAGGCGCAGCAGGTGCGGCCAGAGCACCACCACAAGGTACAGCAGGACGAGCAGGACGGTGACAACCAGCAGGATCTGTAGGTGGGTTACGGTAGTTGTGAGTGTGTGCTGGTGTCATCAGCTGTGGGTTATATTTTCTCAGCAGGGTACCGTACGGGTATTCCTCATCACGCATCAACAGGAAATGCAGGTCCTACTTGCTCCTAATGTCATACCACGAAGCAAATGTGCATGGGTAATACGAATGCCGTGCACTACCAACCACGATGGGCATGCTCTGCAGTCTTCACATTTGCTGTACCGTACGTTTGTACATACATAAACTCATGTCGTACACCCATGCCGTACCGTGTGTAGATCTGCCACTTGGTTATATCTCGAAATGGAGTAGTCGGCGAAGAGCTGCGCCGCCTGCTGCAGGCCGTCGTACAGGTCCTTGCCGCCCACAGCGTACATGTACATGTACCTGCGGGCATGTGTGACATGGGAATAATATGATGGAACGGAAGCGCAGTGACCATCACTCTGTCGGCACACGCGGGCGGCATAGCTCGCCGCAATGCAACTTATACCTTGCTTCAAGTTTCGGATTCGATTGAACGAATGCACGTTATCCCCAGACGCGTGCCGTCATCCGTGCCCCACACACAAATCCGCCCCCCTCTTGATGGCAACCGTTTTCGACCGTCTCCGGCGGCCCGTGATAACTAGCCCGCATGTTAATGCGCAACAGTCAACGGATGAGCAAAACACCGGGCAGTCATCAGTTACCGTGTGCTGTTGTACGTGACGTCCTCGTCCTCGTCCTGGCTCAGCAGCGTCATCTCCAGCAGCATGCGCCGTACCATGGCATCCAGACCGTTGTGCGTCACCTGTACGGCAGCCGGCAGGTGAGCAGGCGGACGGGTATGTAGTAACAAGATGGGTATGCAGGTAAGCAGGTGGGTATGTAGGTAAGCGGGTGGGTAGGCATGCAGGCAGGGTTGCGAGTAACAGATAGGAGGGTAGCGGCGGCGGGTAGGGACGCAAACAGTAAGGAGGCTTGCGGGCACGGTAGTCGGGCACGGAACGTGGGGCTATTGAAGGGTACGCCGTACATACCTCGTAGTACGTGTCCCCAGGTTGTAAGCAGCCGCTTTGGTCGTATTGGAAGCATCGTTTGGTGCGGAAGAAGGCGTTTGCGAATGCAGTGGAGGCAAAGGTGCTGGCGGGCACTGGCCGGTCGAAGACAGAGTTCTGATGAGAGGGACGCATATTGGGATAGGCAGAACAACTTGTGAGCAAAAGACGAGCCCTACAAGTTATGGAGTGCCATAGCAACATACACGCTCATTGTCCTGCACTTGTAGGATGGATCAGGGCAGCCTACAAACCCGAACAATAGCGCATGCACCGTTTCATGTACGGCAATACATAGAACGGATGCACTACAGCAGGTCGCACGAGTACCGGTACGACGTGCAGGTCTCCTCCGCTCCGTCCCCTTTGTACCCACTGACCTGCGTGATGGGGACTCCTCCGTACATGAGAGCGTCGTACTCGCTCTGGAAGTAGCGCAGCTCGGTCTTGAGCATGTCGCGCCACAGGGCCCTGGACGTGCTGTCATCCTGTTGGATGTAAAGTGCGTCAAATACAGCAGCGGGTCGTGCATTTATCTTTGCGTGTGCGTCCCGCCGTTAACGAGAGGGAAGGCAATCCAGACTGATGGCTGCAAAACACGCACGCCGGCCACACGATTGACTTGTCCGCTTGCATTGGCGTGACCCTTACGACCAAGTAGACCAGGTCAACGGAACGCGAGCAGGAGCAAGCAGGAGGAAGGTCAGAAGCAAAGCAGGGTTGCTAAGGCATCCACACGCACCTGCGATACCAGGCCGAATGCGATGGCCCGCACGCGCGTGTAGCGGTAGATAATGTGCGATGCCATGTTGAGGGAGGCCAGAGGGCCCTGCATGGAGTTCAGATGCAGCAACGAGACAACGTACATGACCACGAGCGCTACGTTCCACAAGACGAATGGAACCTGCGGGTGGGGAGGGGAGAAAGAAGGTTGTGCAGAGGTCGCTAGAGGAAGATGCCGCCTATCATGCGCCGTACACAGAGGCGGGTTGTGGGGTTAGGAAATAGCCCTTTCTTCTGGGTAGTCCTGGGTTGCGACCTTCTGTTGCAATGGGGGAGTGACCCGTGGGTCGCACTGGGCAGCGACAAATAGCCTGCCCCGAGCGAACGGATGTACGTAAGGTGCGAACAGCTGTTAGGTGATTGGGTATGCTGTCCCCACTGTATGGTCCGTTGGATGGACTTGAGGGGCTTGAGGGAAAGTGGCGACACCTTCTTTGCAACTCATACGCACCATGAACTTCGTGACGTTTCCGATAGACGGCACAAGCTCCTTGCCGTTGATATGCAGCCCCTGCATGCGCATCTTGCTGAACTTTATGACGCCGCCGCCCTTCTTGTTAGCCCTCTGTGGTGCACCGCTCGGAAAAGGGAAAGGAAGCATAGTTACGTTTGATCACAAGGTGCTGCCTGGAAGCGCACTGGCATCCTGCCGCCCCAAGTGCGTATGCCGCACACATGCGCCATGGCAAGTAGAAGCAACGGGGGTACGGGACCACCCCGGACTTGTCCACACGACGAGCAACGCATTTGCTCGCCCATGCTCATGCAGCGACACAAAGGTAGCATACCGGCACCACTCCCCACACCTGAGCACGCATGGGTGGCCGATCCCAACCACTCTCGCCGCCGGTTCCCGAGTTGCTGATCTCCTTCGACCCCATCAGCCCTTCTTGGGAGGCCGTATTTGGCGTAAAGCCAGGCCATGGCTCGTCTTCCTCTGCCGCCGAGACGGCAAACTGGCCGTTGGCGTTTAAAACACCCCTGGTAACTGAATCCGCGACAAGCCGCCCCAGATCAGCGACGCTCTCTTCATCGATGTGGCCGCCGCCAGCGTTGCCGTTATTGTTATTGGCGTTCGCATTATTGCTGCTACCGTTGTTGGCTTCGTTATTTTCATTATTGGTGCCGCTGCTACCGCCGTTGGCATTACAGGTGGCCTCCTTGCGCTTATCCAGGTCCATGACCTCACCTAGAAAAATCTTCGTGCTGATACATTTGACAACCTTCTTCTTTTTTACCCCATCGACGGGCGCTACGGGCGGGGCTGTTCCTGCTGCAACAGCGTCAGCAGCCTTCCAAGCTGCAAAGCCACCCTCCGCTGCAGCTTCAGATTCAAAGTTAACGGCAAGGTCAGCGCCGCCGCCTGCGCGCGCACCTGCTCCGTTGCTGTCACTGCCCGCCAGCTGGGAGGCCCCGTCGCTGCCGCCTCGAGAACCCGCCTCCTGCTGCTCGTCCGCCGCGGCATCGCTGTCGTCGCTTTCATCATCGTCATCACTGTCGTCAATGATCTGATGCAGGGACGTGGGTTGGGTTTATTAAGTCCGAGGGCCATGCGCCAATTGCCGACAGCAGCTCTGCCCAGCCCTGCCGCGTGCCTACCTTGACCTCCTGCGTGGCCAGCTGCCGCAGCACCGGCCCCGGGAGACCCACCATCGCCAGTATACCCGCAAGCCTCGCCGTCTCCAGACGCTGCACCAGCACCCACTCATACGCCAGGCAGAACACCTGGATGAACAGCGCCTCCACCACCAGCAACACGATCAGGGCTGTGGATGGCAGGGGAGGCGAGGGAGCAGGGAGGACAGAAGTAGCATTGGAACAACAGCAGCAGCAGCAGCAAGGGTTTGGGGAAAGGATGGCGGCGGCGAGCAGCAGGGAAGCAGGTAGGGTTGGGGCATGCACCCCATCCTGCGCATGCATGCGCACATGCTGCGGAGGATGCATCAATTCCTTTTTTCCGTAGCCGTGAAACACAGCCCAGCGGCGAACCCGAAAGCGTACACCTCCCGTGCGCAGGTGCCTAGCTAGCCCCTGCCATGAGCTTGGCACCTCCCAAGTCCCAACTCACTGTTCTTCAGTTGGTCAACGGACCTCCAGGCCGCGTTCACCAGCAGGTCCAGCGAGGTTGCGTACCCAGCGAACAGCGGACCCAACCCGTTATCAATCAGGAAACTGAATGTGCGGTGCAGCCTGCGGAGCGAGCCAAACACGGGGACGTTGACTCTTGTACAGTGACAGTACGGAAACAATGCAGGAGAGGGCGGGAGAGTGAGCACACTACCTTCGCCTCATCTTTTCCACGGCCTACCACCGCAGCCATACAAGACACTATCATCTGACATACACCTACGCCCTCCGGATAGGCATACCTACCTGTATCTATCCCGCAGCATTGGCAGCCAGTACAGCGCCTCCCGCGCCGCCGCCAGGTATCTGTTGCCCAGCACCCAGGCGCCGGCCGCCTGCTGCACGGTGCGCTGTGGCGCGGTGTCCATGTAAAAGTTGTACGACAGCGCGGGTTGCGTCCACACCGCGAACACGTCGGACATGAGGTTGTTGGGGTTGCCGGAGTCGCCCAAATAGACGTACTGGTGGTGCTGCTCCTGCAGCGGCAGAAGAGAGCGAGGGATGTTGTACTGCAAACACTTCGCGAGGGGAAGAGGAGAGGTTGCGCGTGTAGGTGGAGTGCGGGAGTGGATGGGGGGAATGGTTGTGCAACAAGAGGGTGCGGAGAGCAAGTGGCTTGGGCGGACATTACGATGGGGCCAAAACGGGCGGGTAGGTAGGAGTTGAAGAGGTACCAGAAAGGGCAGGGGGCAAAAACGGAAGGGAAGATGATGGACGCTCCGCTACCGGACGGGTAGCATGCATGGCTTTGTTGCCTGGTTACGGTGGCCCGCAGGCCCTGCGACACCCAGCAACCCTTGCACGCACCATGAGGTCAATGTTTTCCCGCAGCTTCCCCAGCGTGAAGTTCAAGCTGCAACGCGGCGGCCATGGCGGCAGCAGGCGCCCATGCAGCAAGAGAGAGACGAGAAGTGAGCTGATAAGGCAGGGGTTGCAGAACTCATGCGCATGGCACTTGATATATACGAGGTGGACAGCAGGTGGTTCACGTGCAAACGCGGTAGGTATGAGGTGCGTCGCATGGACCAGCTGCGAGGTGCCTCGAACGTCTGAGCCCAGCACACCTGTTTGAGCACACCGACACCTTTTCCGTGACGTTGGCTCGCTCGCAAAAGGCGCCCATCATGGCTCGGACCTGCGACCAATCAACGTGAGCGCATGGCCTAGCGAAAAGTGTACAGTGCATGTTCCATGTGGCCCAGTCCGTAACCACCTCGGTTGATGCTTCCCGTAATTACGACTGGCGGCTGGGACCACTGAGGGCCCAATCAACGTTCGGCGAGTGACGCGGGTGGGGCCCTTACCGCGATGAGCTGGGAGCGATCCATAGCAAGAGCTTGTTGGTGGACGAGGTTGACATGGCTGTTGGGGCGCGTCGGGAAGACGGAACACGATTAGGAGTAGGCTGACGCCGTAGGATGTGTGACCCCCCCCCCACTTTTCCAAGCCATACGAACACCTTCAGCAGCCCTACATGCCCTCCAACCCAGTACGACACCCTATTCTCCACGCGACCCCCCCACAAGCCACTCACTGGTGCTCCGTCTCAATGAGCCGCGTGATGACGACGTAGGTGGCGGTGTGCGTCACCAGCATCACCAGCAGCAGCGCGTAGCTGTGCAGCCGCAGCCGCTGCATGGGCTCCAGCAGGCTGGGGCCCAGCACTCGCTTGGTGAGAGCACGCAGCAGGCGGCTGCGGCGCATGTCAACCAGCAGGTCACCCGAGGAGTGGCCGTCGGCGTGGCCTTGGGGGAGGGGGTGGCGAGGGGAGGAGAAGGGGGGCTGTGAGGGAAGGGTGTGTGGGTGTGTGGGAAGGGTAGGGAGCGAGGAGGGATGGAAAAAGGCCGCACGTTGTGGCTGTGGTGCAGCAGCAGGCGTGGGCGGGGCGCGTGGGTTGTGGGATTGTTCCAGCGGTGCAGTGCGCAAGACACGGAGTGAAGGTAATGGAGGCAGATGCATGCATACGTGGCGGAGATGGCCATTCAAGTTTGATGATAAAATGCAACAATTTGTAGGGATGCTTATGATGTTACTAGGCAACACCTGGATGGCCGCACTGCACCATTGCTTACCCGCAACCCTGAACATGCACCGCACCGCTCACCCGTCACAGCGCTAGCCGCCTGGCTCCCGTCAGCACTGGACGCGCCGCCCTCACTGCCCTTCTCCCATTTATCCGCGTTGCCGCCGCCACCGCCGATATCCGCCAACTGCCCCCTTGTACCCAGCAGTGGTGAGGATAGCCCACGGGTGACCTGTCTTCCACTGGGTGCGTCCCAGCCCTCGCTGAACACCGCTGACGTGAATGACATCCCCGAAACCGGGACGATCATCTGCTGCTGGGCTTCCAAGCCCTGCTGTTCGAGACCTTGTGCGTCGCGGGCTGCTGCCGCGGCATCTTCGTGGATGGTGGGCAGCAGCAGCAGGCTGCTACGCGTCCTTGAAGTGCGCAGGGCGCCTGCCGGGATCAAAGCACGTTGGCAACATACAGCACGGCGGTGAGACGGTGTTCGGCTATTTATACTACAGTACATACAAGGAAGCCTTACTGGGACTCCTACTTCACCAGCACCGGTAAGGAAACTGCTGCCGCGGAGATTTACATGTATACCGGTTGTGTGCACACGCACCGGACAGCGCGCTGGATGGTGGTACTGGGACGGAGTGTGACACAAGTCCTGAACTATTGCGGCGGCTGGCCCTGGTGCCCTCCAAGCCGCCGCTGGCCCCCTCTACGCCGCTAGCTGCGGCCCGCTGCAGCCGCTCCTGCTGAGCTGCGGAGGCCACGCCGCCTGTGGATAGACGCACCCACAGCTGCACATACTCCATCTTGCTGGCTGTGGGGACACCGCAAGACAGCATAGGGGACGCAGCCGGACACGCGACACATAAGGGAAAGGTTGAGCAGTGCAATGCAGTAGGCCTAGGGTCCGTACAGCAGACTGGAGGAGGCATGTGGGGGCCCGGATATGTCCGCGGGCACCACTGGTGTATGACGCGTACGTATCTGCTGGCCGCAAGGGCCTTCGCACTTGCTCGTGTGCCCGCCCCCTACGGTGTAGTTTAGCCCTTTAGCGAAACCCCGCCCGTGTCATCCCGTTGCCCACTTACTGACTCTGCTGAGCACCCGAGCATGCTCCTCCGCCTCCAGGTCACGGGTCCACTGCTTATCACCCAGGCCGCCAGCCCCGTCATCCTCGCTTTCATCCGCCTCGCTGCGGCTGCCTCCTCCGCTGTCGCCACGGCTGTGATCGTCATGCCCACCTCCCGAGGAAGCGTCCTCCTCGTCATCATCAGGAGGATAGTCAAGTGCCGGCTGGGGCTGCGGTGGTGGCGCTGGCTGTCTGCTAGCCCCCTCATCCACGTCCTCGACGACGTTGACACTCTTCATGACAACGTCACCACCACCACCACCATTAGCAGCAGCAGGCTCTAGAAGCGACCCCTTACTGTCATCATCCTGCTTATCATCAACTGCTTGGTCACCCGCCGCCTCCTTCCTGTCCTTTACGCTGCTATTTTGAGAACGTGTAAAGGCGCCATCCACATGCAAAACATGCATCAGGTTGGCCCGCGCACCCGCAAAAGTGGTGTCCGGGCGCAAGGTGAGGGTGACCTTCATGTTGCCGCCGGGAGCTAGCACCTTGGAGCCCTGCATCAGGATGCGCAGCGTGCCCTTGTCAGGGTGCGGCCCGACAAAGGTCATGACCGGGCTGACCACGGCGTGATTGGAGGCCAGCTTGAGGGCGCTGCGCTGCTTGCGGCGAGAGTGGCTTTCCACAAGCTTGTCCCACTTGATGCCAGCGGGGATGTCCAAGAATCTGCGTGTGTACGTGTTTGGGATGAGGTTGGGTGTCAGGTGGGTGTGCTGTTTTGGGGATGCGCACCTCGAGGCTGCTGCTACCAGCCACCTGCCACCCTCTATCTCACCTGTGAAAAGGCTTTTTCAGCAGTGCAGTGGATGGCAGCCCCACTATGAGACCGGTCATGGGGCTAGCTCGCTTCACCACCAAGTCTTGGTCCACCTCAATCACGCCAGTCAGCATGTCCGTACGCCACAGCGTCACCCGGATGTGCGCGCCGGTCTGCTGGGTGAAGGCCGCTGCTGCTGGAGGAGCTGCTGATGGTGAGCTGGCGCCGGCACCGTCGCCCTCATCAACGCCGACTGCTGCCCAGCTCACCCCGCCGTTGCTGCGTTGCCGCCGTCTTCTTTCTTGCCCGCTCCCTCCTCTTCCTTCTGCTGCTGCAGCTCCGCCGCCGATAGCAGGGGTTTCGCCGCTGCCGATACTGATGTCGGCTTGTCCGCTGCTTTCCTGCAGCATGCCTTCTCCTTGGAAATCCTCCGTCTGCTCCGCTGACGGCTGCCCTAGCCATTCCTCCTCCTCCTCCTCCATTTCGCCCTCCTCCTGGTCGTCATTATCGTAATCCTCGTCGCCTGCCTCTAACAGCTCCACCTGTATCCAGGTATTGCCCATGTAATAATCGTCAGTTCATTGATTCGCTGCTAAGGCCATTCGTGTTGTTCAGTTGCGCACAGGGCGGTGTGCACCAGAGGACAGCAGGCTGCATACATGCTAAGGGGTTTCAAGGGTAGGTTTGATATACCGGTATATGGAGGGCACATGCACCTGCACATGCTGCATGGATCCTGGCTTAAGGCCGACCTGTAGGCATGCAGACCTCGATGTGTGGCCAGCGTGATGTGCCGTGGTGTTGCCGCTAGCGCCCGGTATCGGCGGCAGGAAGTGGTCGGCGGCCGAGGGAGGGGCGTGGACGTGCACTCGCCAGGAGGTTCCTGTCGTAACGTGATGGCCCAGAAACGTCATCAGCACGATTACTTACACACGTGGCGGTGCAGCGCTTCACCTTACCCCTTACCCCTTGGCGGGGCAACAATTCTCCCGTCGTAAGCAGCTGCACGCACACCCCGTAAGAGCATAATATTAATGCAACCGGTATACCGGTACTCCGTTCGCCCATCCCTCCCGCCAAAGCAGTCCATCCACCCCGCCCAGCCCCCCCCAGCCTGCCCTAGCTACCCGGCAGCTCCAGCTCCTTGTCGAGTAACGCCAGCATGAGCAGCTGCAGGGGAGCGTCCCCAGCGTGGTCTCGCCACTGCATGCATGTGGGGGGTGTGCGCCGAGCGCGTTTTGATCAGGACAAGGGGGCGGGCAGAAATGCCGGGGCATAGCATCACCGCGTTGGGAGATGTACAGCAGGCGCATGTTGGGGCGTTGGAGCATGGCGAGCTTTACAACTGACCCGTGGGTCATGTTGGTAGCAATGAATGCGATCTAGGAAATCCAGGACGTTTTCTGCTCATCTGAAACGCCCTTCCCGGGCACATAATGAAAGCTTACTTTGACCCGCGCATCACTATGTTGCACCGCCAACCCAGGCTTACGAACCTCTTGGAAGATGTCGACGACGTCACTCAGGCTGCACCCCACCAGGCTGCCGGAATAGAACCCGAAGAGCTCCGAGTCAGGACGTGACACCGACAGCACACGACCGGTGAAGTCCACGGTAGCCACTAGGCGCTTCTCCTCCAGCATCTCCTCTAAAGGCACCCTTTCAACCTGATAGGCGGCACCCACACGACGCCGCCGGCGGTAACATAGGTAACAAGTGCGCACGAGTAACAATAAGCACCCCCGGAATTAACTTCTGGCTGAGAGAGCATGCGGTAAGTGTAGACCACTGTGGCAGACTATCATGCATACCTGCTGCCGAACTGCTCGCTGGCAGGCCGGCGATTGGTGCATAGGGGCACCAGCACCGCGTAGAGGATTGTGTTATCCAACCCATCCCGCCTAGCTGACGCTAGGCTTCGTTGTGTCGTACGTTCGGAGTGCCTCGCTCTGACCCCTCCTTCCCTCCCACCGCCCCGCCCGCCCACCGCCCTCCCACCCCATGCGCTGGCATACACAGCCGCACCTACCTGCACCACATACAGCGTCATGCCCACATCCGTCGAGGCGGGTGCGGTGCGAATGGCCACCCGCACCGGCAGGTTGACACCGTTCTCCGTCAGCATGTGTACCACCCGCCCCGTACGGCAGCTGGTGGGCGGGATGGCGACCGGAGGGTCCTGCATGCGGTGGTGGGTGGCAGGCAGGCAGGTGTCTTGTCGTGTGCACACACCTCACTTCCCGGCAATCACAGCAATCCTTCCGACTCGCGGCCAGTTTGCTTACCACACGAGGTTTGGGAGCGTGTGCGTGCGGAGGTGTACAAAGCGTGTGCCCTGCTGGCCGCATGGGCAAGCTTACACCCACTTTACTTCGACAACCTTCCTGCATTCGCCCATGCCGCCATGTTTCCAATCCCCTTTGTCTTGCCCTCACTTGCGATTTGGTATTTTCCTTTGACCCCTATGCAGGCTGCCCTATCCTGCACGGCTTCCCTAGCCCTCCTACCTACCCTCAGCCACTTGGCGTGCAGAGCCCCGTAGGGAGCCGGCAGCAGCTGGTCCAGCCGCATGCCCGCCAGCTTGCGTGTGGTGAAGCCCAGCAGCGCCGGCAGGCCGTGCGAGGTGAAGCGGATGCGCATGTGGCTGTCCACCACCAGCAGGTTGCTGTCCAGGTCCTCGGTTCGAGTGCAGCTGAGCACAATAATACGCTGTGTGTCCGTGCCTGCGGGCATGCACGCGTCCGTTGTATGTACGTACTGAACGTACCGTGAGGACAGTATGTGTGTGTGGCAGTTGTAGGGAAGAGGGCTGGAGGCTGACACCAGCAATCGCATGCACCTGCAGCAATGCCCCGAAACGCACCCCATCGCGCACCCAGAAGGTGACCCCAAGCCCTCTCAGCACGACCCTCGCCCGTCCTCATCCCTCGCTCCCTCTCCCTCTTTCCTGGGGTTTCCTACCCGCCATGCCAATCGTTATATGCACCGGCAGCGGCCCCTCCAGGTAGCGGTGCTTCAGCCGCAGCTCCGTGTGGATGCTGTACGCCGCCAGGTCCGCGGCGGGTGTATCCCGGCAGCGCTGCAACAGCGCCGCCACCTCCTCCGGCGGGTTGTCCACCAGCGACTCCAGGGAGCGACCCACCTGCGGCGGTGATGAACACACGCTAACCCCGCTCGTACTAACTGCCACACGGTTGGCTGCTACCAATTGTAATACATGCCAAGTTCACGCACCAGTTCATTCTCCGTGATGCCGCACATGGATGCGAAGTGCTGGTCACCGCACAGGAAGACACCGTTGGGCGCCACCCAGGCGCGAATGATGAGGAAGTTTGGGACCATGGGACGAGCCACGCCTAGGAAGATACTGCAGCGGGAAAGCAGCAGCAACGGTCGCAGCGGCGGCAGGCGGCAGCAACAGATAGGCAGAAGTCAGCGGCCAAACGTTCAAGCAGAACACACCACATGCGCACGCGCAAGCAAAACAAGTTTCTGGGCGATCAGGATGTTTGATTGTGGTCCTGCTTTCACCGGCAGCGAGCCACACACACAATGCTCCTGCACAACCCAAGTGGAGTGCCGAACTCGTTATGCTGCAGTTTGTACACCCATCTCCATTCCCATGCCGTACCTGTCAGCTCCAGAACCGCTCATCTTGGTTACACACAACGTTACGGGAAACACGTAGCGCTCCTGCGTGCCATTGTATCGGAGGTTGATTGGTAGGCGTTTCCGTACAGAACATCAGAGCAGCGCCCCGTGCTTGACACGTCGACCAGACCAAGTTAATTAAACACGAGGCAGCGACAATCGAGCCAATGATAACAGCATGTAAACAGCACCGGCCGGGCGGTACAGCAACAGCAGCATACCGTAGATTGTACACATAGCAACAACTGCCGCGTCCAACCTACCTTGTGCAGCCCAAGCACCTCCCGTACGGTGTCTAGGACGCGCGGCTCGCCGCCCTCTGCATAGCGCTGCAGGTAGCTGTTGTGGCGCTGACTGAAGGGCGGAGGCATGAGCAGGCTCACGTTGCCACCCTCCAGCTCCGTTTTCAGATAGCCAAACACCTTGTGCACGCCCTGGGGTTGTGTTTCCCCGTTGGAATAGCTAGTATGCGCGATACCATCACGTAGCTCATGAATTAGCACATCATAGGTGCCGCACACGCTGTCCTTATCGAGAGCCCATACTTATGTGGCACGCAATGCGCTAAGTCAGAATCGACCCATGGGTCACTGCCGGGCTGTTCATGCTCCCTATCTGTAAACCCGTCTACTTCGACGGGCATACTGTATCCCACGTGCCAACCCATGCCGTACCAGGCCCCACCTGGCTTGCTGTCATGACCTGGCCAGTTGCGTTCATAACAATCACGGCATCATCCTCCACCACGATGTTAGACAGGAAGTCGGATGTTTGGGCGACGCCCTGGGGAGGGCACAGTGAACAGGAGGGCAGGGTAGGCAGGGCCCGCGGGTCACATGGCGCTTTGATCCGCCGGTTTTCTCCACATCCACGTCCACAGACAGCCTCCTTAACACCCGCACCACTCATACTAGCCACCACCGCCAAGCAACCGCACATCCGCCGCTTATTCCACAGGCATAAACCTGTTGGGCTTCAGTACATCTGTACATGGCTGGACCAATGCAGAGAAAGTGCGCTGCTGTCCCTTCGTGCTGAGCAACATCACCACATCACCAACCCACCTGCACGCAGCTCAGGTCCAGCGCCATGATTGCGTCGCCCCCGCCGTTGCGGTTTGCCTCCATGTAGGCTCTCGAGGCGGCCAACGTGTCGTGTTTCACGTCCTCTAGGAATTTGCCGTAGCAGCGCAGCAGCTTGCCGTTGGTGGGGTAGCGCTCCAACACTCTTCAGCAGCCGCGGGCGGTTGGCGATTGACCGTTGAGAATGGAGGATTAGCGATGAGTAGCGAGGTTGGCAGGTGGTGGTTTGTAACGATGTGTGTAGCGTTATGATGTACCGGTATTGCCGTTGAGCCGCTATGTCGTACCTAACAGGTTGTCTACCGTACAACCAGTATGGCAGAGGAGAGGAAAGCCCCTCGGTGAACTCATCCTGAGGTTGGCCTTACCATCCTCCCAGTCACCTCCTTTAGGCCAAGCAGCGCACCAGGTAGAGACGTCTGGCAGTAGCAGCACCAGCAGGATACAACGCATTCTTTCCTTCCTCCTGTTGCCCGTACGTCCTCCACACTCACCCCTGCTATCTACCGGTACTCATCCCACCTCCCACCTCCCACCTACGGACCCTTCCTGTTGCTATAATATCTACTACACTCTCAATATTTAGTCTTACTACTACGCTTGCCTTTCCTAGCCTCTCCCGCCCTACTCACTGACCTGCGGTACACCTGATGCGCCCGCATCATGCCCTCCTCCAGCGCCCGCAGCGCCCGGTCCACGTCGGCCACCTTCAGGCTGGAGCGCAGCATCAGGCTCCACAGCCCCGTCTGCAGCACCAGCACCTCCTTGTGCACGCGCAACACAGCCCTGCAGCAGGTGCGTAATGCACGGTAGAGGGGGTGAGGAGGCAAGAAAGGGGCTGGGTGTGGGAATGGGGTATGGAAAAGACTGAATGGCGGAGCAACTGCATGCAAAAGCGTGAGGACGAGGTTCAAAAAGCATGGAATGGAGGAACGCCGGCATGGCATGAGGAACAGGGGGAGGGCTCGCCCGCTTTCTACCTGAAGTTGCGCCTGAACTCGATGTAGGCTTGCAGGTCCATACCCTTCTCCTGGCTGTCCTTGAGCCGCTTGGAAGCCTCGCCGGTGCAAAAAATCTGTAGACCGCCGGATTGGAAGCAGCATCAGGCAGCATCAACAGCAGTCCACTGGAAGCAGCATACCGGTAGTAGCATCGGCAACATGCGTCCTTCCGCATGACTCTCCGGACGCTTAGGTATATATGCAGGTGCTACATGCATGCACGGGCTTTTACATGCAGCTAACATGCATCAACAAAGAAGCCCGTCGGAACCAGGCTCAGTTTATCCCAGCCCAGACCCCGGACCCAGCCGCCCCGCCCCCACCGCACCTGGTAGCGCTCCACCAGTGAGGGCAGCTGCTTGGAAGCCAGCTGCAGCTGCGTGCGCGCCGCGGGGCCGTCCTTGCGCACGTCCAGCAGAAAGTTGGCGTACAGGATGAGTAGGAAAGGCGAGCTGGGCAGGAGGCGCATGCCCGCCTGCAAGGGCCGACAGGGACGTGTGGGTACCCATCAACCCAGCCGTGCGTGCAGGTATATTGGGCATGTAGCGGTACAGCTGTAGGTTGGGGTATCGGGTCGTCAGAGGTATAGAAAATGGTCGCGTGGCCGGGTTGGATGTAGGTTGTGATGGTTTGATGTTTGGCGGAGGGGCAGCAGACATCAGGGTGTGGATTGTGTACGAGTGGCATCACGCACACCGCACGGACACGGGCTGCTGATGCCATGTGGTAATAACTGTTTGCTTCCGTGGCGCGAGTGACGCCGGCCGTACTAAGAACCGGCCGTACGTAGGCCTACCTTGATAATGGTTTCACCCAGAGCGGCTGCCTCCTGATCCACAATCCCGTCTTGGTCAAACTTGCGCATAACGCGGGACAACGTCTCCACTTCCTGAACACCGTCAAACTTGTGAATCCGCTGGATCTTAACCGCCGGGTCCAAGTTTACAAACTTCTTCGCTGGTCGCATGACTTGCCAAGACAGGAGTGCGCACAAGGATGAGCCGGCGGCAGCAACTGGGAAGATGAGGCGCAGGACCAGGATGGTAGAGTCGCGGCGGTGTTGCTCGGAAGAAGAACGGTCTTTGGCGAAAACCATAACTGCGTGCATGATGGCCGTGAAGAGGATGCCGCTCCACATGCCGCACCACACGATGTTGACGTCCGGTCGGTAAAAGGGCAGCTGCGCACGATGGGTGGCACATGCAGTGGGCGTTAGTTCAGTGGTGTCGTTGCGGTGTGGGGTGGTGGGTGGTTTGTGGGAGGTGTGGGGTGCGTGGTGTGAGGTGGGAGCGAGGTGGGTGCTTGGATGGTTGGCGCTGCTGCTGCCGTGATGCACGCGCGACAGAGCTGCTGCGGTAGCAGCCTAGGCCTCTGATCGCACTCCAAAAACATTGTCCCCGCAAAGCCTGCATGCCACGCCCCGCAACTAAATCCTCACCCCGCGCCCCAGCCAGCACCGCTAGTTAGGTTCCTTACCCTGCGGAAGTTCCACCAGCACACCATGCCCACAGCAATGGCCATCGTCACCGCTTGCGGCTTGGGCCAGCACCGAAACCCAGCCGCCGCCCCCACGTAAGCTGCCCGTGCCGCCAGCGTTTTGAGGCGAGTAGCTGCGGAGGGCGAGGCTAGGTAGATGCGGCTGACGGGGTTCAGCTCGCTGGAGGCAACGATCATCAGGGCGGTCACCCCCAGCAGAATGATGGCGGTGGCGAGGGCGACTGATAAGTGCAGCAGATGTGGCATCTCAAAGCACACTGTAGGGTGGGTGGGAGCAGGACAAAGGGCGGTGGGAGAGGAGCGTGGGAAACGGCGGAGCTGCCGGGAGGGCTCAATGGGACCCATGGGTCAGCGCATCGTCGCATTGCTGCTCCAGCGGCAAGGACTGCATGAAAGCAAGCACGCAGCTGCTTACGTGGTTTTCTTTTAGCTTGCTTGAGGCTTGATGGGACACACACACGCAGTGCCTGCTGAGGTGTAGGTACGGTGCGGCTCTCAGGCACACGCAACGCCTGAAAGTTTGCCCATGTTTAACCGTTTTTTACGCAAACAACCGTATACCCACATGCCTTACAACCTACCATGCATGTCGTTTATAGCCCCCAAGCCACTACCATACATCTACAAAAGACCCACCTAGGAAGGTTGTTGCCCCTGTCATAAGAATTACTGCAGCTAGGTAAACGCACTTACTGACGCCAGTGAAGTGCACATGGTCCTTGACCGTCATCGTGAAGTTGCAGTTGGCCGCGAACACAAAGTAGTCGAAGAAAGCCACCTGCACAGGCACAGGGCACGCACACAGTCAGACCTGCGGTTCAGCGGCTCAGCTGGTGGAACGTCTGCACAGTCAGGCGAGCAAGGTGTAGCCTAGTCGCCGGCACTTCCTTGCCCCCCTATCGCTTGCACTCGTACATGCATACAACTGAGGAAAAGTGCTGCCATACACCCGCGCACGGGCAACGGGTGTTCGTGACAGCGGCGGTAAACTTGGCATGATCTCCATGGCTAGAGGCTAGTGGAAGCTACATCATGCCTTACAACACGTCACGTAAAAGGCCCATGCAGCAGTGGCGGTAGTTGCATACCCCGCGCGTATGTGTACGTGCCGCAGCTGCCATAACGATACCCTGTGGCCGTACGTCCTAGGGCTTAACATAGGGCCGCTTATCAGCAACGCTACTTACGTAGAGGACGATGAACATCACTGTGCCCATTTGTACGATAGTGACCGGTCCGAAACGGGCAAGGAAGGGAAGAGACGTTAATCTACTGTGGTGTAAGGGGAGGCAGGTGACATGTTAAACAGGTGAGGCAAGAGTACGATGACAGTGCAGAAAAGATTGCACCACTATGGCCATGATGTCAAACGTAGTCGGCTTATCTTCGACAGAGAACTACATGGTTACGATTGTACGACAAGCAGTACTGACCGTCGTACACCACGTGCATTACGGCAGCCGCCTTGCGGAACCACTTCGACTGCTCCTGCTTGCGCATCGCCACCGTCAGCGCCACCAGGCCCAGTACGGCTAAAACCACTGCTACCACCATGACGTACATGACACGGATGTAGCTGTCATAGCCGTACAGTCGTACAACGGGCAGCCGCCACAGCGTCCACTGCACGACCTGCCAAGCTACAAAACACGTTGGGGCCGCAAAAGGAGAAGAGCATTACAGCATGCAAGTGACAAGCGGTGATACGGATGGGTGATGGGAACCTGTATTATAGGTTATCATAGGATGGCGCAGTCCTGGTAAACAATGAGGGTGACGTGGTACCGTAGGTACTGAGGGCTGTTGTCTGGCATGTACCGTACAACAACGGCGGCACGGTGTCATTCCCTTCCCTGCGCCCACCATATCGGCTCTGCCACAACAGCCACCGCGCCCCAACATCAGCAGCAGCGCACCTGGATTGCCCGTCTCGATGCTCCAGGCCAGCATGGTTGGGTTGAACGCCACAAGCAGGTTCATCTGTGGGTGAAGACCCAAAGCCGGAGTGCTCGCAAGCTGCTGGATGGATACCCTAGGAACCGCTCCACCTTCAGCGACGTCATGCCATCTCAGCGGAGAGGCCAACACTTCCTAGGTTGCACGGTCTACAACACGGCGCATCGTTCGCAGTACATACAACCACCAGCGGCAGCTGCAACCGCCGCTACGGCCGCTGGTACGATACCCGTCAAACACCATGACTGTCCTGTCCGCCTCCCCGTTGCTCTGTCAACCCATTTGCTACAATTTCCACAGCCAACCCACCAGCCCCTCAAGAGCGATCTTAAGCACCGCAAACTTCCAGCTGTGGAGTGTCGACTGGCGCACCAGCGTATACATGCCTACGCACGGCGTGGAGGAAGAGAAGCGGGCTCGGGCTGGCATTATTGCAGTGTAGGCAGCGCTAGCCAAGTGCGTGGTGAGACAGGAAGAGCAGAGGCCTCGTTAAACTAGCGAGGAAGTGTTGCCCACATGCAAAGACGCCATCTTGGAGGGAGCGCTTTTGCTCCAGCAGGTCCCCCTCATCGCTCTCAGCTGTTACCCTGCGCAGCGTTTTGCACAGTGCCGGGTTCGTCTTACTTTTAAAGGAGGGTTAATGATGTACAGCGTGCGGGTATCACAATATGGGGCTGCTGAATTGCTGTGCCCTTACGGTTCGGACCGGAAGCATGGAGTCTTTGGGGCCCCAGTTGCGGTTTCCGTTCGCTTTGAACGAATCCTACCAACGGCATGGACCAGGTTGTGTTTCGGCATGGCATGCCTCAGCCCACCACAGGGTCTAACCGAATGACCCATGACATTCGACGACTCCATCCACGACCAAGCATACCAAGCAGATATGTGTGACAGAAACATTACGGTGCTGCGGAAACTGTCGGTGGATTTATTTTGCCGCTAGCCCTACTCGTTTCACATAAACGAGCATTGTCGACCTATCCTTTACGTCATGGAATCATGTTCAATAAGACGGCATTCTAGTAGCGGGGTGACCATGGCTTTAGGTGCCTGGTAGCGCGAATACGCCATACTGCTGGTCAAGACAGGATCACAATTCTGCTTGGTATACTAACCTTTCTCGCTTTAGGAATTTCGAGTCGCTTCGTTGTGATGACGTCTCGCTAAAGGCGCCGCTACCAGAGACACCAGAGCGCTGGGACGAGGTCTCGTCGGCGTCCCCACGGGTAGACATCCTTGAAGGCGCCGACTCTCCCGGAAAGCGTCCGGGGCAACTCAGCTATTGCACTTACATAGGTTGCTAGATAATGCTTGGTTATACGTATTTAGAAAGTCCACCAATGTCAGCTGTGTCCTTCATGGGTATCTACAAAGCTTGCGAATACGACCCGTGCTCTTCTATATGTTTCACCGTCTTTGTGGTAGCCTATTGCTATGAGGCTGGGTGCTTTCTACTCGAAGGTTAAGGGTGATTGGTATGATCTAACTGATTCTGTCGTCCCATGTTAGTAACGGTACGGTAAGAAACGCTCGTTACAACCTTTACAGCTTTTTTATTCAAGAATCAGCATGACGAACCATTTATTATGCATTGGTTTGTCTTTACACTTCGCGTCTGCGATGTCTGACTGTTAAGTGCGCATGGCAGCACTAGCCATTGAATGTTCTAGGGAAGGTGTGGCATACCAGTGTATTTTCCAGAGGTAAAGACCTCTCATTGACTAGATGTGTGCGTAGGACAAGCCGCTTTGTGAAAGTTCGCAATGGGTAAGATGTGCGCCAAACATCGTCAAAAACCAAAAGCCGAGTCGGTATATAATCAAATGGAAAAGAATCTGTTCGCCATGGGCTTGGGCAAGTCCTGTAAGGTATGCTGATGGGCAAAGCCATGGGTTCGCAAAGGGCTAGATACATCAGACAGGTTGCACTGGGCATCTGTGAAAATGAGTTCGATTATATTTTGGTGTCGTTATTCTGTCCTTGTCCCCTCTACGGGATAATCCCTTTCGCTCCTTAGGCCTGCTTAGGCCAGACAGACGGCACGCTGATCTGCGTCCGCCATCGGTACATACTTGCCGAGATAGGTTATGACATAAGCTTATCCTACGGTTATCCTCTCGCTCAATTATATCCGGGACAATGAGGACGCCAGAGAGCAATCCCAGTTACGGTACTGTCAGACTGTCGCACTGCTGGTAAAGAAGCTAACCTTACGTGCTAACAAAGCGAAGATGTCATTTTTGTCACCCTGATTGCTAACGTTTGCGCTAGCTTGCAAAGTTGCGTAGACTTGTGCCGTTGGGTCGGTGTCGTTGAGACCAATATTTTTACGAGGGCAAAAAGTGCGTGCAAATAAACCGAACACCGCAAATATAGTTCAGTTCAGAACATGAGTACACAAACAGACAAGACGCCGGACAGCATTTCCGGCGTGTAGGTAGAGTTTGCGAACCGACACCATTGCAATCTTTCACGCGCACATACCTCGCGCCCGCACTTCCCCAACATCTAGCCAGCAAATGCGGAGCTCGCCGCATACACACCCTAGTTATCCAGCATAGACATTTCGGGCCCCCAAGCCATCCCCTGGCCCATGATACTACCCCCCACACAATACCGCACTTCCCCCTCGGGAAGTCCCAGCTCCTGCAAAAGCACTACTCATCCCTCGTCATCCCCCCATTCTCCCGCTCTGCACTACGACCTCCACTACGACGACGCCACAGCAGCAGCACCGCCAACCGCCCCACTGCTGTCACAACTCCTGCACACCACGCTAAACACATAATCCCCACGCGCGCCATTGAACCCCGAAACCACAAAGTAGTACGTAACGCCAATGTCCAGGTCTTGGTCGATTCGCGAGCAGCTGGAGGCAGGCGGCGAGGAGCCACAGGAGGGGTCGTCGTCGTTGGCCAGGGTGTGTTCCGGAGCCAGATCTCCCAGACCCAGCAGCAGTACGGTGTCGTACGAGGAGCCGCATGTGGAGGCGGACAGGGACATGGACTGGGCGGGCGTGAGGGCGTAGACCACGTCGGGAGAGGTGTCCTGTGGAGGAGGTGGATGGAAGAAGGTGGATGCATGCATGGGAGAACCGGAGACGCTTTGTCGGGGAACGGAGATGTAGGGGGCCTCAGGGGGTTGGTGTAATCGGCGCTACAATGCATCATACCGGTACAGCATCGTATGCAAAATTATCATGTAGTATGCAGCAATGGAGGCAAGCCTACTTGCCATGCAGTTTGACAGCTCGTCATGCCACATACACTCACCAGCGGGTTTCCCGGCGAGGTTGCGTAGTCGTGCCGGAACTGAAGCGTGGTTCCGCTGTCCAGGAAGGGCAGCGAGCGAATGACCCGTGGGTCGGCGGCCGTCTCGCCCACCTGCGGCCGCGTGTCCTGCACCTTGAACACCTGCACCGCGAAATCGAACCGCGGGTCGGAACTCCTGCGGGCCATGCATGAAGGGGCGCGGACAGCTCGTTAAGGAAGGCGTCTTGGGTAACCGGAGCCATCTAGAAGGCATAGTAGTGTTTTCATCTTCCCCGCAGTTTAGCGCGTGCAGCAGCAGCGGCCCCCAAGCTCCACGTGCATGTGTACACCTCCTTCCCCCCCTACCGGGCTGGATCCCAGTCCTTGCCGCCTAGGGCAGCAAGGAGTTGCAACCTCACCCCTACCGAGAGTACAAGCGACCGACCAGCCAGGATGCCCCTCATTCTCACCCCGGATATTCGCAGCCTGCACGCCCCCTCGCTCCTTCTGACCATGCATGCAAGCCTCGCCTTGACGCCCTTCCTAGGACCCCTAGGGCGCTGCTCCCCCTACTCATTCCCTTCTTCCCCCGCCCCGCGCCCCCCTTTGCGACCTCCAGCGCCACACCGCACCCATCAGGCCCCCACCCACCTCATGGCCAGCTGCACGTAGTAGCTGCCCTGCGCGGCGGCGGGGTTGGGCTGCAGCAGCAGGCGGCGGCTGCGGTTGAAGTCGGAGGGGGTGAAGGACAGCGAGGAGGGGTACAGGTCGGCCAGGGGCTCGCCGTTCCAGGCTGCTGGCACGGAGGCCGTGATGTTGACCTGCGGGGGGATGCGACAGTGGCAGTGATAGGGCAGATACCGGTAGAGTGACAGAAGATGCGCAGGGGGTGGGGCTGGGGGGCGGCTTGGGATTGAGAAGGATGGGAATGAGAATACGTGGGTCACTGGCTTCAGCCATAACGGTACCGTTTGCGGGGCCTTGCAAGATGCGTACCGGTACGGCGAGTCCCACGGTACATGCCCCTTGCTTGAGAGGGCTCCCCCCATGATACCGGTACCCCCCGCAGCAGCCCCTCAGCGTTACACACGCACCTGCGCGGAGGGCCGCAGCTGCAGCGCCACCTCCACGGTGGCACTGCCGCTGGCCGACAGCACCGCCACCGGAGAGGAGGAGGAGGAGGCAGTAGTGGCGGCAGAGAAGGAGGTGGAGGAGGAGGAGGTGGACGTGGAGGAGGTGGGAGAAGAGGAGGAGGAGGAGGACATGGCCAGACCCGATGTGGCGCTGCTGGACTGCACTGTGAGGATGCTGGGCGAGAGACGCGCCTGCAGCGGGCGGGTGGGGGTGAAGGGGGTGGGGTTGAAGGGGGCGGGGTTGAAGGGGATGGGGATGCGGGCGCTGCAGAAGGAGAGCAACCGGTAGGGTGCGGCGCGGGCCCGTACTCCGCAGTACTCCGCAGCGTTGCATGTATCACATGACATGGGTCAACACCGGTGAAAGGCGGCTTCCTTGTCTCTCCTAGTGCCTCCCTCCCTCATCCTCGGGTCAGAAGCTCAGTACTCCTCGTGGCTCCTTTTAACTAAACCCTCACCCCCTCCCTCCCTTCCCTTCCTTTCAGGCCCCTAATCCCTCCACCCTCGTCAGTTTCCTTATTTCCACCCCCCCACTCCCAGCCCTCACCGGCACCGTCAGCACCGACTGCAGCAGGCGGTTGGGAGTGGAGCTCAGGTCCAGCGGGCCCCACTGGCCGCCGCCCCCCGAGGAGGACAGCGCGGGGCTGAAGGTGCCCATGCCGTACCGGTCGTCGCTGACGGCACCCGGCAGCGCGGAGCGGAGCAGCCGCTGAGACACGTCGGCGGAGCTGGCGCCCTGGGGTGTGTGGTATTCGGGTGCGCGTGTTTGGGGGGTAAACAGGGATACATATACCGTAGGTGGCGTGTGTTGGGGGGGAAGGGGGGTCAGAGACCGTGCCAGACGATAGGATGCCACAGGTTCGGGCAAAGCAAAGGGGGGACGTGATTGGGGTGGGATGAAGGCGTGAGGCTGGGGGCATGTGATGTAAGTGGTGGAGGGAGGATGGGCGCCTGTGAAAAATGCCGTACAAGGACCCAGGCCGTTACATTACGTTACCGCACCGCACCGCGCCGCCTTCGTCCCTTCGTTGTTGTCAGTCTTTGCAATGCATGCTCGCAGCGCCCCATCTCCCGGAGGCCCCCTCATCTTCCCAGCGCCGTTCCGAAACCCTCCTTCACCTCATCCTCCCTATCTTCCGAAACCCTCCGAAACCCTCCTGAAACCTCCGCACCCCTCCTCAGCCCCCCCCCTCACCGGGTGCCCCTGCAGGTACAGCGCCGCCACGCCCGTCACGAAGGGCGCTGCCATGGAGGTGCCGGTCTTGGTGGCTTCGGAGGAGTCGCTCCAGGGTACGGCACTCATGACGCTGACGCCGGGAGCAAAGAGGTCCAGGCAGGGGCCCCTGGGGGGTGGGGAGCAGGAGGCGGAGGAGGGAAGGAGGGAAGAGGAAGGTGGGGAAGAGGTGGGGAAGAGAAGGCCCGGGAGGGGGAGAAGGGCTACGGTGAACGCGAGTGGCACATGCGACACTGGCAGCCGTTACTAGTGTACGGCTTCCCCTCCCCCATCCCTCCTTCCCCCCCTCCCCACCGCCCCTCCCTCCCTCACCAGTTGGACATGTACCAGCGGCTCCCGTCCGTGTCGATGGCCCCCACCGCGATGGCTCCCGGGGCGGAGGCGGGAGACACGGAGCAGGCGTCGCGGTTGTGGTTGCCGGCTGCAGTCACCACCACCGCACCCAGCCTGGAGGGAAGGGAGGAGGAGGGAGGAAAGGGAGGAGGAGGGAGGAAAGGGAGGAGGAGGGAGGAAAGGGAGGAGGAGGGAGGGAAGGTAGGAGGAGGGAGGGAAGGGAGGGGAGGTGGAGGGAGGGAAGGTAGGAAGGGAACAAGGATGCGGTTGGGGGGATGGGGCCACAGGTGGGTATGATAAGGGCATAGCAGCCACCGGAATGAACGCCTCCTGCTGCGTGCAACCTGTACCACATATACACAGCGTGCATCACAGTACGACGCTCCCATTCGCGGCCAGTTTTCCTAAACACCGCAAGCCAGTTGGTTTAACGGCAATTCGTGTACGGCAACCCAACCCGCGCACCTGTTCACCAGGTTGTCCACCGCTGCGTTGATGGCGGCGCTGTAGTAGCCCTCCAGCGACATGTGTACGACAGCGGGGTACTGCAGGTTGGCGGCAACCCACTCCAGACCCTATGGGAGGGAGGGAAGATGGAAGGGGAAGGGGGCGGGAACCGGTGTGTGTGTGTTATGGGGCTCCTTCAGCGAGCTTTGTACAGCTTAGCTTGTGCCCTCAGTTGCCTCGAACTCAGATAACCATCCATAATGTGGTGCGCGGAACTGTGCAGGATTATCCTCGGCCCTCACTCGCGGCAGTTGTGCATGCCCGCTTACCTGCAGCAGTGTGGACTCGTTGGTGTTGCCGTAGCAATCCAGAACCTGTACGGCAACAAACAGGGAGGAAGCGGGGACAAGTTCAAGGCGGTGGGAACTGGGTCAAGCGTAGGAGGGGGCATCACGAGCTACAGCGTCAACGTACCCCCCACGCTTCTCTCTTTCCCTCCCTCCTCCTGGCTTCCCTCCCTAATCCCCGCTTGCATCTCCTCTCCATGCTCTAATCTAAACCGTCTGCGTTACTCGCCCAAACCCCACCTTCACCGGGTGCAGTGTCACGTTCTTCGCAACTCCGTTATCCAGACCGCCAATGATGGCTGCCACGTGCGTTCCATGGCCGTAGCAGTCGTCCGTACTGCTGATCTGGGTCGGGTCCTGTGACCCCGCGGTGACCGCGGAGAAGCCGCCCCGGACCCGACTGGCGCTCCCGGGGACGATGGCTGACTTGGGGGCGGTGCTGGGGGTTGTAGCAGAGGAGGGGCTGCTGGGGCTAGCGGAGGAGGTGGAAGAGGAGGAGGTTTTGGCGGTTGACATGGTGGTTGGGGTGGTTGATGTCAGTGAGGATACGACTCGGAATTGCTGGTGGGAGGCGCGGATGCCCGAGTCGACCACGTACACATGCACGCCGGTACCTTGGAGGGAAGGAGAGGGCAGAGGGGGTAGGCGGACGGGGGAGGTTGCGGAAACGGAAGACATGTAGCAGACGAGAGAGGACAGGTAGGAGGACAACACCGCTGTTCCCATGCGGATAGCGCAGATTACGACCGGTATGTGTTCAACCCATTTTCACGGGGCCATAGCCTTAAACCCTCATACCCAGCTTTTGCCTAAAACCCAGCCCGGCAGCCCCGACCCAGATCACCCACCGAGGTTATCGTAGTGATACACGCGGTCCAGCGGCAAGTCCGGCTGGTCGATGCGGTCCAGGCCCCAGGTGACCGGGTCCAACTGCTCCGGCAGCAGCCGCGAGGGCAGCCGCCCGCTGCCGGTTGCATTCCCATTGCCGTTGGCTGCATCAGCTTGCTGCTGCTGAGTCAGCTGTTGCGCCAGCGCTGTGATCTGGGTCAGCTCGTCAGCTGTGAGCAGCTCATCGCCCACCTGGGTTTGGGAGGTGGGGGGGTGGGGAATGGAGGATGGTATTAATGGGGCTGGGGATTGGGGAGGTGAGGTGAGGTGAGGGGACGTAAGGCGATGTGGGTCAGCGTACGGGATAAGCAACATATGTTGTCATTAAACATATATTAGCAGGACTGCGCAACTGCGACCTGGCTGTGCGATGCCAGCAATGCTGTCGTGGTGGCATAGCCTCCGAGCCACGCCCTCCGGCCTCCTCCTTAAACGCACCGAAAGAGCCTGATCGCGAGTAACATGGTCCAAGGAGTTCTTGTAGCGCTGCTGCACCGCGCGTAAGGCTTCGCGGGTAAACTGCCCTGCACACCGTAAGAGTGAGGTGCGGAGTATGTCAATCCACTGCGTTACGTAGCAGCTGGGCATAAGGTATCGCGGCAAGGACGGTGGGAATCCGTAGTCCGAGGTACTGGCAGGGCTAAAGTGCTCCTACATACCTGATACTCCACGAAGTAACGTCTGGAAGGTCCCGGTGCAGTTGTAAGAGTGAAGCTTGCGAAGAGGGTTGGAGCCGTCGCATAGCGAGGACGCAAAGCTGTCAACGTCAACGCTTGGCTCCAGCACCAATATCCAGCTTTCTAACGGTGACGAGGTATTAATTGTTGGTGTGGGCTGCACGTCTGCGGCATCTCCGCTGAAGGCATGGCGAGGATGTCCGTCGGGCATGCACGTCAAAAAAGCACAAGGTCAGGCCCTTCTCCATATAATTAGGAAGCTGGCATAAGTGGTCTTTACGCAATATTACTGACCTTAATAAACAGCCAGCAGCTAGCAGAATAACTATTCCCGTCGCCGAAGCACAACGTGACAACCTCAGCATACCGGTATCGGTATTAGTAAGGGATGGCCTCTATAAGGTAAGAATATAGTTAATCTGTGTTCAAGGTGATATGGGCCACGACGTGCGCGAGGCGTTCGCGAGATGAGATGTTTTCCTATGGCATATACTTTCCCTGAGACTAGGAACTTAGCAAAACATGTAGGGTCGGATACCGTGAAAAGAGAATGCCTTAGCGGCTCTTGGTATAATGTCCATGCGGATGCGACCGCCAAAATGCGTACGGTCTTACTCATGCGCGGAGTCCTTCGCAAACAGGGACCTTGGCCTACTGCATAAGCACTTAATACGTCATAGATAATAAAATATCCTTTACATGGATACATGGCCCACTGCGGCTATGACAAGATCCGCCTCTGAGCATGGCATCGCGTGAACATTGACAGGGGCAAGCTCATCTTTACCTACCGAGGGTGCGCAGAAGTCCAACCAAACCCTAAGCAAAACAAACCTTGACCACCAGCTCATCTACAGTTGAGACCGTAACATGGCCATGCCGTTGGCCCCGACGACCTGCCCGCCGGTTCACGCCCAGCCAGGCCGCAAACATTAAAGCACCAGGTCCGACATGAGGAATCCACTACCGGTATAGATTGGTTGCAGGGGTGCGCGTGCAGCCAAAAGCAGCTACACGCCTTTCCTCGCCAAGCAAGCTGGAGAGCACTAAGGACAGCCACCTATGCTCACCCAGCTCACAAACACACTAAAGCATAACAACCTAAGGGCCAGCAGAGAAATGACTCAGATGCAGGCATGCCTGCTATCAAACGCACACTGAGAAGCATGTATTTCCTTCTCCGAATTTGTATATTGCCAAGAAACATACAGTCGCGTCCCCTTTTGCTCGACAGCAGCCGTATGATAGCCTAAGCTGAAGGGAACCTCCGTGCATACAGCCAGCGGCAATTGCCCGCCCAGGCCATAGGACAAACTGGATAACCATGGCAACCTGAACAAACAGTATGCGAGTCACCAAGGCTCGTTAGCAACGTCGAGCGCAACCGAGTTCAAAGAACATAGCATTCGGAGACCCTGCAGACCCACTGCATTATTGCCCACGGCGCCATCACGATCCCAAACCGTGCATCGCACACAGAGCTCACCAAACAAGCAATACAATCCGCACATTGTATGATTCAAATACGACAGCCTTGCGCCGACCAAACAAATCGTACAATAAAAAACCAAACTCCCCGTCATACAACTTGCATCTTACATCTCACGGGCAGAGGTGCAAAATCCTATACGCTGCTAAACTTCTTCACCGTGCGGACCAAACCACCACCGGTGATGAGAAACCGATAAACGGAACCGGGCCGAATCCAGATCCAAATGTACGGCGCCTCTTTCCACAACAAACCACGCCAATGCGCTCTGGAGAGCCGTACAAACAAACAAAGCGACACCAAACCACGTTAGCCCACAACCAAAATGTGTGGTTGCAGCAAGTCTGCAGCGCATACAGCAGGGAAAGATGCATTGTACAGGCCCACACGGGTTCCATCTGCACACACAGGCGCGCTGCGCACAGGCTCAATTGCACGCAGCGTGGAAACGACGCGGCTGATATGGGCCATCTGGGTCGAGGTGCTCAGTACGAACTAGTACGTGGCAGCCTCTTCATGCCCTTGTCGTAGGCGGTACCACCAAACGGGCTATGCACGTGACGGCTAACTGCCCATCGCGCCCTCACGCCTCATGTTCCCTGACCTACTTGAACTACCGTGAGAAAGGGAAGGGAAGGGTTTGGACGCCAGGAAAGCCGCAATGACTGGGGTCGGCAATTCGCAAAGTTCATGATACCGCAAAGTTGGGGCCAGTGGGCCTAAGAGGTGGTTGATACAACAGAAGAGCACTACGGCCGCCAGCCTCCCCCTTACCGGCAGATTACGTTCTACCAAAGCATAAAATGTCACGACATCTCTACCAGATACACCTTTCCAGACCAGCATGTTAATAACGAAAAAGGGGCCCTCCCTGGTTGGTACGTCGGCCGCTTGCAACACGACGAAACCCGGTTACCTCGCCAATAAAACATTAATTGCACTTTTCTTGTCCGTACAAACCCGAACAATCGCAGACCCCAAGAGCACACCGAAAGATTTTACAGTGACGAAATCCATGACCTGCCACCGACGAACGACTCGTAACAAAATAACCAAAGACGCTTCTGCTGAAGCCCCAAGCGCAGTTCATGTCGGCGCCGCACCTCGCCCCTGCCTACCAGTCCGCCTCCCCTCACAAGTAGCGCTTCACAACGTAGTCACCCCAGTACACCGCGTACTGGTCTCGCTGGAACACCGCGCAGCTGATGTCGCCGCCAGCCCACAGCCCCATGCACCAGCTCCTGCGACCCATGGGTCACACAGTCCACCATCAGTCCAGCACAACGTGCATAGCGAGTACACATGCACAGTGTAACAGGTCCCGGACTGACTCACCAGTTCTTGAAGGAGGGCAGGCGGTTGATGACGTCAACCGCTTGACCGTTGACCTTGAGCAGCAGTTGGTTGCATTGCTGGCCCTGCCGCAGAATAAGCTCCACGGAGTCACCTGTTAGGCGGGAGGTGAGGGTGGGTCAGAGAGGTCGAATAAGAACAAGGATGAGATAAAAGGGTGAGGTAAAGGGGTGAGGTAAAGGGGTGAGATAAAGGGGTGAGGTAAAGGGGTGAGAGGAGAAGGCTGCGAAAGCCCCTGTCACCGCAAGGATCCTAAATACCGTAATCCATGAAGCAAGCGTGGTGACCACTACCTGTATGCATGCTAGCATGTCCAACCCCCGCGCCCGGCACCTCAATTACGCTGCCGTACCTTTCCTCCACAGCGGCTGCCTCAGGTCCCCCATCGACTGCAGCTCCCCAGCTCCCCCGGCGGGCGAGGGCTCCGACATGAGGTCCTCCGAGAGCCCCAGCAGACCCGAGAACGGATCCTGCTCGTCCGCGTAAGCAGGGCCGCCGCCGCTGCTGCGACCCGCCGGGTCACTCCTGCCGGCGGGGGCTGCAGGGGAGTCCAGCCCGCCGACAGCACCGCCGTACGAAGGACGGTTGGGGCCGTTGTAGGTGCAGCCGTTGCTCTGTGGAAACATAGGGACATATCCAAGACATTTTAGCAAGACCGGGATCGGGAGTATGAGTATGCCCAGTGGAAAGCTACCAGTCAGGCAAGGTCCATCAGAGCCAAGGTCCATGCATTCCCACAGCAAGCCCCAACCCATGGGTGATGGGTCTCACCTTCCAGCCGTAGCAGGGGATCTGCGCACCCTTGCGATCCAGCTGCGTGCGCGACGTAAGGCCCAGGAACATCCCACCCGAACTCAGATCTCGCCGCGACACAATCGTAAACGACAGCTGCGAGTCGCTGTACGTCGTGTCAACAAACATGTCGAACGGCTGCTCCGAACCTGCACCACTGCTGCTGCTGGCCCCGGAACCGCCTGCCGGACCGAATCCACCTCCATGCCGTACATCGTTTTCCGTATACACACTGACACGCAGCCCACGAGCGTCCGTATACTCGGTAGAGATATAGTAAAGCTGCGAGACGCTGTGGTGGGCCCAGCGGTTGGCGGGAGGAGGAGGAGGCGCTGCGGACGGTGGAGGCGGAGGGTAGGAGGGCCGTGGGGTTTCGGAGTCAGAGGAGGAAGAGGAGGTAAATGAAGAGGAGGAGGCGGGCATGCTGGGGTTGGATGTGGACGGCCACGGCTCCTGGTGTTGCTGCTGGTGTTGCTGCTGGTGTTGCTGTTGTTTCTTCTGTTGAGGCGCAGGGGGCCTAGGCTGTAGCACCAGTGGTTGGCTGGCGCTGGCTTCAGCTGATTGCTGCGACCGCTGGGTCTGCTGCTGCTGCTGGTGATGCCGCCGCTGCTGGTGCTGGTGTTGTTGCTGCTGCTTTGAGCCCGACCCATGGGTCCGCACATGGTCCCGCTCATGGTGCGGTGGCTGGACATTGCCACTGCACGGATGCCCGGCACTCCTAGCTCCGCCGCCGCTGCTGCTGCTGTTGCTACTACTGCTGCTACTGCTGCTGCCGCTGCTAGTCATCGTGTAATCCATTGCTCCGTCGTGACGACCATCAACAGCGTCGCCGCTAGCAGCTCTAACCCGGCCGCCGCTACCATTGTTGCGGTTCAGGCTCCTGCCACTGCTGCTGTTACTGCTGCTGCTGAGGATGCTGCATGTGGCGGTGTCTGGAAGCAGGTCCGCACTCTCCATCTGCGCCTCCGGAGGATAGCGGCGAACATCCCGGTCGCCCGGGTTGCCGTCACGACGGAGGCTGCCACGGGTTGCCGTACGATCTCCACCGCCACGATCTCTGCTATTGCTGCTGCTGGAGGAGGTGGAGGCGGCAGCGGCTTCTTGCCCAGATGGGGATCCCCGTAGCTGCCGTTTCGAGTGCTGTTGTTGATGTTGTTGCGTGTTCATGCTCACAGGCCGCTCTCCGCCGTGCCGCCGCTGGTGTGGGTGTGGGTGTGGTTGGGGGTGCTGCTGCGGGTAATGCGATTGGTTGTGAGAGGGGGCAGGGAAGTTGGAGAAACCCTGTTGCCAACTGCTGTCCCGGAAATGCTGATTGTTGTGGTGATCATCATAGGCTGGTAACGGCGTAGTGGGTGAGAAGAGGGAGGACAGCATGGATGCCGCCTGCGCCGCGGCTTGCGCCTCCAAGGGAAGCGGCATGGGCGGCCTCAGTGCCGGCGGCTGCTGCGGCAGGGGCAGCAGCTCCTCCGTGAGAGGGTCGTGGCAGATCGCCAGCGGGATGGTCGCACCCGTGTACGGCAGCAGACCCAGGTACGACAGCATACGGCGGAAGGGCGCCTCGTCCGCTGGCTGTACGGCAGGTAGGCAGTCACGAAACCGACCTGTGAAAGTGTGGGTGCGAGGGATCTGGGAGGTCAGTGCGCTGTAGCTGTAGCGGTATTCGCCTCCCGCCACTCACCTTCCCAAAGCACAGTACCCATTAGTAGTACCCATACCCACGATCCGTACCCACGATCCGTACCCACGATCCGTACCCACGATCCGTACCCACGACCCGCACCCATACGGAATCTTCATCCCTATTAACCCATGACCCGGCGCTCCCGCCCACCTCCGTTCATCTTGACCTCCCGCAGGCACCGCAGTACCAGCTGGAACAGTGTGGGATCCAGATCCAGCCACACGCGCCCCGCGTTGTCGTACAACAGCTTATCCGCTGCGCCCTTCTGGAACATGACGGCCAGGCGGCTGCCGGGCGCCTGCAGCAGCGTTGACCTGCGTTGACCGGGGTTACATGCTGAACCGGGGGTTGAAACAGGTTTGCGGGACATGTTTGTGAGGCATGCACACGCACTCGCACATGCAAACACACGCGTCAATGTCAGTCCGGGGCTGCCACTTTACAGACACACAGCAGCAACCGGTGCCCCAGCGGATGAACCACCCCTCCGCGACCACCCCCCGCCTTCCCTCCATTCCTCCTAACGGTTTCCGTTCTACACGGATGTTTTTGTTTCCCTCTGACCCTCCTCCTTGCCTGGTGGTTTGCATCAACCGCCCGCCCACATTGAGCTCCAATAGGTCATCCTCGCCCGACCCCGGTCGCGGCTCGCTGGCCAGCATGCGCTGCCGCCGGGCCCAGCGGATGCTGGCGGGCCGGGCGGGCCGGCCGCTGCCGTTACCGCCGCCTCCGCCGCCGCTGGCGCCGCCCGTGGCGCCATGAGAGTCCTCGACTACTGCCAGTACCCGAAGCCGCGCTGTACGGCAGAGGCGGGATGCGGTTTTGGTATGGGATGGCAAGTGAGGGGGAAGAAGGGAGGCGGAAAAGGGGGCTTATAGGACATGCTGTCGTGACCTTCGGGGTTCAAGGGCCGTGAGTGGGGATGCGGAGGTCGCGCTTAGCCGGGAGTCGCACCTGGAGCCGAACGTAGTCGCGCCAAGGCTAGCGGGCAGATGACGCTCAATCCCGGAGCGCGGGTTGACCCAAGTTGTCTTCCTCGATCGAATAGCTGTAGTGTCATCTGTGGTGAATCACGTAACGGAAGCGCGGCATGGGCAAAGCGCGGCAATACCAACTACCCACACAGCAAAACAAGCAGTATAGCTAACGTTACAGGGTACATTAAAGATGATGTAGTTACCGAAAGCGACAGTTTGCGTGTCATTTACACTCGAGCTGAGAACCACTTGCCATAATCAACATCGGAAGCCACTAATGACCGGAAACACTAGTAGTTTCCGCATAACAAAGATAACCGAGCATGAAGCATGCTCATAGCGCGTCAATGGGAAGCAGCTGGGCAGTTACGAAAGGTGGTGCCCCAAAATATCTCGCCATCAAGATACGCACCACTCCAAAAGCCAAGATAAGCAGGTGCACTGCTATCGAAGTCATCCAATCTACACTATATAACATGCAGATCGGCAACACACCTGTCAGCAGGAGAAGTACCGTCCCAAGCTCCGACAACAGTTGCCGGTATCGAAGTCAATAAGTCCACGGAAGCACACTCGCGTGAAACAGCCTTTATGGTTGTCATCTAATAGTCATGCAATACTCTCTACGAGTGTGTGTTGCGATGTCTTTTCAGTTAGAAGTCAAAGCCGTACATGTGAATCTTAGACAATCGCCATCAAGCGACGAACCACAAGCATTGAGACACTTTACCATATCATCTATGGCCGCAGACGCCTTGAGAACATGCAGCGCTTTGAGGAAGAGTCCTTTCAACTGCCCCCCAACCATTAAGACCACGCAATAAAAAAGAAAGTAATGGAACAATGTGGGCATCAAACCTCGGCTCGCTCAGGAACCGGGGTAGACGCGCGGCCGAGCGACCCAGCTCCTTCGGACGGGGACGGGGACGGCCACGATGACCACTATGCATTGATGAACATGGGACATCGCTTGCATATCAGTGCTACAGGTGCGCGAATTACTGTATGACGCGTACCGCTGGGTTGTTATCATCGGCGACGGATGTTAACAGGGGCCATGACATCTCCGGGCGACGTTACAAGCCCACCCTGCGGGTGGTTGCGCCAGCCGTCACACAGCCTCCATTTACCTGGCTGTTTGGGGCCCACCAGTTACACTACATCATGCAACATACGACAGTAGAAACTGCAGCAAAACCACATGGTGCTAGAGTGCCCCCCCATGAAAGCACTGATTTGCTTGGGTTGCATGGCTATGCCCTCACACCATCACCCTCTCCTCTACCTCTGTCACCGCACCCAATTCGCATGTTACCATCTCAACAGGGACCGCAGGAGGCAGCGGCCTTGCAGACAACGGCGCTGCAGCCCTTGGCATGCTAGGCAACGGCAGCGGTAGCGCTGCTGCTGCTACTGCTACTGCTAGCGACTCGCACCGTCCCCACCAGCACTCCAGCGCTCCGCAGCCTCAACAAGCGCAGCCACAGCCTCGGCATCAGCCGCACCAGCAGCCGCAGTCTGGGGGTAAGCAGGGGCAGGTGCGGGGACGAATCCGGCCTGACTAGTACGGCACTATCTCTTCCATGGTCCGCCCTTGGAGTCTCGTTTGGCCTTGCCTTTCAAGCATGGGCCGTAAAGTGCACATGCATGCGTTCCGCGGCCCACATGACGCGGCCCCCATCGCTACGTACTTGCTACCACCGTTGTTGCATCTTTGCCGCTGCTGCAGGCAGCAGTGTGAATGTGAGCGCAGGACGACGAGGCAGCGGAAGTCCTGCGTTGCTGGCGGAGGGCGGCTGCTATACGTTACCGCTTCTGGCGCTGGAAGGTTAGGAGGGGAAGGGAAGGGGACAGAACGGCAGCTGAGTCGCATGGGGAACCCCACCCACCCACCTCTGCACACTACCCCACTCCGTGCACAGTACTTCCCGCTACCTGTTGCTACCGTCTGCACCCCCTTCTGCACCCCTTCCACACCCGCACCCGCACCCGCCTCTCGCCGCACCCCACCACCCAGTTCCCTTCATCGTCTCTTCTATCCCTCCATGCAGGTGTGGTGCTGCTGCCGGGCTGCCGGGTGCCGCTGCTGCTGCATGCGCCCTCGGACCTGCTCAAGTTGCAGCGGGTGCTGCGAGCAGGCCAGCAGCAGCAGCAGGCTGGGCCGGAGGGGTCGCCTGCAGCCCGACTGTTGGCGGTGGTAAGCTAGCGCGTGAGGGGGGGACAAGAGCGGTAATGGAGATACAAATGCGAATGCTACCGATTGCAACGGCCCGGCAGGGTTTGGCACGCATGTGGTTTGGAGGTGTGGGTCTAGGATTGTCCAAAGGGTGTCCACACGGCCGTCGACACGAACAATTGACACCTTTTCCGCTTCCTTTTGCTGCTGTCGCCGCAGACCCACATCCACTCGCAAACCCGAGCGACCTGTCTGGTGGCATGCAGCGCAGAGGTGTGCACCGTTGTAGGGCATCGCCCACAGCAGCAGCACCCCCAGCAGCACCCACAGCACCCACAACAGCAACAACCGCAGCAAGGTCAGCAGCCCTGGCGGCGGCAGGCTCAAGAGTCTCAACCACAGCAGCAGCAGCAGCCGCAGCACCACCCTCAACAGCTGCTGCAACCAGCAGCACAGCCACCTGGAGGGCGGGCCACGGAGGCCATGCGAGGTGGAGCCCCCGTGCAGCGAGCAGACACGGCGCGAGGACTCCAGCAGCTGCAGCAGGGACAGGAGCAGGGGCAGGGGCAAATAGGGTGGCTGCATCCCACCAGAGTAGAGGCGGGGGTTGACCCGCAGCTCCCTGGGGACTACACCGGCAGCACTGTACGGCATAGCACCGCAGGCAACCCAGGCAACCCGGGGGGGCATGCTTCTGGCGAGGGTGAAGAGCAAAGCGGTAATGGAGGCTCGGGCAGTCCAGCTAGCAGCACGGCAGTAGCGGCACCAGCAGCACCAGCAGCAGGGCTGTCACCCGGGGACGGTAGTGCTGGCGAGGGCGGCGGCGAGGGCGAGGGTGGTGAGGTAGCATTCGCCGCTGGTGTGGTGGCGGTGGTGGTGCTGGGCGTGCAGCGGCTGCTGCTGGATCCTGCCAGCCTGGGGGACAGCTTCCGAGTGCGGTGCAGGGTGATGGAGGAGGGGCGGGCGGACGCGCCGCCGCGGCAGGTGAGTGCGGGGAGGGGTGCAGGGCTGCAGGCGCGTGCGGAGATGGAGAGGAGAAGAAGGAGAGGATAGGAGGGTGGCAGATATGGCGAAAGTGAGGGTCACGACCAGATCTGCTACATGAGCTGCTCATGGCCGCGCCTCTCGCCACCGGCTGTCGTACACACCGCAGATTGCCTCCGGCGCCGCCTTCTGGGCTCCCTGGGCTGTCCGGCCCTACGATGCGCCCTGGCTGGCGGCGCAGGTGCAGCGGCAGTGCAGCTGCTTGCTGCCGCAGGTGTGTGGCGGGGGGGGGGTAAAGAGGAAACAACTAACTGACCATGTGATAAGGGGGGGTGTGAGGGCTGGGGGGGCGTTGGGGTGTCGGGGGAAGGTATCAGTCGTGCGTTGGTAGTGGGTGCCGCACGATGGAAGCCGAGGAAGGATGGAATGGGGTGTATATTTGCGAGGAGAAAACTGCTACAAACCTGGTGCTGTATGTATGCACACACAGCCAACCTGACAGCTTGCAGCAGTGCATGGCCTTGAAGCCGCATGCACGCTGCTCGAGGACAGGGTGCCTGCATCCGTCCTGACTCCTACACACGCGCAGGCCACGCAACCACAACCCCTAAATTCCGACCCCTAGGCCCGAATAGGTAAGATACCCCGCACCCCTTGTTTGCTGCCCTCTGCCCCATTCCGCCCCTCCCGCAGCCGTACTGCAGCCAGCCGCCTCCGCCGCCCCGGAGCCCGGCGGGGGTGCGCGGCTACAGCTACTGGCTTGCAGCGCACCTGCCGCTCAGGGATGAGCAGGTAGCGGTAGCCGGATGTGGGCTTAGCAGAGGTCTCAGTTTCGCAGTGGATGCCTCGTATTGCTTGCTAGAAATCATGAGGGAAAGGATTCGAAGGGATTAGTGTTTTGACCGTTTCTCTTTGTCTCTCTGTCTCTCTGCCTGCCCGCCACTCTTGCGCAGCGGCAGCAGCTGCTGGAGTGTGCGGACGCGGCTGCCCGGCTGCTGCTGCTGCTGCGGTGGCTGAAGCGGCTGGGGGCCCTGGCTTGTGCAACATGCGGGTTACAGGTGGGTGGGTGGGTGGGTGGGTGGGTGGGTGGGTGGGTGGGTGGGTGGGTGGGTGGGTGGGTGGGTGGGTGGGTGGGGACGGGGCTCGGTGACGGGGCTTGGAAGCTTCGGGTGGGGCTGGTGTGGAGGTGTCTTGTGTTTGTGCGTGTACGTTACGAGACGGCTGCCCGAGAGGTCGAGCCGAGGTGTCGTGTGCATCACAACACCCTGTCCGCCGCGCTCTTCATCCACCCACACACCCCAACACCTCCTTCACATGTGCTCCCCTGCGCCCAATCCGCCCTGTCACGCCACGTCCGCGTGTGTTCCCCAGGTCAGCCACTGCCGCTGGGCGCTGCCCCCTGCCTCCCTCCCTCGAGCGCCCGCCCCTGATGAAGTCGGAGCCTGGTGCACCCGAGGCGACGACTGCGCCCTTGACGGCACCGCTGCCGCTCCCAGACACCCGGGCAGCAGCGTCCCGCGGGACAGCAGCAGCAGCAGCTGCTTCCTTCAAGACGTCGTGGCCCTATCGTAAGTGCTGCTGCTGCTGCTACCAGTAGTAGTGTAGCCACATCCATGGCGGGTGTGGGTAATACCTACCGGCATGGAGGTCCCTGCACGTGGTGTTGCTTGTACCCGTGAGGGCTGGTTAGGGGCATGTGTAACGTTGTGGGCTGCAGGAGCATGTACTGCACTTTGATACGACCGTTGGGTATTACGGGGTAAGGAGCAGGGCAGCGGGAGGGAACCGATGAACCGTGCAAGTAGGCGGATGTCAGCCAGGAATATCGGTATGCTTGAAGCGCCTCGCCTGCGCCCTGGCCGCTTGGCGACCGCCTTCAGGTTTTGCGAGTTAGGAACGCGCTAAAAAAATAACCATGCAGGTATGGGAACCCAACACGAGTCCCTACGATGTAAGTATCGTCTGCCCTCCACCCCATCCAGGGATGTGCAAGCCTTGAGTCACGCTGCTGACACCCCGCTGGCTGGGTCGCCCCCTGGCCCCTGCCTGCCGGGGTTCACGTGTACGGCGGCGCATTGCAGCAGATGTGGAGAGCGGCTGGTGGGTTGGGTGGGCTGGGAAGCAGCTGTTTGGGTGGGTTGACTAGGCTGGGTGGGTTGCGCCTTGTATGCGTTGGGAAGCAGCTGCTTGGGCGGGTTGACGGGCAGCCATTGGGCAGTGCCGCACTTGCTGAATGGATGTCACGTGACAGTGATTACGGTAACAAGGCAAGAACACGGGGTGCACTTGCCGCAGGCGTCCTCCTACTACTACCATCTTCAATCCTGTCCTCTCACCTCTCCTTCTCAATTCCCATTCTACAGGGCTGGCGCTTCAACGCGGGCGACAAGTCCAACCGCGGGCGCACACCGCACACACCTGCTGAGTTCTGGGGGCTGGGCAGGTCGGCGCTCGTGTGCCCTGGGTTGCCAAACAGCAGCAGCAGTACCCGCAGCGCTGTACGTCGCAGCCGTACGGCATCACGACATCAGCTGCCACCAACATCATCATCACGGTCACCACCACCACCTGCCGTACATGGGAGCCCGCCAGCAGGGGTGTTGCTGCCTCCGCAGCAGGCGGTAACCGCAGCAGCAGCTGCAACAGTGGCAGCCTCTGGTAGCGATGGTGTTGGCAGTGGAGGTGAGGGGGTTACAGAGGCAGCAGCGGCGCAGGCCCAGGAAGATGTTGCCGACGAGGGTGAGGGTAGTGGGAGTGAGTACGAGGATGGGGATGGTGACCATGAGAATGGTGGGTACGACACGGATTCTGAGTCTGAACGGACCAGCGGAGAGGAGAGCAGCAGCAGCAGCAGTGTGGAAGCCGAAAGTGATGGCGAGGATGGTGAGCAGCAGGATGAGGATGATGAGGAGGGCGTTGGGGAGTGGCAGTGAAGCGGGCGCATCCAATGCGAGTGGTGAAGGATGAGGGATGGTTTAGAGGAGGAGCTGGGAGGAGGAGATCAGGAGAGGGGCCCAGTGCGACGGTTGCTAGGTGCAATTGAAGGCCGTCAAGAGCGCGTATAAACCCGAACCAATCGCCAGGCAGACAGCAGGCGGTTAATAGGTCTGTGAGCTTGTTACAATGCCATGCACCTCGTACAGCCCTCAGTCAAGGACACCACGCACAATTCCGGCGCCATTCGGGAGGCACCTGCGGGGAGGTGCAGCTGATCACGGCTCAGTGTCAAACTACCTAGGACTATACGCGCAGTCTTCATGCAAGACCTGACCTTTAGCCCCTTTCTGACCCACGGGACACATGGGGGCAACAACTGCTTATTCAATCCGAGGATCTACAGTTCGCCACCAACTGTGCACTGCACTACAGAGTCCTTCGCAGACCCCCCAATGGATAGGAAAGGAAGTGGTGAGCCAGCCGCTCGGCAAGCTCTCCCACACACACCAAATCAAGGGGTAGGGTTGGGCTCATCACCCGTGTTCCCTTTTACGGAATAATTGTAACTGTCAAGTGGAGCGACCTTCGTCGCATCCAGGCGACAGAGAACGGACTAGCCACGGCGGCGGCTGCCGTACGAAAATGCCAGGCTGATGGTATAGTTGGTGCGCGTGAAGGGGTTGTATGAGGGCGGCGCTGTGATGGCCATGTCCTGAGGGGTGGCTGCTGCGGGAGCCGCCGCACTGAAAGCCTTCACCCATGTCTGCATGGGGCAGCAGGAGCGTGCAGCCACGGTATGTTAATTTGTTTGGTGAGAACTACTAGAACCATGGCAGCAAGCCAGACCGAATACGGCGCATAGCAGCAGTCCTTGAAAGTAATGGCCTATGTGACAGCCGTATTGCTCTGTCGTACCTTGTAATGCGCCAGCGTCAGCGCAAAGTCCGCCACATTGCGGGGGTGGTCCACGGGCGGGTCGTACAGCAGCGCCTTGCCGTACTGTGCCAGCAGCCGGTCCCTTGACATGTCCTCGTGTACGGCGCGCTTGCCCGCCTCCAACATGGCTAGCACGCGCTGCGGCAGCAGCAGCAGCGGCGGCAAGGAACGTTAATAACGATTATATTCGCCAATTGTTATTCTCTTACCACTCCATGCCGACCTCCTTGCCCTCGAGTGCAACGGCAGGCACGTAGTAAACAAACCCATGCCATGCAGCATCACCGACACACCGGCAGGAGTATGGTTACTAGCGCTGACGCTTCCAAACACCACCAACCCGGCAGGTACGTAGCTGATCAACCCATGCAAGGCAGCATCAACATCGCCGGCAGAGAGTATGTTTCCTGACACCGACCTGTTTGAGCTCCCCAGTCGGCTTCTGCCGTGAGCGGCGTCTCTGCTGCACCGCCCCCCTTGACGTCCGGCTACCGCCGCCGCGACCCCCGCCCCTGCCACTCCTGCCACCACCCAGCCCTGTGCCCTCCTCCTCCTCCTCCTCCTCTTGGGCCGCTCCCATGTACGACAGCAGCTCATCCAGATGGCTGCTGCCCTTCACGTCCAGCGCCCAGTTCATTGAGTGCAGGTGGTGCACTGTCGGGACGGTTGCCGATTCAGCGGCGGTTGCAGCATCAGTGGAGGCGGTTGTGTTGGCTGCGGTAGTGGCGGCGGTTGAGGCGGAGGTTGGGGCGGTAACAGCAGCAGGGCATGTCGCGGCGCTGCAGGACAGCGCGAGGGTGTGGAAGTCGCGGGGGTGGTAGTAGTCCGGCACGTTGGACCAGTTGATGGAGGCGGGGCGGAGCAAGGAGATGAAGAAGGAGGTGGCGGATTCGCCGGGCTCCACACGCTGTAGGCGCACCTGAGGGAGGAGGAGGTAACAAAGTGTGACAGCGGACGGAGGAGGAAGGGCAGAAAGGGCAGCACACGGGCGGGTTGGAAGAAGAGGCTTAACGCTCATGCTAAACAAGAGGCCTGTAAGTAAGGCTACGTATTCGGCAGGCTACGTATTCTGGATTAAGATATTTAGGAAGGGCACACAGCCTACGCACGCACCTGCACCTCCACTCGTCCGGTGGCCAGCAGCGCCGCCAGCCGCCTCACTCGCCGCCGCAGCAGCGCAACACCCGCAGACACCAGGTCAGGCTGACCGTCTTGTATGGGACCGGCGGTGCGGCCACCGCCGGCGCGCAGCCTCAGGGCAGCCAGCTCTTTCCAGGGAAGCGCCTGAGGGCATTGGTCGGGGGGTAGGCCAATGGAGCCACATGCCCAGACACCGTTACAATGCATGCACATGCACATGCATACACACCTATCCAATATCGCACAACGACACGGTTTGGTCCCCTACAAGGTAGCAGTGCTGATCACTCAGTGAGACCCCTATTCCCTATTCCCTGCCTGCCTGCCTCTCCCCCTACACCTGCCACATACAGCCGCCCCACCCCTTGCCCCACCTCCAGAAAGCTCTCGTCCAGCGCCCGCTCCGGCCCGCCCTTGGGCGCCCCGAACATGACCACACTTCCCACCAGCTCGCCGCCGCCTCCGGCCCCGCTCCCACCTCCGCCCAGCAGCTGCGACAGCTGCCCCGTCAGCATGTACTCACACAGGGCTAGGCGGTCGGACTGGGAGGGGAAACAAGGGGATGATGGGGGGGGTTTACGAAGGCTACCGTGGCGGGTCACGAAGTATAGGCGCTTGGATGGCGGGGTTTACCCCAAGGAGACAAGGCACGCCAAAACATGCCCTGCGCTGCGCGGTTGTATGCTGTGCAAGGGGAAGTGCCTTCTGTCCTCCTCACGCCCTTGTGCGGCAACATCACCAGCTAGATGTAACCAAACATACCGGTATACCAATCGCACATCGACAAACAGAGCGCCGCAAACCTCCAGCTCACCTTCTGCTTGAGGTTGCCCACCTCGTACAGTGCGCGCTTGCGGTCAGCCAGCCAGCGGCGGCGGCTCTCCGCCAGCCCCACATCCTGCAGCTGCCAGTGCCGCAGGTACGGCAACACGTCAGCGGGAAGCGCGCTGCTGCCAACCAGGCCATCTCTGCCGGCACTTGCACCTGCACCTGCACCTGCGCCTGCACCTGCACCGCTGCCTGCTGCCTGGTGCTCCTGCAGCAGGCCGGTGAGCGCCTGTCGGAAGGTAGCATGCGCATCGCGGCTCCAAACGGAGGAGTACCACACCTGCATGGCCAGACATGGCAACAAGAAGGCCGAGGAGGTTTTTCAGATGACATTATACGGGAGGAGTTTAGGATGGATGCCGAAAGGTGGCAGGGGCTGGGGGTAGGTGTGGGGCCTTCGCCTGCACCGATGCATGGCGCGGCAATAGCCGCCTTGGGCATAGCTGTTGACACCTTAACGGCAGCAGCAAAAGAGCGAATGCACCACTTCACACGCAACGGTGGTACGACGCTCTCCATGCTGAAGGGTGCGAGAAGAAGACGCGGCCCAACGCCCACGCATGCATCACCTGCAGGACGTGGTCGGTGGCAGCGGGACCGCCCGCCCGCATCATGCGCTCCAGGACCAGTGTCTTCGCCACCGCATACGGGGACGCCTCGAAGCCCACCCAGCGGAGGAGCGGAGGGGGGACAGTGGGAGCAGGAGCGGCGGAGGGTGTCGAGGACGTATCAGCACCTCCATTGGCGACCTGACCTGTTTGCCGTACGACATCTCGTACGGCAGCCTCCACATGCTCGTCCCACTCTGGCAGGCATACTGCCGCTGACAGACTGCTCAAGTCCACGAATCCCACCGACACATGCGTACGGGGTGCGGCACAGCTTGCGCTGCTGCTAACCTCCGCACCAGCATTGCTGGTATTGCGGCTTTCAATGCTGCTAACACCACTGGAGCGGCCCTTTGATGATGAAGCCTCTTCGTTCGCCAGCAGTAGCGTTTTGGAAGGCGCGGGCGGCATGGGTATGGTGGCGGTTATTGCGTTGTTGAAGCTGTGGAAGACGTGGGGGTTGTAGCCGTCCTCGCGACCCGTACGGAAGGCCACGGCGCCGTCTGGGGCAGTGGCCAGCCAATGCATGCGCTGGCCGGCAAGCTCCGGGTCGAACTCGCGAATCCTGTTTGCATGGGCGGGGAGCGAAGCAATGTAGAGTGGCAGGCATCGTGTGGCCAACTTGCCATGCAATTGGGTGAGTGTAAAAGGCGTTAGGCGTTCGCCTTGATGTTTGGCTGCGGATGGATGCTTCTGGAGACGTTAAGAGTGCAGGTGCTGTGGGACATTTCCCCACCGCAGGCTGTACCGTGGCGCGACCCCCCCCCACCACACACACCGACACACACACGCACCGCATGGTTATGATGTCTACGGGATCTGCGCCGTCCACATGCGCCATGCCGACCAGGTGGGAGGCCATGCCGCGGCACAGCTCGAACGCCTCCCACAGCCGCCGCCGGCACTGCTCCACATCGCACAGGGCGGGCCACCTGCATGCGCGGGCGGGCACAGGGGTAGGTGACAGCGCGGTGGTCACCAGTAGTGGTGGGCGTGCATGGATTGGCAAGCTGAGCATGCCCAACATAACCATGTAACCACCCAAGTGCGGTGGGTTGCTATAGGCGATAAGCATGACACCAGCATTGTAAAGGAGGACCGCACACGGCCCCACAAAACGCCAGCACCTGGCATGCATGTCTTAAGAGTCGGGCATGCCCAGCAAAGTCATGTAAACCTCCAAATGCTGCACAGTTTAACAGGCAAGATGCAACAGGCATGGTAAGTAATAAGGCCCGCAGCGGCCCCACCCGCACGTCAGCGTTTACGCATCCTGCACCCGCCCACCTGCCCGCCTTGCTAAACTCCTCGTGGAAGGGCGGCACACGCTCATCCGCCTGCATTGCCGCCCACGCGAGCGGGTCCTTACTCTTCATGCGAGCAGCCGCTTGCGGATCCGACAGCACCATCCGCGACATCATGTTCATGAACGATGCGGTTTCTGCCCCAGCGTGGGGACCCCGCATTGCCTCCACCTCCCGCTCCCTCACATGCTCTCCACCCTTGCTGCCCCCGCCACCGGCACCGCTGCTGGCTACTGAGACCGAGGTAGCGGAGCCACCAGCAACGGGCCCCACAGCGGCCAGCTGAGCTGTACGGATACGCTCCTGCAGCTGCTGCAACGCCGTACGTTGCTCCTGTGGCACCTGTCGTACTGCCGTACTTTCCAAACCCGCCTTACACGCCGCCTCCGCCTCCGCCAGCCAGCCCAGCTGCATGAGCGCCTGGGCCCGCCGGTGGTGTGCCTTGGCGTTCGCCGGGTCAAGGCATGCTGCCGCCGTGGCCGTTGTGAGTGCTTGCTCGGGTTGGGAGAGTTGCAGGTAGCAGGCGGCGAGGTTTGCCAGCAATACGGCAGCGGGAAGTGAGCGCAGCAGCTCTTGGGCAGCTGTGAGGTAGTGGCCAAGGGCTTCGTTGTAGTCCCCGGCGCGGAAGGCGTCATTGCCAAGGTCCTTGGCGGCGCTGGCTGCTGCCAGGGCGGCGGCGGCGGCGTCCGTGACAGCGCTTCCTGCATCAACCTCGCGAGTCCGCTGCCCGGTAGCGGCGGAGGCGGCAGCACCGGCCTCAGCGACCCCAGGCAGTACCACGACACCCTCCAATGCCACTGCCTCGCATGCTGAGAGGGTGCGGAGGTAGTCCGTTCGTCCCTCCCTCGCTTGCTTGGCGGAGGGCGGAGCCTCCAAGACAGCGCCGCCTGCTGCTCCTGCAGCAGCACCAGCAATCCCCTGCCGCTGCTGCGGCTGCTGGGATGCCGCCTGCTGCAGCTCCCCCAGCATCCGCCGCCGCTCCTCCGCACTCGACCCACCACCCGGCATGCATGCGAATGCCTGGTGCATGGCGCAGCGAGCCGCCAGCGGCACTCCCAGCCTCGCCAGTGCCAGGGCGGTGCGATAGTGAGCCTTGCTGCTCTCCGGCTGTATGGCGGTTGCGGCTGCGGCACAGTGCAAGGCGCGAGCAGGCTGGTCCAGCCTCATGTGTGTGGCGGACAGGTTGAGCAGCAGCGCGACCAGCAGCTGGCTTCCGGCGCCGTCGGCCTCAGGCATGCGCTGTAGCGCGCGGGAGTAGCAGCCGGCGGCTTCCTCGTACTGCGCGGCTTGAAAGTGCCGTCGGCCGGTGTCTTGCAGTGCGGCAGCGTTGGAAGGGGCCAGTGATTCCAGCTTCACGACCTGCGGTAGGCAGACGCCACACAGGAGTTAGGAGTTAGCCGTTGCAGTTGGTTTGGTTTCTTGCTTCCGGGTTTGACCGCCGAAAGCGTTTATAAAATGCGTGGAGGTAGACGTACCTCCTTTGGGTTGTCCACCCGCACGCCCGGCGCGCCGTCGCTCATGATCTTGTAGTAGGGCTCGATGAGCGCCACCGCCTGACCCTCTGGCAGCACCCTGGCCCCCTCCTTCAGCCCCCGCAGCCCCACGACATTGCTGGGAAGCAGGTTGTATATGGAGACCTGCAAAGCATTCGAAGCACACCCGGTCCAAAGCCGGCCACCTGTATTGCAGTAGGTGTGAGGAGCAGCTACCGGTACTGGCAGGCTCCTGGACTGTACTCATCAGCAACTGGCACGGCAACTTTGATGGCACAGTCATGGACACAAGTACGGCGAAGGTCATAGGAATCTCACCCGTACGACGTCCCCATGCTCATCCTCTAGCAGCGTTGACAGGCCGGTCATGAGACAGGGTTTCACCAGCAGCTTCCCGCGCAGCACCCGACCGCGATGTGTGACACCCGGCCGCAAGTCAGAGATGGCAATGGGCGTGCAACGGTCAATGGGCGGCGGTGCCGGGAACTCCGACGCGGGTTTGACGTCATGCGAGGACGTCGTCTGCCAAACGAATGCATCAGTCTGGCTGTAGAAATTCTCAGCCATGTCCTCAAGCAGCCTATTGTGGTTGGCAATGAGGTGTGCGCGGAGCGCGGCCTTCTGCGAGGGAGTTTGCGGGCGACTGCTGCTGCCGGGGTGACCAAAGCCTGTAATTCCGGGCATGGGGAAGCCCCCTCCGCCTGCGCCTAGCAATCCGGCCAACATGGCACCTCCCAAGCCGCCCATCCGATCCATCGTTGCAGCTGGACTCTGCTCCTTGCGCTTCAATCTTTGTCACTGTTCTTCCTTCTCCTGACTAACTTGCTTTGTCGTAAAGAATTAAGGTGTATTGCTTGCTTGCACGAAACCGCAGCGCTGGCGGAACAGTGATGCCGATCGAGCAGTCCGGCGGCAAGTAAAAGATACGGCTTAGCGCATCAATGCATTCTAGACCACATGCCCATGCTTGCAGCATATATTTTATGCCGTTTCGGGAAGATAGTTCAAGCGGTAAATGCCCTGCGGCGTTAGGACCCGTGATGTGCAGGTATGGCTACCCGTGATGAGTCGTATCACAGCCAGAGACTGTGTGTAAACTTTAATGCGTTGCACAACGGATTACCACGCCTTAATGATAAAACAAAACAACACAGGGGAGCCTGTACGACTCAAGTGCGACATATTCTTGTCGGCCTGATCAGGTTATGAGTCAATCAATGCTGCCCGGGCCGATCCTTGTTAACGCATAGGTTCCTGCAAACCTTGTATACACGTTTTCCTATATATGATAGGAAAATACGGAGCAAGCTAAGTGGCTAAGGACAAGGATGTTGCTTCAATTACCGGTACTACAGCTGCCTAATAGAGGCGTTCTCAATGGGATGTCCGGGACATCAATAAACGGATACCAAACGGTTTATTGACATCCGTGGTTCCGTTCTGCAGACAGGATGCTTAAGCCTGTCACGGCTAGTAGTCACTAGTCCGCCTGTGACCCCCAGCTGGGCCAGCTTGATTAATGCCAAACCGATAATAATACAGCTCCTTCAAGCCTATTACAAGTCTGTTTACAACGCGGCGCTGCGCGATGTCTACAAGAAGGTACGGCATACCGGTATCCAGTACACCCTGAAAGTGCGACCCTAACCCCTGACTCCCCTGTAGCACTCACATACCTACCTGCTTTTGGTTGGAGCCTGGTTTTTCGCGCTCGAAAGCAGCCTTCAACCAAAATCAAGCCCCTGGCAGGATCACGACTCATATCCCTTGGGCGTCAGTTGCGCCACTTGCGTCACACTCCCTCTCTCCTCAAGGTCACCAGGCGCCCGGTACTGGCGCCATCATTGTAGCACAAATGTCGGTTGTGTCGCAGGCAGCACCTCGTACCTCAGGTCCACAGCCGCCTGCCCCGCGGCCCCTCCACCGCCGCCGCCGGCTGCTGATGCTGCTGCTGCCCCCAGCTGCAGCGGCACCTCAAAGCACACCTGCTCGAACAGGCACACATCGTTCAACTGGCAGTAGTACACTTTTGACAGCACCCGGAGCAGCAGTGGCGGCCGGGGTGTTGCAGTTAGAGCTGGGAAAGCGGTTGTCGGTTGGACTGTGAGCGTTACACTTGGCGCTGCGGTATCTGGGAGCAGGCCACTGGCAGGGCTTACGGCGACCGAGGTGACGTTAGCTGCCGTAGCGCCATTGTTGCCAGACGCTACCACCTGAGTGTAGTAACTGCTGCCAGCGCCCGCCGTTAGGTGATAACCGCTCGGCAGGGCAACTGTAACTGTCAACGACCCGCTAGCGCTGCTGCCACCGCCGCCAATCACCAATGGTCGTTGCGAGCGAACCACCTGGAATCCTGGTGGCGGTGGTGGCGAGTTGCTGCCATTTGCGATGTTGCCGTCGCCGGCAGACCCACGGGTCGCAGACGCAACCGTCATCAGCGGATCCACCCTGGGCGCAGGTACGTCGCGCAACGTAAGCGTCGTTACGCGTCGTGACGTCGGATCCAACATCCGTACGGCGTTGTTGTTCGTATCTGCTACAAAAATGACGCCCTCAGGGCCCAGGCACAGCCCCGCAGGCTCCGAGAACTGGGCCTCCGTGCCGACCCCGTCTCTGAAGCCGGCGACACCGCTTCCCGCCAGGGTCACGAGCTCGTTGGTATTTGGGTTGAGCACCTTGATTCGGTGGTTGTACGAATCCGCAACGTAGACAGCGGAACCGTCGGCAGAGCTGAGTACGGCAAGTGGGTGCTGCAGTAACGCTTCAGCTCCAAAGCCGTCTTTGTCGCCGAACCTGTGTTAACACGTGATTTGGGATTAGTAGCAGCCCGCAGGCATAAAGGCATTGCAGTAGGTAAGGACCGACGCCCCGTTCCTCCATTTCTCCTCTCTTGCAGGTTGCCATGTGATTGCAACATACTGTAGCATATTCGGACCAACCCTTACTGAACCCAACCTCACCCAATGGAACTCCCGGCCAGTCCCACATACATAACCCAAAGCCCAATCCCGCTCCTTCCTCATCCACACATGCCCACCTGAAGAGGTTGTCTGAAAACAGCGGGTCCCCCCCTGCCTTTGGCCCGCTGGCGCCGCTGGCCAGGTCCACCACTCGCACGGAGGAGGACTCGGAGTCGGCCACGTACCTGAGGGGAGGGGAGGAGGAGATGGGAGGAGGGAGGAGACGGGAGGGTTCAGAGGTAGGACCTCGAGATGACTCCCTTAAGGATGGTGTCCAACTCAGGACGGCTGCTCATCAGAAGCGCCGGCTCCATCTGGTTTACCGTTCCCACAGGAAAGCTATCCCAGCTTTCCGTCTGCCACCACCTAAACCGCACCCCCCGGTGCTGCTTCACACCACCGACACCGCCCGGCACCACCCGCCCGCCCCGCCGCCCCATGAGAACACGTAGCTCACATGAGTCCGCTGCCGTCTCGCGCCCGTGACAGGCCGCTGGGTTGCGCCCAACTGGTGGTCAGCGGAGTGGGGCCGTTCTGGTTGCGCTCCGAACCCGTGCCGCTGAAAAGCGCTGCGGCGCCGATGCCCGAGGAGGTGGAGGAGGAGGAGGAAGAAGCGGATGGCGACCCACGGGTCTGTCCCAGCTCCAGTCGCCAGATCTGGTGCTGCCCTGCCAGCGCTATGTAAAGGTTCTCCTGGCAAGGGTTACGGTTTAGGGATGAATAGTGGCGTACAAAACGACGCAGTCAAGGTAACCTGCGAGCTCGCGTTATAGGGCAGCATACAGCAATTTCCTAGCCCGCGCTGCACTTGGTTCCCGAAACAGTTAGACGGGTTCCAGTTATTACATTCAAGGTAAGGCCCCGCGCTAGGAGGGGCGCACGCCCTGGCGGCCCCTGCGTGCCGCATCCCTTACAGCGGTGACAGAGTGTCCAGTGACAGGCGTCAGGCGGTAACGCGAAGTAAGCACCTTAATAACCCCCGAGTGAACCCAGTACTCCCCACCTCTCGCTCATCAAGTTCCACGTCCCAGGGCGAGTTGAGCGGCTGCGTATTGGTTGGGAGGAGGAAGGCAGGCGGGTTGGAGGCTAGCTGGGCGTGTTTTGGAAGCTAAGACTTTTCCGCAAGTGCGCAATCTTGCATCTCGCCAACATCTAGGGCGCAAGCGAATGCATGGCATTGCATCCCGTACAGCATCGGCAGCACCATCACACCGCCGCAACCGCTGCACATGGATGCACATCGTGTCATACGTATCAGCACAGCAACAGCATTGGCGTGATTTCCCCTGCCATACCCACCGTCTAGAGCTTCCCCGCATGCGGTTTAAGACTCCTGACCGCCCAGCCCTGCCCACCCACCTGCGCCGAGCCGCTCCGACCGCCCCGGTAGTCCCCTCCCTTGCTGCCGTTACCCGCCAGCGTCACCACCGTCCCCGCAGCCAGATCGCAGCAGCGCACCTGCAGGCGGCAGGCGGCAGCATCAGGTAGCACCGGAGCGGGGTGTGGGGTTGGATGGGTAGGAGTACGGCAGTGGGGACAGGGGAGAGCGACCAACCGCTTCGCAAGTGGGCCTGTTTAGTGGCAGGAGGTGGCCGTCTGCCGCACAGGCAGGCAAGCAAGGTGTTGTCGGTAGTTTGCAAGCCGCTCAACTGAGAACAGGACACACAGCGTGGCCTCTCTGTCCGCCCATCTCTCCCCCCTCCCCCCACCTCACCGCGTGGTTCTCCGTGTCCGCCACGAACAGCGCGTTGCGAGCGGCGCTGAACACCAGCCCCTGCGGCCGGTTGAAGCAGGCGCTGTCCAGGGAGCCGTCGCGCAGGGCGGGACCGTTGCCTGCGCGCGCGCAGGGATGGGTGGCTGTGTGTCAATTCCAAGGGCTGGGTCACGGTGAGGGGGAGGAGCCTAATGAAGGGAGTGTGGAGGGTACGTGCATGCTCATCTTGAATTGTAACATGCACTAAGGGCGGGTATGTAAGGAGTGGCTGCTGGGAGCCACTGTCGCTCCCCTGTTCGCGCCACCGTCCTGGGAGGTCCGTTACAGGAGCGAGGACGGAAACAATGCAGCAGCCTCTTAAAGGTAAAGCGACGCCGGCCTACCCCACACAGACCCTCAGTCACCTCCGATCTGCTGTATGAAGCCGCCGCTCAGGTCGGTCACCAGTATGCGGTGGTTATTGGAGTCGGAGATGAAGAGCCGCCCACCCGCCGGGTCGCATGCCAGCTTGCCCGGGTAGCGCAGCGGGCTGCTGGAGAGCAGGGAGGAGGGGGCCTGGGGGGGGGGGAGTGGGGAGTGCGTGTGGGAGTTGGAGGAGCGAAGCCAGAAGGCAGGAGGCAGATGGAGGCTGGGGATGGCATGGCGGTAGGTTCGGAGTGGCACAGCGTGTTTACCTCATTAAGGGTCAAATCTTCCCTCGGAGTAGTAATGCCCGCTACCAGTCGAGCTCGGTCTACCACCTACAGGCCCTATCAGCCTCTCCCGCCCCGCCCCGCCCTACCAGCCCCACCTGCTTGTTCCTCTCCGGGTCCAGCGGCAGGGGTGTGGAGCCGTCCAGCTGCCCCGCCTCGGAATAGTACTGCAACGCCGCGGTAAGCAGGTCCTCCAGGTCCTGATCAGGAGGGAGGGGGAGGGGAAGAAGAATACCCGGGTTCGTCTCGGTGCATAACCCCTGTTCAATGGAAGAGGGATGCACGGCACACACACACCCTACTCCCCGTACCCCCGACCAAGACGCAATTACAACGGCATCCATGGTGGGGCCTACATGTCGTATGGTTATCCTTTCCTCTTTACCCACCCCCCAACCCCTCCTCCCCCTCACCTAATGCGCTCACTGCAAGGGCTACAGGGACACAGGGTTGCGACTCCGGTTGCTTCACTTCTCACCCTCCTTCTTGGCCCCCCCCCTCACCTGACGTTGACCCCCCTCACCTGACGTTGACCCCCCTCACCTGACGTTGACCCCCCTCACCTGGCGGTGCCCCTCGCCAGACAGCATGGCCAGCAGTCGCCCCCGCGGACTGACCACCGCCAGGGTGGGCCAGGCCGACACACCCAGCGCCCCCCACAGGGCCATGCGCGCGTCGTTGACCACCGGGTGGCTGATGTCGTACCGCAGTACGGCAGCGCGGATGGCAGAACTGGGTGTCGTACGCAGGGGAAAGGGTTAGGGAGGCTGGGAGGGTAGTGGTTGGTTGGATGATGTGGTTGTAGTAGTGGTGCAGGTGGTGTAGTGGTCACCTGTGTCATCCTTGTTGCTCCCACTCCACACGCCCGGACCCGCACCTGTCCCGCTCGTTGTCGAACTTGGCGCTGTGCACCCCCACCACCGCAACCGGGGCGCCCGCGAACTGGGACTCCAGCTGGGCTAGGTCCTTGGGGGAGGGAGGGAGGGAGGGAGGGAGGGGGAGGAGAGGGGAAAGAATGGGGAAGAAGGGGAGGGGCCACCGCGAGGAAGGAGAGTTGGTGTGTCACGTGCACAACACACTGATGGCTTGATCGAACAATCTGGATGCAAGCCCTGCACCATCCACTCCCACTCCGTCCTCCCGATAGGGCGCCCGCGCCTCACCGGCAGCACATGCATGCAGTTGACGCAGCAGTAGGTCCAGAAGTCCAGCACCACCACCCGCCCCGCCAGGCTGCCACGCGACGAGGGCGGCCCGGACAGCCGCAGCGGGGCGCTGTTGAGCCAGTCCGCACCGCGGGGGAAGTCGGGGACCTCCTGTGTGTTTGAGCATGAGCAGGAGGGTAAGGGAGCACGGGGTTGTCTGAAGATTGAAACAGATTTGTACATGTAGAGTCCCATTCGGTTCCAGTTCGGTTCCATTCGCTGACCCACGGGTCATCACGGCTGCACCCAACCCCCACTCTCCCAGCCCCACCCTGCCGCCACCCCGTCGCTCCAGGTCGGCGATGTAACGCTTGAAGGCTGCCACTCGGTCCCCTCCTGGCGCCGCACCCGCACCGCCCGCACGCGCACCTGCCTCGGGGGCGACCGGGGCCTGCGCAGGGATTAAGGGGGTAGGCGTGCACTAGCTGCATGATTAGCGTCGTGAGTGGCGGCGTGTTGCAGCAATAACGAGCGGCAGCAGCAGGATAGCCAAGACACTCTCCTGACACTGGTATGCTACAGCGCAGGGACGCTAGAGAGGCAAAGGGCCGCAATAGCCGCACAACCATGCAAGTCGCACCTACCGGCGGCGGCAGCAGTGCATTAAGCAGTGCCTGCGGGCTGGCGAGGGAGAGCGCGCGGCTGCGGCTGGCTGCCACGTAGAAGCAGCCGGCGGCACCTGCAAGGGAGCTGAGCTTGAGGAGCTCGCGACGGCTGGTGCGGAGGCCGGCGGGCAGGGAGATGGGCTGGTTGAGCCAGGTCTGAGGTTGGGGGTGAACAGGGAAAGGGCATGGAAAGGGGCGGAAAGGGGCGGAGAGGGGCGGTTAGGAGGTGAGGAGGAGGTTACTGCGCGGTTCAGGTTGGCCAGATGCGCAGTCAGTTTGTTTGTTATACGGTAGTGGTTCGGCTGTGGTCGGGCTCCTGCTGAGCACTGGTTGCAATGGATAGCGCGGTTACCCGGGAGGGGGTCCTTTTTAGCGCTTGTTGGTGTCATATAGCTGTGTAACCTGCTGTACAGTCTTCCTCCTACCCGCACTACATCGGTGTCGCCACTACTCCTGCCGCTGCCACCCGCTTTGCTGTTGCCGTTGTTGCTGCCATAATCCGAGTTTGGATGATCGCCGGTTCTGGAGGAGCTTGCTGGAGCCGAAGCTACTGTGCGTTCCTCCTCCGCTGAACGGCGGTCGGAGGCTTCTGACGTGGCAATGTTTTCCAACCGGCTTTCCGGAGCCGACCGGCTAATGAAGCTGTTTTGAAAAGAAGTGACGCACGGTGGTCTTTGAGCTAGGAGACGTGGCGTTGGGCGCCTTGGCGCTGTGAAATGGGAATTTGCTTGCAGCATTCGTGACGTCCTTTGGAGAAATAGTGAACTGTGAACTCGGCTCAGACCAGCAGTAAGTATCAGTTTCAGTGAGTGCTGCTAGGATTCACAAATCAACTTCGGCGCGCACCACTCGCTGGGGATGGCTCGCTGGTAAAAAGGATGGGTAGCTTCAGGTGGTTAGCAAAGTTAAGACGCCGCAAATAATACGGTAAATGCCCCTATACCTATGCCGGCTCCTGTAACCTTTTATGGCAAAGATAACCGACATCCGTATGAAGGACGAGTGGTTAGGAAGGGTGGAAGGCCGATGTGCAGCACTCGAACTCCCTTCATGTGCACTGAAGCACATTCACTTTAATCCAAGCGTGAATACTGCTTTGCTTGCATTGCAGTCGTGGCAACTGCATACTGTGATTGATGACTGTTGTTATCTATGGCTTCTATTTACGCTTGCCGTTTGCTCCGTAGTTTAATAATCGACATCTAGAGCAGAGCACTATCGCAGCCTATTTGGCAGACTCTGGCCAAGCCGCACCGGTGTTGATTGCTCGTCATGTCGAGGCTGCTGGCTTGCGCCAGCAACTACCTTGGGCGCACCGCGGTGGTCCTTGACAACAATGCATTCAGGTATGTCGTCAGTATGTCGCTTACACCACCTTATCTCGGTTTCCCCACCTTCCCCTGCACATGCTGTTTGGAAGCACGTCACCGCGGCAATACTTAGCTCCTGCCGGTTCAAGTGTGCATGCTGCCCTACCACCGTCCCTTTGCCGGTTCATGACTCCTATCCCCTCTCCCACCTGACGTCACGGGCCTCCCTCGGGTCCCTCCTTACCCTCACCCTGCAGCTACGAAACCGTGCTGAGTGCAGCGGATGCCATTCGCTCCGACCTAACACGCAAGCTCCGAAACCCAGCCTCAGCACCATCACCCTCCACATCACCAACTGCTTCCGCCGGGACTCGAACAGCCGCCACCGCGCCTCCCCGCGTGGGGCTCTACGCGGCACCCGGACCCGAGTACCTAGCTGCCACGTGGGCCGTATGGCAGGCGGGCGGCATTGTCGTACCTCTCGCCACGTCACACCCGCCCTCCGAGCTGTCGTACGTGTGTCAGGACGCCGGCGTGTCAGCGGTGCGTGAGTGAGGCGGGCCGGGTGACGGGGTTCGTGCTGGGCTCGGGCGGGCAGGGGATGGCGAGTGGGGGCACTCGCTGGGCCTTTTGTACGCTGTACGACAGGTAGAGGAGTGGGGGCATGGCGCCTTTGGCTGGATGAGTGGCTCCGCCGCTTACTGCTACGGTATCTCAATCCGCATCCGCATCCCCGCTTCGTGCTGCCACTTTTAAGTGCATCTGCGGCCTCTTCCTCCCTCCCTCCACTCCACACCCCTCCCTCCCTCCTCCCAGGTCCTAGCTCCCCCCGACCAGGAATCCCAGCTGGGCACCATAGCACACCAGCAGGGTGCCGTACTGCAGCTGCTACAGCCGCTGAGGGGCACTGCTACTGGAGCTGCTCACGGGGGCGCCAGCGGCACTGGCAGCGGCAGCGGACGGGGGTCAGGGATAGGTCGGCAGCAGCAGCGGCATGAGGAAGAGGAGGAGGCGGCAGCGGCGCTGGCGGCTTTGTGTGGTGCGGAGGTCAGCGGCAGCAGTGCCAGTGTCAGTGCGGGCGGTGCGCTGATCATGTACACGAGCGGGACCACTGGGAAACCCAAGGGCGTGCTGCACACGCACAGGTGGGGGGAGGAAGGGAGCAACGACAAGTATCGTATGACAGTGTCGTGCACTGCATCATCGTACCGGTAGGGGACCGGAGAAGGCAGCTCAATTACGGAACATTAGGAGGGGCATGAAAGGAGGGACTTGGCCCGTTGATGTATCACCCAAGGCTCAAGTTTAAGGAACACGGCACGCAACCCCGCCCCGCCCCGCCCCGCCCCACCCCGTCCCGCCCCGCCCCGCTGCACCCAGGAGCCTGCACGCCCAGGTGTCCGCACTGGCCTCCTCCTGGCGCATGCGCCCCTCCGACACGCTGCTTCACTGCCTGCCGCTGCACCACATCCACGGCATCGTCAACGCGCTGTACTGCCCCGCGGCGGTGGGCGCCTGCGTGGAGTTCACACCGGGAGGCAGGTTCGCCGCGCCCGCGGTGTGGCAGCGCATCCAGGTGGATGGGGGGATGGGTGTCAGGGCGGGCGTCAGGGTGGTGGGTGGGTGTTGCGGAGAGAGCCACCTGAGACGGCGAACTGTGCTGACTGCACAGCTGTCGACCGAGCATTTTGGTGGGGGTGGGTGTCTGAGAGTGTGCGAGGCATGGGAGTGGGGCGGGGCGCGCAGGTGGTGTGTTGGTGGGGTGACAGGGCTGATGGCCCCAGTCCTCCGTCCGCCCCTTCCAACCCTTCACTCATCCCCACCCCACGAGTATCGGACCATCGCATGAAAGGCTGAGGTGCTTCCCGTGTACTCATCTGAATTCGTCGCAATTGGAACTCAGGTTTCCTCTTCCTTCTTTTCCTACCCACCTGCTCCCCACCCACCCCCCAGTCTGGCGGCATCTCGGTGTTCATGGGGGTGCCCACCATGTACTCGCACCTGCTGACGGAGTACGACGCGGCGGGGGCGGGGGCAGCAGGAGCGGGGGCAGCGGGGGCGGGGGCGGGAATAGGGGCGGGGGCAGCGGCAGGGGGCGCAACGTCCACCTCCTCCTCGCCAGCCATCTCGGAGCAGCAGGCGGCCATGCGACGGGGCGCTGCGGCGCTGCGGCTGACAGTGAGCGGCTCCTCCGCCTGCCCCGTGCCAATCATGAACAGGTGTGGGAGAGCGGGGGCCGGAGCTGGGATAGGAGGGGGGAGCTGAGGGTGTTGTGTCCCGTCGGAGTCCTTACACCGCCAAGCCAGCGCTTGGGCACGACAGCGGCCTATGAGGGAGGACTTGCGCCCTGGCGCTATGAGAGCGCAATGCTCAAGACACCGGTACCATTGCTTCCCTGAACGCGAAGCCTGTGAAAGCATGTGTGCTTTACGGATCCTGTCCCAAGCACGAGCTAATGTCGTGTGATGATGATGCTGTACGACAGGTGGCGGGATCTGAGTGGGCAGTACCTGCTGGAGCGGTACGGCATGACGGAGATCGGCATGGCGCTGTCGAACCCCTACCAGGTGAGCCAGGGGCCATGGTACAACCCACCATGCAATCCACCATCGTGGGTTCGCCCGGTCGCAAGGTTACCATGGATGCTTCTCTTTACGCCTCCCTCCTCCCTGGCACGGTTTGTATCAAGGCAGCAACCGCTGGTGAATCCTCCTCAAATCCAGCTCGTCAGTTTTACCCCCCTTACCCTTCTCCTCACCTCCTGACCACCTGCTCAGGGCGAGCGGCGCCCCGGCACAGTGGGCACCCCGCTACCCGGTGTGGAGGCGCGTCTGGCGCCGGACGGACAGCTGCTGGTGCGGGGCGCCAACGTGTTCACGGAGTACTGGGGGCGGCCGGAGGCGACTCGGGAGGCGTTTGACGAGGAGGGGTTCTATAGGACGGGTGAGGGCGGGCTGGGGCTGGGAGGTGGGTTGCGGGCGGGTTGGTCCGCAACGGGTGGTGTGTCGCAAGCACGCCTCTGTTGGGAAGTGGGTAGAGGGCTGGCTGCTGCAGGGCTGCAGGGCCCTACTCCGCCGCTAAAGCCAGGTACCAGGTAACACCCCTCGCTCCTTCTGCTTGTGCTCCAGTGTAACCCACATCCTGCTAACCACCGCCCTGCCTCCCCACTGCAATGGAAATGTGCTTCACTTCTCATTTCCGTTCTTCCCGCCTCCCCAGGCGACACCGCCAGCGTGTCGGGCTCCCCGCCGTACTTCACCATTGAGGGTCGTACAAGTGTGGACATCATGAAGAGCGGCGGCTTCAAGATATCGGCACTGCAGGCACGTAGCTAGCAGGGTGGTTGGTGCAGAGCGGCGGGCTACCGTATTTGCTTTGGGATGCCCCTGCGTTCAGGGTTAACTGCTTGGGGAGCGCTATCTATGCATGTATACCGTACGTATAACATTACAAACACACTTACAGATTCAAAATTACTTCACACGCGCACGCCCTGAACAGCAGCTACTCATTCTGTCACCTTGCCGTACATGTACCATACACATCGCCGCACCACACCACGCTACCCAACCCGCCACACACACCTGCAGGTTGAGAGTGCCATCATGGAGCACCCAGCCATATCCGAGGTGGCGGTGCTGGGGGTGCCGGATGAGACGTACGGCCAGATGATTACGGCGCTGCTGGCTGTGAAGAGCGCCGCGGCACGACCGGCCGTGGAGGAGCTGCAGCGCTTCTGCCGGGAGCGGCTTGCGCCTTATCAGGTAGGAGGACTGACTGACTGACGAACGGACTGCAAAAGACTGGATTTAGGTATGCGTTGCCGTCATGTGGACCGTATCCCACCCGCTTACAACACGATGTACGGAAGTACTGTGCCCTCATGTACGGTATGCACCCTCGTGCACGGTATGTACCCCCATGCACCCCATGCGGTACGGTATCCCCGCCTGCAGGTCCCCAAGCGCTGGCAGTGGGTGTCGGCGCTGCCTCGTAACGCCATGGGTAAGGTCAACAAGAAGGAGCTGGCGCGGCTGCTGCTTGCAGGCCAGCTGCCGCAGTAGAGGAAGTGTACGTCGGGGATGAGGGTGTGCGTGTGACGGAAGAGCGAGGAACGTTTATGTCCTGAAACGTTGAAGTGGGAGGGTGGCACAGTACAGCGAAGTAGAGTGGTTGACAGCGTTGTACGGCAGTGTACGGGCGTTGGGAGCTGCGGGGCAGGGCAGCAGCCTCCTTCCGGCAGAGCGTGCGCAGGGTTGGTGTGTCGTGGGGTGGCAAGGCGAAGGATGGTAGGCAAGGAACGTGTGAAGGCTGCGAAGTCTTAGAGGGGAGCAACGGTGCAGCTGAGAGGTGGAGGAGTTGCACAGACAGTGGTTGATAGATCCGCAATTCCCGTTAGGAGGCCTCGCAGGAGGACTTCCGCAGCTGGCTTCCTTCGTGGCATACCGGTACGGTAGGATGTGTCATTGGGCGCGTGGTGGCACGGTACGGGCGTCATGTGCCCTTCAATCGTTGGTAAGAACGTAACAGCCCGCACCGTTACTCTGTTGCTGAGCTGACTCGCTTTGACTCAGTGGAAGCAGGCCGGGATGATGACTTCATGAGTGATCATCCTGGTGCAAGGTACTTTCACGGGTGGCCTCACACCCTGCTCTCCTTTCACACCGTGATACCTTGTAACACTTAACTGAAGGTCTCGTCGCAACTGACGCTGGTTTACACCGGATAGGGTTCACATCTGGGTCTGTTCCAGACCTCCTACGTCAGCTGAACACCCCGGATTAGACGCTGAGCTCAAAACTAAGCCTAGCAGTGAGTCATCTTGCCTCGCTGCACACTTGCGTTGTGACGAACAACTACGTTACATGGACTCTGCAACGTTTCGAACATGCCACCATTCTAGGAGTGTAACTGCCACAGCAGCCAAGATACCGAACTTATCTCCGTAAGGGTCTGCAGGATATATGCGATAACACAGTCATGGTAAGCCTGCAACCTAGTATTTTGGGCCCGCCCTTGCTTCCAGACGCTCCTTGGTGCCCCGCGCCGTGGGAGCAAGGGAACAGCCCTAGGGATACCTCCGGCAATGTCACCCTACATGCTCTCGTTTATGCCACATTGCTGTGGCTGTGCCGTGCTGAACGCACGGCTAGTAATGAAGTTACCGGGTTGCCCAGATCGATGCCACACACAGAAGAGAACAGAAGTTCGTAGATATGGCTTTATAGATGCATTAACGCTTGCGTGCAGATGGTTTCGGAAACCAGTATTTAAAGTTGTCTGGATTTAAACTTCGGATGTTTCCGTGCGGAGCGCCTGCACCTAAGGGCAGGCCAATCAAGCGCAAGACAACACGCTCTAGCGCCCGCACTGTCAGCCCCGTCGAAACTTTCACCACTGGTCTGCGTCCTATTTTGCCACTCACTTCTCCTTGGCCATCCGCGCGGCATCGCGCGCTAACCTATACACGCGAGCGTGCAGGTAGCCCCCTCATTACAACGAAATGGTCTATTAATTGGACAATCCATTGGCTGGTGGCTTGCAAAGGGTCTTACAACATTACAACAAAACGTGAAAAGGTAGCCGCTCATGTCGGGGCCCGTTAACACCCACCTTTCAACGCTCTTCGGTAGCCAGGTGCTCTCGGATTGCTTGGTAAAATTCTATCCCGAAAATGCGGAGCTTGCTCCCTTTTGGCAAGGCTGTGGCCAGGCATCCGCGCCTTCCGACAGTGCAGCAGAGCCAGCCCCTAAACGGCAAAGGACAGATGATTCACCATCAACATCCCTAAAGCTGGTCTGCGTTAAGATAGCAACCGGCGATGCGGGCTCAACAGTTGAGCCGAGCGGTGGTGATCATGCTTCGGGCAGGCTTGTTACCGTGACTTTGGCCCCTGTTTTCGGCGATCCGCTTCCAGCGCACCTGCTTGTGGTTTACTGCGGATGCTCCCGCTTCCGCGCCCAAGTTGATCGCTGGCAGCAGGAGAAGGGCCCTGCAGGCAGCAAACCAGTGCTGCGCGTGCCTTTGCGCTCAGCTGATGAAATGCCGCACGCGCTGGCAGCGATTCGCTTCATGTACACTGGGGCGGTGCCTGCAGACAGCGCCTCGGACCTGCTGCATATCCGGCGGCAGGCGGCCTACCTGCAGGTGGAGGGCTGCGTGGAGGCGTGCGATAAGGCCCTGCTCGACCGTGTTAAGGTCCTGGCGGGCGTAGCGGAGCTGTACAGTTGCCGCCAGCTGCTGCCGGATCCGGAGCAGACCGAGGAACCCAACGGCGCCCAGATCCTGAACGACCTGATCAAAGCTTGCCGGCAGCAGCTGGCGCAGTACAGCAACAGCAGCAAGGACGCGCCGGCGGGCGGCCCCAATCTTGGCGAGCTGCTTGCCTGGTCCTTCCGCGACGCCCCCTCCGTGCTGAGCGACCCCGAGACGCGGCGGCAGATGGAGGCGCTGCCCGCCGCCGCCATGGAGGCGCTCCTGGGCAGCGAGCACTTTGCCACGGACGACGAGGCAACCGTGCTGCTCATGCTGGCGCGCTGGTTGGAGGTCAACACGGGGACGTCGGGGGAGGTCCGCGAGCGGCTGTGCAGGCTGGTGCGGCTGAGCAGCACCTACCTGCAAGCTGTGCTGCCGCTGCTGCCCTGGTTTCCCCTCAGCAGCGAGGAACATCGCTTCCTGTGCATTTACACAACAGCTGAGGAGGGACAGCGGGAGCGCATGGCAAGCGCAGCCGCTGGGATACACGATTGCAGCTCGCCTTGGTACTCTGCCCCTGTCCGGCCGCCTCTGCCTCCTTCGGCCGCCAACAGGAGCTACGACTGGTACATTACGGAGACGGATTTGGCGGCTGCCCTGGCACAGAACCCGTGTTGCAGTGTTGACGGGAGCTTCAGCAACGGCTCCTCCCGGGTTGCAGCGTTTGGTTTCGAGTGGCACGCTTGCCTGGAACATGAGAAGGGGTCCCAAAAGGCTGGCTTGTTTCTGTTCTGCAGCCTACCGGAGTCTCTAAACGCTTTTGGCAGCGTGACGTCTGCGATCAACCCGGGGCCTGCTTGCCTGGTGGCCTTCAATTGTGGGGAGGACGGCAGATTGGAGGAGGCATGGAGCATGGGGTATTCTGACGTCTTTGTGGAGATTGGCCACGGCCGGGGTGTGTCTGGTGCATTGCAGCTAACGGCGCCGCCTGCTGAGGGTCAGCAGCAGCCGTCATCCGGGGCCGCTGCCGGCTCTGGGTCCCTGCTGGCTCCCTGGTCTGCCTACCTGCAGGACGGCAAGCTGCAGGGGGTGCTGGAGTGGAGTTAGCTGGGTGTACCGGTCTGCTGGCTACTCTGAAGGCTTAAGCCTATGTTAGGCTTTCAATAGGCGGATCCACCATGCTGCATTGTACGGCATGTCACCGTAGTACAGTTGCGATATGGTTCGTGAAACGGCCGGGAGGCTCCAGGGGCAGCTCCCTCCGCCCCTGGGGGTTAAGGATGCATGTGCTGTGGTTTGGAGCATACTGGAAGCTATTTACGTCAAGTAGGCATGGAGTGCTCATTCAGTTGTAGCAGGCTGTAGGGAAGCACGCTGCAGGGCTGCTGCTGGTGCACTAACTACCGGTCTTGGCGCTCCTGGCATGGGGCTTGGGTGGCGGGATCTGCAAGGGGGTGCATGAAGTAGGCAGGACGCGTTGGGCAGGCCCCTAACGGGTGGGGGAAGAAGTTCCACTGGTAATCTAACCCCTTCGGAAACACAGCCGCGTGACTTTTACACTTTACACTGGATGATCGCTTGGGCCCTCGCGACCCCGACGGCATGTCATACGCAGGAGGACGCTTACTTGCGGTCGTTTGTACGGCAGGAGTGCGTGATTGGTTCAATATAAGTTGTATTTGCTTTGGCACTTGGGCGTTAAGACAACGACGCGGGGGCTTTTGCTGTCGTTATTGTGATCTGGGTTCACGCGAAACGCTGACAGTTGGACAGGTTGAACTGCAGTTGCTTGTCATGTATTGCTGGAATGCGCTGCGGCTGTACGGCAGGATGTAAGGCCTGATCATTAATCGCAGGCGGATTGCTGTTGTGGTGCGGAGTAGGTTTCGTGGCTAGCGACATATCCGTGAAATGTCCTGTCGCACGGTTTCCCAAGAGCAAGAATGCGCTGGTGGAGGTAACACATTTGGGGTCCGGCAAACAACATGATGCGTGCAAGGATAATACAAGGCCGTGGCGTAAACCGTACCTCCGTGAGGCAATTTTTATGGTAAGCCCCTGCCCCTACGTACCGTGCACGTTTGTTGCAACCCACAGCCAAGCTACGGTCAAAACCGGTAGTGTGCGCTCTGGTTCAAGCACACATGCCGCTTGCCATGCGCTGGCGTTGCACCGGGGTATGCACGCGGATTGCAGGAAGCAACCTAAGACACAGCGCTGTAAGTTGACTCTCATAGATGCAACACAGCTAGGGCGCCCAGATGTCACTGATGTTATATGATACGGCGTATCCGAACCTTGTCTGCCCTCGGCGATGATACACGCTTGCTGCCCAAGGCACACTGCCGTACAGTAGTGCCCCCCAGCCCCACACGTCCGTGGCGAGTCCTTTTTTCCTAATCCCGCTCGCTATGTACAAACCTGTCATATACAGCTTCCTGCGCCAAGGACTGCCATCACTGAAACGCATCCACATAACCCACCGACATCCGAATTCCCTGCGCTCTCCCTGCAAACCCCGCACCCCACACAAAACCCCGCCGCCCCCTCACTCCGCATGCGGGGGTGCCAGTGGCAGCTCGCCGTACTCCATGACGGGTGCCGTACTTGCCAGCTGTACGGCAGTCAGCATGTGGCCCTCCGCCTCCTGCCGGTGCTGCAGCGCCGCCGCCACGCGGCCCAGCTGGAACCACGCGGCGGCGGAGGCGGGCTCGTAGCGCAGCGCCTCCGTCAGCGTGTCGCGAGCCAGGGCCAGGTCCAGTCGCCCTCCGCGCCGGGCCTGGAGTGCGCCTGTGTGGTGGGTTGGGTTGGGTTGAGTTGGGTTACCGGTAGGTTATGGCTGGTCATGCGGTGAGGGGAGATGGGGTGGGAAAGGAGGGAGGGGTGTGGAGTGCGACTTGGAGTGCATGGCATTTGGTCGTGGGTTCGGTGCAGGGCATGGGGTGACAAAAGAAGGAGGACCAGGCGGCGAGCGAGGTAGGCGAGGGGCAGCAGAGGGTGGGGGAGAGCGGGGGATTTGGTAGTTTGCGCATATGGCCGTTACCAGTACCAGACTACCTACCTTGCCGCAGCAACGACGGTGCATGGCTGGGGTCAAGCGCCAACGCCTCGCCGTACGCCGCCGCCGCCTCGTCGTACCGCCCCAACGCCTCATGTACGGCACCCAGCGCATGTCGTACGGCGGCGGCCCAGGGCCGTAACGCCAGCGCATGGTCCGCCGCTGCCAGCGCCTCCCCTGCCTGGCCGCTGGCCGCCAGGGAGGTCGCCAGCTCGCACCACACGCTGGCTAGCGCCTCTTCAACTTCCGTGCGGGTTACTCCCGCCGGCGGAGAATGCGACGAAGACGGGGCGACGGTTGGACTTCCTTCCCGACGGTCCGGCTGTGCGGAGGAGGAGGACGAGGAGGAGGAGCAGAGCCAGCCGGAAAGGAGCTTCTTGGCCGCCGCTAGCGCCGCTAGACTGCCTGCGGTGTCGGATTGCGCTGCCAGCAATCGAGCACGCAGCCGCCAAACCCACACGTCACTCCAGAGGGCGGTGGGTGATGAGGGGGATGTGGCGGAGGGGGCAGGGGCGGCGGAGGCGGGTCCTGGGCCGGCGACAGGGGTGGACGGTGTTGAGGAGGAGGCGGCGGAGGCGGAGGTTGGCGCGGCGGACAGGACGGAGAGGGCTAGCTTGTGCTGGCACCTGCGCGGGGAGGTGCACGGAGGTGAGGCGAGCTCAGGAAGGCGGGGGGAGTTGCGTGTGCGGTACTGAGGACGTCGTGAGGTGAAAGGCTGAAGCGGCATGCAACTCGCAAGAGTTGGCCCCACCATCCCGCTAACGTCCCTCCTCCTCTCCCTCCTCTCTTCTTTTCCCCCTCCTCCTCCTCCTGCTTCCCTACCTGGAAGACAGCAGCGCCGCCACCAGTACCAGGCTCAGCGCCGTCAGCTGCGCCTGCCCGGCCGCCTGCGCCGCCGCCAGGGCCGCCCGTGCGCTGCCCAGCGCCGCCTGCCCCGCCTGCCCCGCCGCGCCCTGCTCCGCCTGCAGCAATGCCAGCACGTAGAGGGCGTGGGCGGTGGTGGCGGGGCCGGGGGCGGAGGCGTCGGGGGCTGCTTGTGGGGCTGTTGCTGTGGTGGTGATGGAGGTGGAGGATGCGGGGTTGAGGTCCAGGACGCTGGAAAGGAGCTGCAGGGCTTCCGTCCTGATAAGGGAAGAAGGGAATTGGGAAGTGAGGGATTTATGGTGGGGGGGTTGAAGGAATACGTTACAAGTGAGGGCAAGACAAAAGGGATAGGAGCTAGTGGGGAGCACGAAAGGATGAAGCTGTGGCTGCTTGGGCAGCGGATTCTTCGGGGCGCTGTTCTGTCCAAGGTTGCTATACCTGTCCTTTTGGCGCTCCACCTGCTGCCGGGTGTGCACCCGCGCACGGCTCCCCAGAGACACGGCCAGCTGTACGGCTGCGCGCAGGCAATCTTCGGGCGTCGATGCTTGAGCTAGGGCTGACCTGCATATCGTGCATATATGGTAATCACTCCCTCTGATTGGCGCCGGGATTAGGCGCATTGGCGATTGGGATGTTACCTTGCAACCGCAACACTCTCTTCCAGAGCTTCCACAGTACCGAGCTGCTGACATGCTCTTGATAGAAGTAAATTTGCTGAGGTGTTGTGCGGGTCCTGCTCTAGGAAAGCCTCGAGGATTCCCTTACATTGCTCATGTTCTCCGTTCTTCAGCGCAGCTCTTGCAGCTGCAAGCCATGTTTCCTCCGCATTCTGTGTACTCTTGGAATCCGCTAGGATGTGAAAGATTTCAGGGAGCTTGCCCTCCTTTCCCCGCAGCGCGTCTGATATTCTTTCAAAGATAGCAGGTAAGCTCATGGTTGGTACGTATTGGATAAGTGTGTAAGACTGCTTGGAATCGGCAGGTTTTGATGGCGCAGAATTTGCAGCCGTTGGTACGGCGCGAGCCCGACCCAAATCGCAAAAGCGCGGACTTGCCCCAACGTGGCCGCAAATGGTTTGCGTGCCACATGTCCCTACCGTTATCATGTTATAAAGCCCATCGTGGCTATCCAGCTCACGTATCAGGTTTCGCTAACTCCCATGCCAGAGGTTACCACCGTTGTTTGCTAAAGACGCCTCATAACATACCTGGCAGATGTCAAATACCTAGTCATAAAGCATACAGTGCGAACATTGCTTCGCAGCCGTCGCGTGCTGTGCAAGCCGCATCCATGCAAGCGCCCGAGTCGGCACCAGCGTCTGTGGTGGATGCAAATGCGGGATCTCGCATGTTTGTGCTCGGACTAACTGGATCAATAGGTAACCTCCTCAGCGTCCCGAACTCGCATGCCACAGCGACCCACGGGTTCGCGGGGTTGCCGCTGAGTTGTTGCGTGCTGGACCACACCTCCACCCTCGTCCCATCCAGGCATGGGCAAGAGCACCGTGTCTGCCATGTTCAGAGAGGAAGGCGTCCCCGTCTGGGATGCGGATGCGGTAGGGCGACAATTCGGTGACCGTCGGCCCTTAGAACGAGCCACGCTGCCGTACTGTACAGCCCATGTTCACCCTCGTGAGCGCGCTTGCTCTATCGGCCGCTGCCTACGCACTACATGCCGTATTCTCGCCGTACCCTACCCCTCCTGGCTGTTTACTGGCAGGTCAAGGTTGCATGGCCCCTTACCCCACCCCTGCTTCACTTCTACTAAACCCATTCTCTACCCCGTACCCGCGCTTGCTCCTAGGCGGTTCACGAGCTCTACTCCGCGGGCGGGGCTGCCGTACCGCTGGTGGAGGCCGCCTTCCCGGGAGTGGTGGTCAACGGAGGTAAGGCCCCACCCACCCAACCCCTCCCCCGTTCCTGCACAGCCTGGGTCCACTCGACGCATGCCGCCTAAGGGTGCTAGGATACGTTGAGGAGGTTCAAGCGCCCGTTGTCACCCCATGATGTCATGATACATGCATGCCCCTTACCAGCCCGCTAACGCCCCGCTGCATGTGCCTGCTGCGGTTGTCGTATTGTGGTGCTGCTGCTGTGGGTGCTGTTGCTGACCCGGGTGCTGCTACTGCCGCTGCAGCCATCGACCGGGCAGCGCTGAGCGCCCAAGTGGTGGGCAACGAGGTGCGCACTGGGCCACTGGACTGCTGCTGCTTCTCCCATGGCTCCATGTGCTCCTGCCCCATCTTGAGCTCTACCGGTACTGCAAATACCGGTATTAAATTCACCCGTGCTGTGCTACGTCTGCACCAGGTTTTGACCCGTGCATGTTGCTGCAGTTGGCCTGACCCCCACCCTCCACTGCTGCTGCCGGCCCCTCCCTGCTGCCTGCTCCCCGCTTCCCGCCCCCCAGCCCGCCATGCGGGTGCTGGAGGGGCTGGTTCACCCGCTGGTGGCGCAACACCGCGCGGCATTCCTGGAGCAGGTGGGTGGCTAGATGCACTGTGCCGCGAGGAAATACTGGCAGTGACCACAGGTAGGAAGACCCGTTGGGGACCCGTTGGGTGGTGGGGACTGTGGGCTGCGGGCTGCGGAGGGAGAAGACAAAAGCAAGAAAGTCCCTGACGAGATGCCAGTAGCCCCGTAGCCCCGTAGCCCCGTAGCCGGGGCTGCGGGGCAGTGCGAGGGCTGATGAGGGTGGCGGGCATCGGGCCCCGCCATTGTTGGGTTAAGTTAAAGCTGCCTTCCTTGCTGCTCTGCCCCCAATGACCTCGTACCTGTAAGCCTAGTTAGGCTTCCATACCTGTAGCCTCCGTCTCAGCACTCCACACCCACCCTGCCCCCGCCCCCTGATGCCCCCGCAGCTGCGACGGGTGGGCCACCCACTCGCCGTGCTGGACATTCCGCTGCTGTTTGAGACGGGCGGTACGGGGCGGCACGGGGTGGATGCGGTGGCGGTGGTGAGCGCCACATCGGAGCTGCAGCGGGAGAGGGTGCTGGCGCGGCCCGGCATGAGCGAGGGCAAGCTGCAGGCCATACTGGGGAGACAGGTGGAGTGAGGGAAAGGGGTTTGGGGGGCGGAAGAGAGGGGGGGAACGCCGCTGAGGCATTTGGGGTGCTTGGGATGGTCCCAAGCGGTGGTTGGGCCCTGTGTTCAATTTGTTTCGCTAAACTTATGTATAATGCGAGTTTAACACAGAGGTTTAACTGAACGTATCTATCCTAACATTCCCTTATAGTCAGTTATAGTACTAAAGTATTCGAAGCTTCAAAGAACATCTCGTCGCCATCCCATTGACCGCACGACCTAATAGTGTTAGGCCGCAGAGGTACTGGATACGTAGCTTTACCTCCATGACTTCTCAGAATTCAACTAGTGCAATGCACATCAGGCCCCAGCTCCATGATCCGCAAGCGGATGGCTCCATTATTAGGGCGGTTGAGCAAGTCTGCCCGCATTGCCAGGCAGACTACTCCACCCACAACGAGCCCAACTTCAATAGTCATATAGAAGCGTGCGCAAGGAAGTCAGCAAAGCGAGCAAAGAAACCGTCGGGGCTTTGGCGGTGTCCGGTACCCGGCTGCAAGAAGGCGCTACCGCTGAACAACGCCTACAATATAGCGGAGCACGAGCGAGCGTGCAGAGCGGCCCACGGGCCAGCCAGCATCAGCAACACGCCTAACATCATGTCGTACTTCAAGCGATCCAAGCGGCCACGGCTTGAAGGCAACACGCCTGAAATGGCCACATCACAACCCCACAAGGTGCCACACCGTCATTGCACCAACCAATTGGAATGGCACCGGCCGCCACGCATGTCACGCCGCAGGCTTTGCTCGCTAAACCGCAGCAACAGCAGATCCTGCTGCACAGCCCTTATCGTCAACACCATGCGCGTTCCCGTCCCATCCCATTCCCACTAACATGTGCCCCCGTCACCGTCCCCTCCCGCTCCCGTTCCCGTCCCCCTCCCCTGCTCCCTGCAGGTCCCCGATGCGGAGAAGCGGCTGAGAGCTGACTTCCTGATTGACACCGCCACGGACCTGGCCGCCACTCGGGCGCAGGTGGGGCAGCTGGTGGCGCGGCTGGGGGGCAGCAGCAGCAAGGGGAGTGGAAGTGGGGGTAAAATGTAAAAATAAAAAGTGCAGCAGTGGTAGTGTGGGTATGGAAGGAGCCACCAGCCGTGCTGACTAGGCGCGCCTACCTACCTACCTACCGGCTGGGAGTTGAGTGGGGTTAAGCGGGTAGCGATGAGGGGCAGGAACGAGGACGGGTGGCATGGACGTGGGTGAAGGTAGCTAGCTGGGGGCGATGCAATTAATGCATTGGCAAAGTAGCATAGCAGCGGGGTCGCATGCCGTGGGGACTGCAACCATTGCGTGCCCGCCCATTGCCCTGTGGCGCTGGCGGAAGGCATCATGGTATACCGCCGCTAAGCCGTGGTGTTGGTGCTCATGGGTGTGCGTTGTTTGTACTGCATAGTTGGATAGTATATAAGGTTCCCGGAGATATGAGCAGTGCAGGCAGACGGGCTCGTTACACAGCAGATAGTAGCTAGAGTGGAGCAGAGTAAAACGACAGACCCACGGGTCACAATGTAACCGAGTCAACAAATAAGCCCCGGTATGTGCTCATGTAGTCGACATCAAAGCTACATACTGCCACGACACACTGTTTGCCGTCAGTGCCACTGCCCGACCTCCGCCAGCCTCACGCCGTAGAGTGGTACAGCACAACAACAGCAGCATGGACCCTCCTCCTCATCCCAATCAAGCCCTACACCGTTCGCAAGACAACGCCCTGACACCAGCCCCCCAGCCAAACACCAGCCCAGCCAACGTCATCCTTACTTCCTCATCCCCATCCGACCCCACCTCCTGGTCCTCTACTGCCCTCCAGTGCTGGCTCCCTGCGGCTGCCTGCCGCTACGTTCCTATATACACCCGTGTCCACTGCTAGACCCACAGACTTTCTGCCTCACTGCCATGTCATCATCATTGCTGTTGCTGCTGCAGCCGCTTCTGCCGCTTGACGATGTCCGCCGCCACGTTGAAGATGCCCTGAGTGGACTGCCCGCACACAGCACACTTGGACGTCTTGGCGTTGTGCCTGCACGGGTGTTCAAATATGCGGGGGGGCGGGTTGGGAGGTGCGAGGAACGGACCGGTAGGTTGCCGTTGGGTTGAGGCAGGTGCTGGATGCGTGTTAGAGCAGCACGGGAACTCAATTCTCCTGTGCCTCGCATGCACGCCTGTAACAAGAGGGCTCCACCAGGCCCGTTGTGGGTGCAACCACACGACCACCACCACAACCACAACCGAGTCACCCTGCCAGGTGCCACCACAACAAGTCAACAAAGCTTACTTGAGCGCGCACTTCTCGCAAAAGTAGTGCTTGCAGCGAGTCACCACGGGCGGCCCCTTGCATGCCTCCCAGGGCTCCCGGCAGATGAAGCAGGCGAAGGGCAGCTCGTCCTCCGCCTCCGCGCCCCGCCCCTCGCCCTCCTCGTCCTCCTCGCCGTCGGGGTTCCAGCCCTTGGCTAGCGCCTCAGCCTTACGCTTTTGCTCCTCTTCCCACATCTGCGGCAGAGAGCGGATGGGAAGGAGGCGCACGTACAGTTCACAGCATGGACGAACCCGCGTGGTCCAACATGTGCAAGCCATCATAACGTTTGGTATGCCCTCCCAATGACCTCACAACCAGGCCCCCCCCACCTTATCCAGCTCCCAGCCGCTCTTGTAGTCCCCTCTGTCGTGCATGAACTTGCACGTGTCGCCGTACGAGCAGTACCCCGTCTCCTTGTAGTCCTTGCACAGGTCGGGCTGGTAGTCAACGCGAGCCGTGACACGCACGTAGGCGTTGCCGCGCAGGGGGCCGTGCGAGCCCGTGCCCTTCTCCGAGGCCACCGTGTGCTCACGGCGGAAGCCCTGGGGACGGCAGGGAGGAAGGAGCGGGAGGGGCAGGAGGCGGGCGAGTTTAGTAAGAAACACTTAGGTTTGCTGCTAGGGTGCACATTCGTAGGCGTCCTTTCTTGGGTTAACTCCGTAACCGCCCTATGGGCTTATCCCGGTTCCGTCCCTCCCCATGCCCTTCTTCGCCTCGCTGTAAGAATGGGGGGACGCACGCGATGCGTGGAGTGCTGCATGTGTGGCTGCCGTACCTTTCGATAGTCGATGTAGTTGTTCATCCCCTTGTACTTGCCGTCGTCATCCGCCCCCTCAGTGGCCTGTTTAAGCACCCTTTCACGTTGGGCCCTGTGGGAGGGGATCGAGGATAGGGAGGGAAGAAGGAAAGCAGCGTCAGAGGGAAGGCAGGAAGGTTGTTGAGAGCTTTCGACAGGCAAGGGGAGTGAGGGATAAGGGGCAAGGTACGGCCGCAAGCAGCCTCACGTGGACAGGCGGGCAGTGTACGTCGCCTCGTCATGCGCATGAACCCGCTACCAGACCCCACGGCCGCGCCCCAGGCCTCACAGCCCGAGTTCACATGGCATCCCGAATAGGATCAACGGGGCTTGTAATTTAGCCAAGCCGTACCTAGCATCACGGTCGTACTCGGTCTCCGTCTCCAGGGCACGTGACACCAGGGTGTCTTTCCCCTCTTGGAGTGCCTTTGACCCCGCGTACTCAACCATAAGCTCCTGCTTTTCGTTCTTAGCGGTAGTGAAGGCCAGAGGGGCGTCACCCTTCAGCTGCTTCGCCTTCCGCACAATGCCGCTGCCCTCAGTGTCATCCTCGTCTCCTCCGGCGCCAGCATCTGCATCTTGCCCACCGCGCTTACGAATGTTCCCGCCGCCTTTCTTACGCCGGAAGAGGCCTGCTGTAGCGGTTGCGGCAGATATGGCTGCAGAACTAGGGCCCGCCGAAGCTGCTGGGGTATCTTCCACTGGCCCTGAAGGCCTTTCAACGTCATCTACATCGCCCATCGTTTAATGTTGTCAGACAAAATGCAAAGCCTTTGTAAAATTAACAGTGAACTCGGCAGGGAGTCTGCGAGGAACGTAACTGCAATTTTGGTAAATGTTCGTGCTAAAAACGTGTAGCGGTGCCAGAAGCGCGTTAACGAATGTTTGTTGCACTATAAACTCTGTGCAATAAGTGCGTGAATCGCTTTTGGACAAAGTGATATGTAGTCAGAATGCCGTACGTAATCCATGCCACCGGAGCCACCCACAAGGCAAACCCCTGGCTCGAGCTTCTGGCTGTTAACAGATGGCTGCATTTGCCTACTAGCCTTGCACCATCCGTTGGTGATGGCACAGTCCCCTGCTTTCCAACAGTAGATGACCGTTGACATCGTTCTACCTTAAGCTTTTCTATTTCGCTCCCTATTCACGCCTCCACACAAGTTTCATGTTGCTTCCAATGATGCCGCTGCAAACCTAGCTTTGCTCCGGCCATCCAAGGCATGTTGCACGAGCCCAGCGAGGGCAAGGCAGGGGCGGGCAGCGGAAGAGCCCGGGGGATGCCTATTTTAGGCATCACCTTTGGATTCAGCCCAAACCCTTACACCACATGAGGCAGTTCCGATCTGTAAGGCGTGGTCGCCCTTCCTGGCAGACACCCAACTGTGGGTTTTGGTAGTGTGAAATACGCTCCCAGTCCTTAGCAAAACTCCGTATCTTAGGGAGCTTCCAAAATCAGTCCCTCCGCAGCTGCGGATTTGCTTTGACAGCCTGGGCGATTGCGCGCTTCATAGCTAGGGACTAAGGACACGCATTTATTGTACTTTGATGCACTCAAAGTAAAAGCTTGTCGCCAAATACAAGGATGACGCCAATGGGGTTGGGTTGCTGCGCTATGAGGCCAAATGACGCTCAACAACCGTACGGCTTCGCCCGTTTGTTTGTCGGGAACCTTAAAAGGCTTTCAGGATCATAGTTGACGCTTATCTGTATATACGCTGAACAGCTGTCTGACAGAAGTCAGCGGCTTTGACCTTTGGACAGTCGACTCTCCGAGACTCAGGGAACCCAGCAAACATGGGCGTTGACGTCAGGACGACTGTTCAGGGCTCCGGTGAGTGTCAAGAGCAAAGCCGATAGCGCCGGTCGGCTACGAGCAGCAGCCGATCCGGCGGCCCTTTGGCGGAATTTCCTGCAGGCGCCCAGCCCCAGAGGGGCCAGACCGTTGTCGTCCACTACACGGGCACTCTGACGGACGGCAAGAAGTTCGACAGCAGCCGTGATCGCGGCGAGCCGTTCCAGTTTCGCCTGGGGATGGGCGAGGTCATCCAGGGCTGGGACGTTGGCGTCGGCCAGATGCGCGTGGGCCAGCGCGCTGTCCTGACCATCTCCTCTGACATGGTAAGCTAGTTTACGCTGCTGAGCTTTCGAATGCTCCAAGATCGAGCAGTTGCGTGCTGTTTCTCGTGCCCTGGGCGGGCCAAAAAGTTCGTTGGCGCACCAACCATGAAAGCGCGACAAACCGCCGCTGCTTCCAGCTGTCATCCTATTCGCACATCCACAACGGCCACTGAGCTCGCCCACGCGCCAGTGCAAACTGGCCTGCACACCACCGAAACCACCCCTGCCGTGAATGCTGTTGCCGTACGTCCCCAGCTCCTTTCCAACGCCCATGTACCCCTACCGCACTCCTCACGCCCTGCTGCTCATGTGCTCCTTTCCCCCTCCTCCCTCTTTCCCCTCCACCCGTCCACCCGCAACAGGCCTACGGTCCTCGCGGCATCCCCGGCGTCATCCCGCCCTCCGCCACCCTGGTGTTCGACGTCGAGCTGCTGGGCATCAAGTAAGCGGCCCCGCAACAGACGGAATCCCCTTTGACGGAATCCCCAGCAACATGCGAGTGTGGTGCGGCTAGCGGTTAGCCGTTGCGCCATTCGGGCCGCAGAAGCTTACGTGGGCCGCGGGCTGTGGACTAACCGTTTAGCTGCATCCCCCTATTGAGGCCACTGGTCGTTGGGTCAACCGCCACTTGCCAACGGGCGCTGTGTGGCAGGGCGTGATACTGTAGTGAGGAGGTTGCCTCGACGCTAGATGGCTAGGCGCGCCTTAGGCCAGGAGCTGCGGATGCGAAGCCGCCTGTTGGTTTTGAAGAATTGTCAGTGCATTGTGTCGTCCAGTGCGATGACAGCAATCCTGATTGAAGAACTGTGCACGACGGATGTGTTTTGAGGCAGCCGCTGTTGACTTCTGCACTGCTTGAGTCTGCTTTGGTTCCCGCATACGCGCACGCATGGGTCAGCGCTAGGCAGGCTGGGCGAGTGTGCAGGGTAGCTGTCACCAGGAGTTGTCTGTGGGTGGGGCCATGCATGTTGTTGGCATGTTGGGGGCTTCGACGGTTGCGTTGGCACACGCGCATCTGCTGCCGGGGTTCTTACGAGATGACAGTCTCAACATGGTTTGTAACACCCGGATGAGGGGTGGGTGGTCTCTGAAAGAATGAGCACCTAGGCCATGACAAGGGGTGGGTGGTCTCTGAAAGAATGAGCACCTAGGCCATATGTACCTTTACCCGTCTTTTGCCGCTGCCGCACGGAGAGTTGCTGCGTAGGAAAAGCATGCGGGCTTGGGTCCACCTGAAAGATGCCACAGGCAACGAGAAACGTGGCCAACAACACAGGTATGCTGATTGCAGAGATGACCAAAGGCCCATGCCATTTCAGCGATGTGTCTTTACACCGCTCTACCGTGCCGAATGCCCCTCTGCCGCCCTCACGGCAGGGTGGGCAGCCAACCACGGCGTCGTCGTGTCGTGCGATGAGGAAGGAAGCAACCGGCTGGATCATGCGCCTACTCATTTCCTCTACCCCTACCCCGTCTGCCCCCCTGCTTTACTTCACGCCACAGCACACTTAACCGCCTACCCGCACACGTTTTACACCAATTGACCACTTTTCCTGGCATCCCCGTACAAGCAGCCGCCCTTCTCCTACCCCCACACTTCCGCCCCGTCCAACCCTCCTCAACCTCCCCTCGCGCCTCCTCGCTCAACTCCTTTTCACTCTACTCTGGCAGCCGGCGCCGCAGCGGGCTGCCCACGGCCTCCCTGCACCCGCCCCTCCTGCTCCGCCGCCCTGCTGCCGCCCTGCCCCCCTGCACCCCCGCCCTCCTCCGCGCCGCCCGGCAGCAGCAGCACCTCGCTGCGCAGGAAGCCCAGCAGCCCCTCGTTGAACAGCTCGGGGACCTCATCATGGGGGCAGTGGCCTGGGTGGGGAAGCAAGGGGAAGTGTGATGCGGTTGACACATGCGGGTACTCGGCTGGACATGGTTCACACCTTTCTCCCCCCCGCCTCCTACCCAATTTTAGGAGTCCTAAAACCGAGCCTAAGTCCCCCATCCCTAAACACATACAGCTCCTCCTCCCTCACTATCTTCACCCTTGTTTCTCCCTCCTGCCCCCCGTCTCCCCCCTCCCTCCTCCCTGCTCGCTCACCCGCTTCCAGCAGCATGACCCTCACGTTGGCGCACAGCTGCCCCAACTGCAGCGCCCGGCCCCGCGCGTCGTTCAGCGGGTCCAGCGCGCCCTGCAGCGCACAACACACCACCCGGGTGGGGGGAGCAGGGGGTAAAAATAAGGAAGCTATACGACGAGGCTTTACCATGGGGAGGGGGAGGGGAACAAGCAGGGGGGTATAGACTGAGTTGGTGTCAGTACGGTAGTAGGCAACCCTGGTGATTGCTACTGTCGACCCCCCGTCACAGCACCAGCGGGCCACACGAACCTCCTCAAGCACCACCCGCCCAACCCCCGTGTTACCCTCCTCTCCCTCCCTCCGAACCCCCCCCCCACCTGCAGCACTAGCGTGGGCCCCCGCCAGCCCTCCGCCACCAGCCAGTTGAGTGCGCGGGGGGGCGGCAGGTACCACACGGCACGGAACACATCCAGCGCACCGCTGTCGCCCGCAGCCCTGATGGGGGGGGCGGGGGTAGGCAGGAGGGGGTGGGGGTGGGGACAAGAGCATGACAATTGTATGTACGTAGCTACGGTACCTCCATACGGCTGACTCAAACCCGCCGCACGCACGCACCTGAGTATCTCCTGCGCCAGCCACTGGTCCGCCTTGTCCGGGTTTGTGGGGTAGAGCCAGCGCAGCGTGGAGGGCACGGTGCGCTCCAGGTACCAAAACAGCGCGGTGGAGACGGCGGACACCAGCAGCGCGGGCGGCGCGGGGCGGCGGGCGGCCACTGCGGCGCGCCAGGCGGCAGGCGTGAAGGAGGGGTCGATGGGGCCTGCGGAGGGAGAAGGGGAGGGGTGGGGAGGCGGTAAAACAGGGTGTCATTGCTGTGATGGGTCCATTGCGTTATTAGCCATGTCACGGGGTGCGTTAGTGTCATCAACTCTATCTCCCCTCCCCGCCTCCTGCCCCCCGCGGCTCAGTTTACCTAATCCTCCCCCCACCCACCCGCGCTGTTGACCAGCACCAGCCCCCGCAGCAGCCCCGGGTAGTCCGCAGCAAGGCTGGCGGAGATGAAGCCGCCGATGGAGTTGCCAACAATCACCACCGGCCGCCGTACGACCTGCAGGATAAAGTCCCTGGGAGCGGGAGAGAGGGGGGTGGGGCAGGGGAGGTGCGGGAACGGAGAGGGGGGGGATGGAGGCAGGGGTGGGTTGAGAAGGGCAGGGAAACGTAGAGGAGAGGAGGAGGAGGAGTGGGAAGGCAGTTGCAATACGGCAACGGAGCCACAAGCCATCTGCGCTGCTAAGCGGTTCCAATCCTAAGCGCGCGAGCGCTACTTGCTTCCTCCACGTCCTTCTGTCGTACACGTACCCCCGTGCCTCCCCATGCACCACCTCTTCACGGTGCCGTGTACACCCAGACACATAACACCCCAATAGCACACCTCAGGAAGTCCCTCCACAGGTCCTGGCTGTACGGCACAGCGGCCTTCTGACTGCGTCCGAACCCCGGGAAGGTGGGAGCGAACACGTGGAACCCCTCCGCTGCCAGCGCGCCCATGTTGCCCCGCCACTGGTCGCCGAACGCCCCGAAACCATGAACCAGCAGCACGGCTGGGCGCTCCTGCTCACCCCCTCCGCCGGCTGCTGATGGCGCACCTCCTGGGCTGGGCTCGGCTACGCAGTAGTCTGTGTGGGGGTCATATGTACGGAGGTGTCGAGGAAGTATCCTAATCATACCTTCATGTGTCATGTCGCTCATGTGGTATTGTTGATGTTGATGAAAAAGGTATAATCTAAGTAGCAGGCTTGTCTACATCTCGCGGCTCGTTTCGCCACACAGCGGTTTCCAAGTTTCAACAGCCGCAGCGCTTGCGCTCCCCCTCCTACCAGCCAACCCCCCAACTCCCTCGATACGCCCCGCACCCCGCATTCCCCCACCCCGCCCCCACCCCACACACCCGTGATGCCGCCCCGCCACCTCCAGAAGTGCACCTCCGCCCCCGGCCCCACCACCCGCTCCTCGTCCAGTACGGCAAGCGCCCGGTGGAAGTCGGCGGCCTCCGCGGCCACTGCGGCGGCGGCGGCAGACGGGGGACGCAGGCAGCGGGGCTCCGTGCGGCCGTCGTAGGGGCAACCCGCGGCGGAGTAGGCCTGGGGGTGGGATGGGGTGGGGTGGGGGGAGCGGGGTTGGAAGAAAAAGGATACCCAGGGGTAGGGGAGGGAGGTCAGGGAGGGCCAGCGCCTCAAGCCGCTGTGGGTATGTGTGTGGAAAGAAGTGCCAACCAACCCCGGCACATCCCCCTATGAAGCCCTAGGCCCTCTAGCCCACCCTCCTAGCCGCCCCCCTCACCTCCCGCATCACCCTTCGCACGGACAGCGTCCCCAGCGCCTTGGCGGCGCTGAACAGCCCGGTGAAGGGCGCGCCATCCACCCCGGGCCGCCGCAGCGCCGCCACCTCGTCATCCAGGGAGAGCAGCGAGGGGGCGGAGGAGGAGGGGGAGGAGGGGGCGGAGGAGGAGGAGGAGCGGGCAGCAGGTGGGGAAGGAGCGGTCCTGCAGGCGGGCGGGTGTAAGGGATGGGGACGAATGACTCGGGAAAGTTATCGAATGGCGAGGAGTCGTCGCCCCTAAACCACTGGTATCCTCTATCCAGTACGACGTTCATAGCTCCCACTCCACGGCTCCGTTGAACGTGCCCCATTGGCTGCGAAACCCTTCCCCTCAGCCCCCCCTCACCCGTCACCACTCACCCCCCCCCCATCTCACCCCAGGTACATCTGCAGCAGCTCCAGCGGACTGTGTGACCCCGCCAGCACCCGCACTGCCCGCTCAGCATCTGCACCCTCCGCACACCCGGCAGCCACCTCCGCCGCCACCGCCGCCAGACCACCCCCGCCGCTGCCGCTGCCGCCGTCCGCATCAGCCCCGTTACTGGCGGCGATGTCCCTGCGGTCGCTGCGAACCAGGTTGCCGTACGCCGCCAGTGCCGCCTCCGTCAGCAGGCGCCGCATCTCCTCGCCGCTGGGGATGACTCCTGGGGATGTCGTGCGCGATTGGCGTAAGGCGGCTTACCGGCAGTACATGCGGGTCATGGTTTCAGAATCATCTCTTCCCTCTTTGGGCCATGGAAGCTTGGCTCCTCTGCTTTCCAACCCTCCAGCCCTCTAACTCACCCGGCTCAATGCCCGGCGGGAAGCGAGGCAGTGCTGCCGGCGGCGGCAGCGGCTCCGCCGGCGGCCCCCGCTGCGCCCGCCAGGTGCGGTAGCGCACTTGGAAGCGCTCCGCCGGCCACAGCGGCGCAGACCAGCTGTACGACAGGGCGCCGAGGGTGTCGTACAGCTGCCCTAGTGCCGCCTCCGCCGGGTGGCGGAATCTGTGGGTGGGCGCCGGGTGAGGGGCGGGGGTGGGAGGGGAGGTTGGTATGGGAGGAGGAGGTCATGGAGTGGGGCCGCCACGGAGTGGGGTGCGAGGGAGGGAAGGGAAAGGCGCTTGGGGAAAGGGTAATGGGAGACTGCGTACGTGGATATGACTATAGGCACGGGGGTTGGGGGTGGTACGGGAAGCGGGTCGGCAGTAGCAATGGTGCGACAGGCGCTCACCTGACCTCCACCTCCTCCTCCGAGACCACTGCGCGCGCCCCCGCCTGCCGCACCACCTCCCCCAGCTGCGCCCCCCAGGCCCCCACCCGCACCACCAGATCGCTGCCCCTGGAGCGCAGCTCGCCGCGCAGCCGCTGCAGCGCAGCAGAAAGCGCTGCGGGGAAGATGGGAGCGGGTTGGGGCGGAGGTATGAAAGGGAGGGCTTATGGGTGTAGTTAACTGGTAAGTGTGAGGATAACCAGAGGTGGAGGTGCCTTGGGCAGAGGTCCAGCAAACTCGGCCTAACTCCGTGCGTCTTCGTGCGCCAACCTCGACGAATGTGACGCACTCCTTAGCGCTTAGCCTCACCTTCGGGCCCTCCCGGTGTGAAGGCCAAGTACGAGAGGCGATCTGGATCCAACACGTATACCGGAACCAACGGCCGAGCAGATGCCGAACTGCTTGACTGCGACCTTGCCGTACTGCTGCTGCCACTGCCATCATTGCTACTGCTACTGCGGGTGGCTGCAGCAGCAGCAGCCGTAAGGCCCGGATGATCATCTACTCGAAGGTCGTTCCGAAACCAAAGCACGACTGCATCCTCGGGTCCTAGCCGGCTAGCCAGCTCCGAGACAGGCAGGCTCTTAACGCTGCTCTTGCTGCTGATGCTACTGCCGTTGCTGGCACCTGGAGAAGACGTGGCAGCGGCGGTAACGTGTGCACGCAGTGTGGGGAGCGCGGGGTGCCGGCGGAGGAAGCGGTGCGTTGCTGCGAGGTTGCCAACGGCAGCAGCAGTGGAGGCGGTGGTGGCGGCAGCAACGGCGTTGGCTAGGAATGGAAGGCGGCGGGAACCGGCGGCCTGTGACACAAGCAGGGCAGGTTCTTGGTAGTGGAGAGGGATTGGAAAGCGGTTGTGGCGTGGAGAGTAAAAGTTGTGGAAGAATTTGGTGTTGGTGCCAGAGTGGTTGGAACGGTCACCACACAGTATGTATCCGCTCATAACCCAGAATGCAATTTGCCCTTGAAAGTGGCATTGATGACTAGTATGGGATTGCTCGAAAAGGGGAAGCAAGGGCTTGCTGCGGCGTGGCAGCAAACGCACCGATGGTGTGAGTCGGGCCAACGCTCGGTGCGCCGGGGTGCGGGAACAACGGGAGTGCTGCATTGCGCACAGCTCATGCCCTGGAGCCCTAGGTCGTAGGTGTGTATTACGCACGCTTTGCATCTGTTAGGGAGTTCCAGGTTTAGGCGCGATGTATCCAACGATGCGCGCAGTGCAAGCGAACGAGGTTCATCAAGCCGCCCACGCGGCGAATACTAGAACTTATAAAATATATTCCAGGTACTATTATTAATGTGAAAGGCGAAGTGCTGGAGCTATTCTTGGTCGACAAGATCTGCCTCTTGCAAGGCTCTCAGCGATTGCGGATATCTGACGCAATATCTTCGTACTTTCACTTTACTTAATTGAAACCTTCTGCTTTAGGATGATATTGTCGGCATTCAGTCGACGTTGGCAGATAGGACCCGTGGGCCCTCCATGAACATGGTCCACCATCAAACTTGGGGCATCCATGCGCGCAAGCGTGAAGCATAGGGCTTGCATGGAAGGTATGACCTTTTGTGAAGCGTCTGTGGTGTAGTAATAATACGAAACGGTCTGCATAGAAAGCCTAGGCGCCCAACTGTCAGGCGAAGCACGAGCATGTGATGTGCACCAATGCTTCTATACCTTTTGCAAAAGCAAACCGAAGGATAAGCGACCGGGCTCGGTCATGCCATGCTGTGCTCAGGATTGTTCTTATGCCGTGCATTTCGAAATTTTTATCCTTGTTCCGCATTCAAGTATTCGCGCTCTTTGTGTATATGAATAAAAAGCGCGCTCTTGGCTTCCACGCTACATCAAAGTTCATTTAAGCTTGACAACTAAGTACACTGTAGCCCTAGCCCCTAGGCAAGAATAGCAAGCAGGATGGCAGCTGAGCCCGATAGTGCCGATGTGCTGCCCGTTTTCGACCTAACCGGCGTAGTTGGCAAGAAGCCTGAGGACTACACGGATGCGGATGACGAACTATGCGCGGCCATTGCCCAATGTCTCCACGCGACGGGCTGCCTCGTTGTGGGTATACGCGTTTGACAACTTTTACTGTGCGCTAAGATTCTGCAGCGCTCGTCGATCGCCATGCCTTTCGCTTTCCTGGCTTGCTTGCCTGTTGTATTTGTCATGGAATGCCTTGCCTGTCCAACCTGAGTTGGTTCCTTTTATCGTGCCTATGAACTTAACAAACACTTCCAGGCTGTATTGACGTCCGCATATCGGCCTCTTGCTGTCTCTATTACTCACTGTCTTGCGCTCCGAATCCCGTTTTCAGGTTCGCGACCCGCGTGTCCCTGCTGAACAAAACGACGTCTTTCTGGACCTGCTGGAGCGCTACTTTGGCCAACCAGTCGATCGCAAGATGGCGGACTGCCGACCCAACCTGGACTACCAGGTACGGCAAGGCCGTTCCTGCCGAGTGGGACTGCCTCGGGAGTACCACTCTCCGTACTCCTGCTTCTCGCCTCCGTAGTCGCAGACACGACCCAAATCATGCTTTGCTATTTCCCCTCGCAGGTCGGCGTCACTCCATGCGGCACGGAGGTTCCCCGCTGCCTAGTGGTGGGTACGCACAGGGTCTGTGGTGTACACAATCTAGGTTTCCCCCCGGCGAAAACTACCTAGCATTGCACCTTGGCTGCCTCCTCGTTGTCCACTTACTCCTCACCCGCTATGTAGATTCCACAGCCTTCAAAGCCCCTTTCTCTCCCATGTTCCCTCATGTTCTCCCCTCCGTTCTCCCCTTCTTTCTCCCCTCCGTTCTCCCCGCCCTCCCCGCCCCCAGGACACCCAGATGCAGGACCAGCTGAGGAAGCTCAGCGGAGCCAACCGCGCCACCGTGCCCAGCGGGCCGGGTGAGACGAGGCCGGGGTACCGGGTCCCAGAGGCGACAACGTGCAGGGGGAGGATGAGAATGAGGAAAGGCTGCCGCAGGAGGCAAAGTCGCGTTGCGCCATGCCTTGGGCTGGACCTTTCCTCTTTCACCTTCCTCGCGCCCCGCTCCTCCGTCTCCCCATTCCCCCCCTCCCCCCTTGAGCCCCTAGCCACGCCCCTGCCCGCCCGCAGACCTCAAGTGGCGCTACTTCTGGCGGGTGGGCGAGCGACCCGCGACCACCCAGTTCCCCGAGCTCAATTCGGAACCCGTCGTCCCGGCGGTGAGGGAGTGGGTTGCGGCTGGTGGACGCATGGGGGGTGCTTGGGAACAAAGCTGCAGATTGGCTCCATTCACATTTGGGAGCTGGCGGTGGCGCTTCTTCCAAGAAGGACCAGTGCGGCCCCTGCCATTCACCCTTTCCCGCCGCCACCCTGCCCCCCCTGTTGCCCGCCTGCCTCCATGCGCGCCCCAGGGTTTCCCCGAGTGGCAGCCGGTGATGGACGGGTGGGGCAGCGCACTGCTGGGGGCGGCGACATGCGTGGCGGGGCTGCTGGCGCGGGGGCTGGGGCTGGAGGGCGGGGAGCTGCAGGTGGGGGCGGGATTAGGTAAACTGAGCTGCGAAAACACTGACCCTGGTCATAGTATACCGGTCGGGTGGGGAGGAAGCAGCGGGCGGGTGATTGGGCACATGACGAGGAGGCATCAGGGGAGAGAGCTGCTTTGCCCCATGTCTCGTGTCGTACATGCGCCGGTGGGACCTGATAGGGTGGGCAGGGGGGGCTGTACCTCTCTTCGGGTATCCCGCATGCGCCCATGTCTTTCTCCTACCCCCTCTCGCTTTCCTCCCTCCCTTCCTCCCCCGCTCCCGCAGTCGCGGATGTCCCAGGGGCCGCACCTGCTGGCGCCCACCGGCTCCGATCTGGACTGCAATGGCCGCCTGGGGGCCGTGCTGGCGGGGTGAGGGCTGCAGTCTGTGCTGGGGGCGGAGGTCGTGCCGTACAGTTGTATGTGGTTGGGGCGCCAACGATGCACATACACTCTACTTGCGCTTCTTCTTCTTCTTCTGGAGTATGCCACATTTCCATTGAACACCGCGTAGGATTACCATGCCCGTGCCATGTTCTACGCGTTACATCCACCTCGCAGAACGCCCAAACTCCCTTGCTCCCCCTCCTCCTCCGCAGCTACCACTACGACCTGAACCTCCTCACGGTGCACGGCCGCAGCCGCTTCCCCGGCCTCTTCGTGTGGCTGCGCGACGGGCGCCGAGTGGCCGTACGCATCCCCGCCGGCTGCCTGCTCATGCAGGCGGGCAAGCAGCTGGAGTGGCTGACGGGCGGACACATCATGGCGGGCATGCATGAGGTGGGGGGGCATGGGGTGTGTAGGAGACGGGCATGCCGGTACACATGTGTGTACCGGCATGGCTGGGGCTTTAACTTGCTGCTGCTCCCGTCGTGTTCTAACTGTCCCAACTGATCTAACCGACCCCCACCTGCCCTGCCCCGCAACCCAGGTTGTGGTGACTGAGGCGACGCTGGCCGCTGTGGAGGCCGCCCGCGCCGCCGGCCGCAGCACCTGGCGCATCTCCTCCACCGTCTTCACGCACTGTGCCTCGGACGTCACGCTGCAGCCGCTGGGGCCCTATGCGGCGCGGGAGGGCGCCCGGGAGGCGTACCCACCCGTGAAGGCGGGGGAGCAGGTGGGTGTGAGGGCGGGAGGCTCATCAGCGCCTCTGTTGAGATTGCCGGTGCACTCTACACTGCGCGCCAAGGGTTGCTACATTTAATTATATAATGGCCTGCCTTTTGGCTCTCCTCATCCACCCCCTGCCTCTCGTTGTATGCACAGCTAGTGGGGATGTTGTCACATCGTGTCTCCCTCTGCAACACCGCCCGCAGGTGCAACGCGAGCTCGAGGCCATCTGCCTGCGCAAGGCCACGGCGAGCTGCAACGCCTCCGCCGCCGCTGCCCCCGCCGCGGCTAGCAAGCTTGAGTCCAGCAGCGGCCTGGGGGCCAGCAACGTCACCAGCAGCATCAACAGCGGCAACAACAGCAGCAGCGCTACAGGGGTGGCGATTGGGTCCAGGTAGATACAGTTGGATGGCAGGATGGATGCGTGATGGTGGGGGTGGATGTTTACCTTTCCGTAGGTTGCACGGCTGCAGACAGGCGGGCATTACCAATCTTCTGGGGCTGAGTCTGCAAAGCAGGTGTGTCGGCGTTACTCGGTAACTGAGGCGCTGGGGTGTGGCCTTGCTGCGTGTTTGTCGCGCTACTGTACACACACGTCCGGTCAAAAGAGCAACATGGAGTAGAGGTTCGCATGCTGGGCCTTGCAGGTTGCCCTCCACCATTACTGTGCTGCATGCATGTCTGGGTGCGCAGTACAGCGAGGGAAGAGCTGTTTGCAAGTGGTACTCGGTCCGCTTGTTCAGTACTTGCCACCCAACTGTACACTGTACCATTGAGGAGGAAATGGACATGTCCTTACGTGAGAATCATATCCGTGACTCGTGAATTGTCAACACTGTATTTGGAGGAATGGAATGTGTATAACATCTGCATGATGCTGCAGCCATGTCGACCTGAAGTCCTTCTATGCCCTCATCTGATCTAAGTTCCATAGACAGCGATGAACTTCACATGTGTGGCAACACTCGGAGTCTGAGCGTACAGTCGACACTCTTGGGTCCTATGGCTCAGGACCCGTGCCCTACTGCACACGGCAATGCATGCATGCGAACAACCGCCCTTCCCATTGGCATTCGCAGCAAACGGTATCAACGTATCAACCAAAGCCATCGGTGCAGGCCCAATGCTTTTCATGACAGTCTCCGCTGCATATCCAAGCCCAACTGGCCCTGCAGTGCTAAGTGTCAGGCTGCCTGCCAAGTCATCCGTCTTAGAAAGTCCTCTATGTGACAAAGGTGAATACTTTGCCTACCCCTGCTTCAATCCTATGTGCGGTTGAAGCCACAGGACATCCACCATTTCCCACCGCGTCGCTAGGCCCTCTCGCAGGCGCCTTGAACCTTGGGGTCCTCCTAGATTGCAGGCAGACCGGTCACGGGATCGAGCTGCAACGCCGACGCCAGGCGTTTAGCCCGGGTCGAGCTAGCAGAGGCACCCAAGATGTAGATCCAAGATCCCGCGTCAAGCTTTGTTGAAGCCCTGTCAGCAGCCCGGCCGCGGCTGCCGCCGTTCGGCCGGGCCGCTGCACCCACCGACTTGGAGCGGCCTTTCCCACCTCCGCTGCCGGCACCGCCGCTGCTGCGTAGGGGTGATGTGTAGCCGCCGCCACCGCCATAGGCGCCGTACATGCCGCCGCCGCCGTCGCGTCCCTCCGCAGCCATCAGCGCGCGACGGCCAGTGGCCGGCTGGGAAGCGTCGGCAGACGCCGGCGGCGGCGGTGGCGAGGGAGGCTGAGCAAGAATGGACTTGCGGCCCCAGCCTCCGCCGGGGGGCGCCGTCGCGGGAGCAGGCGGGGCTGCGGCCGCCGACAGGAAGTTGCTCCGACCGAAGCCTATTCCGCCGCCGCCGCCAGCACCGCTTGCCCCGCCGCCAGGGGTTGTATCCGCGTCCGTGAACTTGTTTAGCAGCGCGTGTCGACCCCACCCGGCTCCCACCACGCTAACCACCTGCCCTCCCGCGCCGCCGCCGCTGCCGCTGCCCCCCTCACCGGACGCGGCAGAGGGTGGTGCAGGACTCGACACCTGTTGCGCCCGCAGCGCAGACCGCCCTCCCACAATGCCGCCGCCTCCTCCCCCTGCACCAGCCGCCGCGACTGCACTCCGCCCCTGTCCCGGTAGTGCTCCCGCAGCAGACGGCGGCGTCTGAGGCACCGCTGACCCTGGCTTTCCGTCCTGCTCGCCGCCGGGCTTCTTAGCCAATGCCTCCCTCGCCTGCCGCATGATCTCCTCATACTCCTCAGCGTCCAGCTGCGACAGCCCGCCGTCGCTGTCACCATCGTCCGAGCCGCCGCCGCCGCCGCGGCCGCCATCTGCGGCGCGACCCTTGGCGCCAGGCATGCCCCGCCTGCCGTCATCGCCTTCATCGCTTCCATCGTCAACCTCCTCTTCCACGGGCTCCTCGCCGTCGTAAGCGGCATCGCCCTCCTCGCCTATTGGGTCTTCTCCCTCCTCCTCCTCCTCCCCGCCGCGCTTACGCTCCTCACCCATCTCTTCAACAGCCACTACATCCTCCGGAGCATCTGGAGCGTCCTCAACAAAGTCGCCATCCGCGCTGTACGCCTCTTCTTCACCACCGCCATCATCACCATTACCACTACCGCCTCCGCCGCCAGGTCCTACAAAACCATTGCCGTACACCGCTGCTAGTCTCCCGCCTGGCGCTGGTGGGCTGTCGTACTGCCCTCCCTCTGGATCCTGCTGCGGTTGCTGCTGACGTCGTTCCTGCTGCTGCAGTGCCTCCTCTTCCTGCGGTCTCCCACGCCCCGAGGGAGGAGCGGGCGACGCGGGCGAGGTGGCGTCGCTGTCCGTCAACTCAATGCTGTGGATCTGCGCGAAGCCGCCACCGCCGCCGGCGCCGCTGGCCACAGCCGCCAGCTGCGGCGGCCGCCGCTTCTGTTGATGTCGCCCTGTCCCCGTCGGAGAAGCAATCCCTGTCCCGCCACCGCCTGCTCCGCCGCTGGAACCACCTCCGCCTCCAGCACCACTGCCGCCGTATATCCCAACCGCCGCACGCATGCGGCTGTTGAACGATGGCGGCGCGGGCGGCGGTGCTGCCGCCGTCGCGGCGGCGGTAGCGGCAGCGAGGGCGGCTGCCGCCGCCCCCGCCGCTGGCGGCTTGGAGGCCGTGGCATGGGTATTGGCGGCTGGCGGAGGACCGCCCCAGAATATTTTCCCCTGCGGCGGCTGCCGCATCTTCAGCCGCATGCGCTCCTGCTTAGATAAGCTGATGATCTGGCTCTTAATGGCCATGATGGCCTCATCGTAGCTCAGTCGCCGAGGAGCGCCGCTGCCGCCGGCGCGCTTGCCGCCGCCAGGAGACACCTGCGAGCCGGCGGCGGCGGCGGCGGCGGCGCCGGCGCCTGCACCGCTGCCGCCGGCGCCAGGGAAAACCTGGCTGCTGAGGAGGCTGCTGCGGGAGCGACCCAGCGGCGGCGGCCCGCCGCCGGGGTTGCCGCCGCCGGCACGAGTGGGTACCAGCGGACCCCCGCTGCTGCCGCCGCCGCCGGGCGATGCGGCGGCGGGGGATCCCGTCAGCTGAAACGGCACAGGGTTGAGAGGCGTGGAGGGAGTGGAGAGGCGGAAGAAGTCCGCGCCGGCCCCAGCGCCACCGCCGCTGCCGCCGCCGCTGGCTCGAGCACCACCCCCACCCGCAGCTGCGGCGCTGCCGGCGCTTCCAATGCAGCTCCTCAAGCTGCCCACCCGCGGCGCCAGAGCCGTCGGTGTGCTGCCCACCGCCGAATCAAAGGCGGTGGTGGGCGTACCCAGCGTCAACACCATCGCACCGCCACCGCTGCCGCCGCCGCTGGAACCGTCAGGTGGCGTGCTTGCCGAGGATTGGTGCAGTTTCTGCTGCAGCTCCGCTCTGAGTGCCCGCTCCAGCTCCAGTGCCCGGCGAGTTGCCTCCAACTCCTCCGCTAGACGGGAGGCGGCGCTGTCAGCCTGGGAGGGAGGGGTCGTTGGGGTGGTTGCAGGTGGTTGCATGCGGGCGGCGGCGGGTGAGAATTGGACATGTGGTTGGGGATACACGGATACCATGTAGGGCGAGCAGCCAGACGGCATGCATGTCCCGCTGACTCCGATACCGTTACTCCCAGCTCTACATCCTCCATTCCTTCCTCCCTTGCAAGTTGCATGTTCCCTTCCTTCCCCTCTCACCCCCTCCGGCCCCGGCGTCATGGGCGCCTTGCCGCTGGTGAACTGGCTGATCATGTTCCTCAGCCGCTGGATCTCGCGCTCCTTGAGCGCCAGGATCGAGCCCACATCGCGACTCGCGTTGACGACGGGGTTGTTGGCGATGGCGCGCGCCCGGTCCGCGAAGCGCAGCGTGGAACAGGACTCCTCGAATGCGTCCACGGAGGGGGAGAGGGTGGCTAGCACGGTGGTACGGCAGTTGCCGCCCAGGGAGTCTTGAAGGAGGTGTGTGAGGCGGGAGTCGCGGTACGGCACGTGGGATCTGCGGGAGGTGGTGGTTGGGGTGGTTGGCAGGGGAGCCGATCGGCTAAGGAGGAACGGAGGAGGAAAGGAAGGCACCAAGACAGCAGCAGGGAAAGCTGATAATGAATGAAACAGGGCGCAGACAAGGCCGGGTATCCACGCACCAGGAGCGCTCCCAAACCTCCGGGGCAAGGACCTTTCCTCGCCTTTCACCCACTTGCCCCTCCCTCCCTCCCCCTCCCCCTTACCTCCGCTCCGTCAACGCCGCCACCACACTCCCCAACGCCGACAAGCTTCCATTAATCGCCGTCATCTCACTGATCCGCTCCTCCCCCATCATTCCCTCCTGCCCGCCTCCTCCGCCCCCGCCTCCTCCCTCCCAGCCCCACGCCCCAGCCGCCGTGTTCCATCTCTCACTCCCAGCCAAGTCCACAAAGTTCAGCTTGCTGCGGATCACGGTGCCGTCCGCGCCACCATGCGGCCACTGCTCGATCACCAGCTGCAGGATGGCATGGCTGCGGGAGGAGGCCTGGTTCATCTCGGTGTGTCGTACGGCACGGTTTCGGTTGCCCTTTGCGATGAGCTGGTAAACGGATTTGTACGACTTGACCTTGACGCAGAGCAGGTTGGGGACGTAGGTGAGGCCGCGCGAGTCCTCACGGACCTCCAGCAGCGCCCGCTTCTGGTTGACGTCGGCGGGGTCCCTGGGTGTGAACATACCCGTGACACAGGGCAGTGGGTCGATGTAATAACAGGTAAAGGGAGAAAAGGGCCCAACGGTCGCCACCTCGTCCTCTCCTTTCGCGGCCCAAACGCCATAACCGCTATTCCCGGTATCCCATGCGCTTTCCGCTTCCCTTCCCCCTCCTTGCGCCCCCCCGCCCCACCTGCTGCTGTACGGCTTGTACGGCTGCAGCAGGTCGTGCAGGCGGTCGTTGTAGATTTCCATGTAGCTCACAATCACCTGGGGGGTGGGGCGGGGCGGGGCGGAGGTAGCACGGTACGGGGCTGGCGTGCCGGTTCCCGCCCTGAGGATCATGGAGGCGGACGCCCCGCCCAGGAGACACCTCTCTCTCTGCCGCCCCTTCGTTCCCTGCTATACCTGCACCCCGTCCCCATCTCATTCGCTACCTCCGCCCTCAATCCCCCTACCTGTATGGCAGCCCCCTCCGAGTCCTGCTTTGCCTTAGCCTCTCGGAACAGCTCCTTCACGGCGCGCGGGATGATGCCCGGCCCGCCGCCGCCCCCGCCGCCCACCCCCGGCGCGGCGCCGTCCATGGCGGGGTCGTCCCCCATCATGGTGAAGGTCTTACCCGTGCCCGTCTGGCCGCTGCAGGGAGGGACGTGGGGCGTGGTAAAGGTGCAGGCACGGGCGTGCATGGCGGACCCTCCTGCCTTCCTTGCTTTGTCCGTGCATGCTGGAAGGCAAGCATACCCATGCGGCAAGTAGGAATCGGGCCCTTAACCTCAGCTCCCTTCCTTCAAAAACCCCGAGTCTGACTCAAATGGGTGCCACGCAGGTAAGGGGCTGCACTTGGAGGCCTTTTGGAGTGCCGGCAGAGATACTCACTAGGCAAAGATGGTGCTATTGTAGCCGGCTAGCGCCAGCGGCACGCAGTCGCGGACTTTCTCGTACACCTCAGCCTGCGCTGACTCCTCCCCAAACACGTGGTGATAGCGGCCGCTAAACTCCTGCGCGTCGTTGTAGACTTTGACGTCGTACGGCGGTCGTACTTCCACGCCGCTGTCGAACATCAGCTCGCGGGGCAGTGGAGGTCGCACACGCACCAGCACCTGCACGCCGGAGCCTGCTGGCACCCCGACTGCGCTGTGGTGGCTGCTGCTGTTGCGCGCTGTGGGCGGCATGTTGATGCTGGGACGCCCGACGTGCTAAGGCAACCTGTAGCCCAGAGTAAAGCCCTAGCTGATCGATTGTCAGGTGTGGGGTCTATAGCCGCTAGGGCAGTCAGGGTTAGGAACTGCCGCGGAGCGATGAAACGACGCTCAATGGGCGCGCGCCGTGAGGCTGGGACGCACGTCCGCGTGTTGAATAATTCAACCAAGTTGAAGCTTATCCGTGCTCTGTGCCGTCGGGTTGACCACACGGACCAAGTTGGTGCTGGCTCGAATGCGTCTGATGCCAAAGCTTGCCTGTCAACCTTCTGATGTCCCTAATACCTACTGGGTCAAACGAAAACATCATTTCTTGCTTTCGGCAGCTGACCCAACACCGTCCTTAGTATATTACTCGTCATGTGCAAAAGGCTTCCATTGAGCAACAAACAATCAGGAGCAATGCAACTAAGAGTTAATGACAAGAACATATAGCGCAATTATAATTCACAAGCAAGTGAGACTCTAAAATTTCCTTCGAGGCCGAAGCTGTGCGCGTGACAACCGCGTACATGATATGTAAGTGATCAATCCAGGTATAAGTGGTTGTAATCTAACTTAACAGTGAATGCTTGAAAAACACGCTTGCTAGAAGCGCTCCGGTCTGTGTGTACGGATGGCCGGTTTCTTGAATAACCTTGCGATACCTTGCGCCAAGCCCACGCTGCTCCTCACCTTCCCCTTCTGCCCCAAAGCCCAAGCCCAATTGCTCCATTCCTTCCTTTGCCCAAGCAGCCCATGAAGGCTTTGCATTGGCACAGCCATGCACTCTGCAAAACACCTGCATTTCGCAGCTAGGGTCGAGGACTAGCCTGGCATTTCCCCCCCACTCCCGCACCACAACATTCCGGCAATAGTAACAAGAGGATGGGGATGACAGGTGCAAAGGTTCGCATGTAGCATGACCGCATGACGCCAGGAGGCACCAGGGAAGCACATATCCGAATCGGCACGGTGACAATTACGATGTTGCACAGTCTTACAGTGCACACTTGACCAAGCTGGCCATGCACTTCCACCCTACAACGTCCATCCATGCATGCGACGCCGCCTCTACTCATTGTATCAAACCCAAGCACGCCTGTGGGTGCTTGTACGGGCACGTACGGGGTCTCTGTGTTGCGTGCAACTGAACCTCATGCCAAAAGTGGACCACCGCTTCACCAACCGTATCCACCACAGAACCACCCAACCGAGGCGCGCATGCCAAGGCAGGTGCGGGCGCCCAGGGCTGCATCCCAAGGAAGGTCGGCTACCCACCCCAAAACCTGTCGTATCCGCATGCGGTCGGCTATCCACCCAAAAGCCTGTCGTATGTACGTCCACTTCTTAGGCCCTTTATATACTCTTATATAACCCAATGCTATATACCTTGGACTGCAACACACGTCCACGCGGCCCATTCATAGTATTGACTCCTGCGCATGCTTGGGCAGACGCAGAACTATTACGGTACGCCCAGTAAGCAGTGGGTTAGGAATTGGAAGAGCACTGTGACCGCCAATACCGGTAGACAATGCAAAGCTACAAATCGGCGCACAGTGAAAAACATGCCGTACAACTGCCGTGTAGCTAGCGGTGCCTGGCGTCCAAAATAAGATACATAGGCAAGGAGGAATTGAGCAGCAATGCTTGTGTCAAACCCTCGGCTAACTTGGCAATGTACGGAGCGTATATCTAGTCGTGCATGCAAGCAGTCATCTTCATCCCCATTGCAGCCCGTGCACACCTGTAATCCATAACGCTGCCGGTTGCTGCAGCAATGGTAGACAGGTAATCCGTCAAACCAAGTGTCCAGATACATTGCCCTGGCATCCAACACGTCGGCTCCAGCAGCCCAGTTTTGCTCCAGATAGGACTAAAAGCGTCCGCCCATTCATGCTATCTATGGTACCCACAGCAGTATCACATTCAAATGGCACGCTTGCACTGGCTTACGCCCCATTTACGCGTGCGCCTTCATACATGCAAGCAGCAGGCCCCTCTGCTCATGCAGGGGTTGGAGGTGGTTTTCGCTTTGACGGTAGTTTAATTTCGTCCTTCCTGTCTCCAGCCCCTAAACACAAGAAGGAAAAGCCCATTGAGTTCCTGGACGTTGCTTCAGCCACTAGTAAAGCAGCTTCAGGTGCCGTACAATAATGATCTACACTAGCAGGTAGACACCCCCAAGCAATGCCCCCAGCAGGCATGCAGGTGCAAGATCCTTTACTAACACAAGCATGTACACCTTTGCTTGCCGAAAGAAACCATAAATATGCACTACGCAACAACAGTTGCTTCTTATTGAGTGGACATGAATAAGAACAATTAAGGAACACAACAGTTTCCCCGCTATTCCTCAAGACACAGGACATATCACTTCAGCGTTTTAGCAGCCCCTTTGTCACTTGGCGTTCCGTACTCAAACCGTAAGGCCACTTTGTTAACCACGCACTACTGTGCATCCTCAGGCTTGTTCAGCATCTTTGTCCATCCCTCGAGTGCATTCTGATCTTGCCACGTCAACGAATGCCGTACCAACGGCTGCGGCGGGGTTGACGACGACGGCTCTGGTGACAACCTAACCCTGCTGTTGTTACTACTCTCGGCCTTATTCGCAGTGTCCGCTCCCCGATTCGCTCCTTGAGTAGCATTGACTTTATTGGCACCAACTTTACTCGCACTGCTGTTGTTGCTGGTGCTGGCGCTGCTGCTGCTGCTCGGGGCTGCGGCAGCAGCAACCTCACTTGGTCGCTTTGGGCTTGTGGCAGCGGCGTTCTCCGGAGCCACAGGGGTCGCGGTGACGGCTGTAGAAGTCGAGACGAAACTGGATTCCGGAGAGTAAAACGGCGGAGGGAACTTGCTTAGCAGCCGCTGCTGCAGCGATTGCTGCGTCAGCAGCTGCCTGTTGCTGCTGCTAGGCCCCTGCTGCTGTTGCCCGGCGGCATCCTGCGTTTGGATTTCTGTGTTCTGGCGTTGCAAGCTCACCGATGGTCGTAGCTGTTGCTGTTCCGGTTGCCGCGGAGGCTGCTCTTCCGCAACCACCTGCCGGCGAAAACTCTCTTGCGGTTGCGGCGGTTTGTCGTACGACAACTGTCGTGTAGTGGATCGAGACAGCAGCTGCTTCTGCGAATGCTGCGGCTGCAGCCTACTGCCCTGCTGCCCCAACTCTGCCCCTGGCCCTTCTTCCAGCCAAGCGCGACTGGCCTGACTGCGGAAGCGTTGACTCCTCTGCCGTGACAGCTGCTCGAGCAACTCCCGTGGCGTCGGCGTCGGCGACGGCGGCTGGTCCTGCAGCTGTAGCACCACTTGCTTCGTGGACGGCGCACGCAGGGAGGGCGGCATGATGTCCTGAATGCGGCTGTGCGCTTTCCAAAGCCTGGGCGGGGCTAAGGAGCGTTGGGGCGAAACAGGCGGTGCAGCCTCAAGGGCAGCCGGTGATCCGGGGGTCATGCTGGGGCTTGCGCCCGTAAGGCCCCGACGCAGCGGCGGCATGCCGAGGATGGTCCCAGGGCCTGATGGCTCGATGGCCGGCGGCCCTAGATGCTGTTCTTCATCGGTGCCGCCGCCGTCAGCACCGCCGGCGCTTCTCCTTCCAGCCAGGAAGCCGGGAAGCAGCAGGGCGCTGAGCCGCCGAGGCTCACGTTTGGCGGCTGCTGGCGCCGCCGCACCACCAGCAGCACCAGCAGCACCCTTAGAAGCAGCCACATTCGCTTCCAAGGCCGCTATCGCGTCTTTGAGGCTGGTCATTGAGCCCCTGGTGACTGACGCTCGCGTCGGTATGGCCAGCATGCTTCCTCGCGTGCCCTCCACCTTCCCGTCTGCGCCCTCGCCTGCCGCCGCTGCTTGTCCTTCTTCTACCAGGCCAAGCCCCTTCAAGGTCACCGTCCATGTGGATGCGGGTGCGGACCTTGCCCCCACGCCGCCCAGCGTGCGTTTGGGCAGGGGCGGCAGGCCGGCGTCCTGCATGAAGGGCAGCCCCAGAACTTTGTGGGAGATGCGGGTCCAGGGGCTCAGCCGCGGCTGGGCGCCTTCGCCTCCGCCTCCCTCCAACATGCCCAGCTCGGTATAGGTGCGGGCGTAGGCGCGAGCGAGGCACCTGTGCGGGAAAGAGAGGCGGCGCGCAGCAGAGGGCGGGGCCGAGGGTGGGGATGCATGGTGAGGCAAGATGAAATGAGGCAGGGAAGCGGAGGGCTGGGATGCGGGTGCCGGCGTTGCCGGAACGTATATGGTTAGTGCCGGATCCCAGCCGGCCGGAGCATGTCGTATGTAGCTTTCATTCCACCAAGCAGTCAGACGGTAAAACCCAGACGCGTGCACGCACGGCCCCCTTGCTCACCACTTGAGGTTCTCCACCGTGCCCGTGACGAACGCCACCACAATGCCCGCGATCAGGAACACGAAGGCGCCCACCATCTGCTGCACACCCAGCCGGCTGTTATCAAGTGTCGAGCTGGCGGTGCTGCACTGGCTCATGCCGTCGAACCAGGCACGACGCAGCGTGGTAAGTGTTCCGTCCTCAGCAAAGCGCTGAAGGTAGGGGTGAGAAGGGTGAGGGCAGACGAGGAGAGGGGCGTGAAGGCGGGTAAAGAGGAAACAACTAACTAGCTGTGTGCAAGTGCGTCACCCTGGTTTGCAACATGTGAGCCGGCGTGCGTAGCGGTTCAGTGCAGGGGTTAGAGAGACACCTAACGAATTGAGTAACCACTGCGCACCTGAATGGCCGCGTTAAATAGAGGAAGGAGCGTCGAGTTCTTCTGCAAGCCAAGCACCAGGTTTCCTGCGGGATGCATCGCGTCATAACAACAAGCAGCATGGAAGCAGCATGGGGGGAATTATTGGCAACATGTGACGGCATCCCACAACCTGCAGAAGAGAAGGCATACACTTTAAAGCACGCAGGCTACAATCCCTTAGGCCGCATTCCTCCTGCCCACAGCGGACAGGCAATGGCACAGTACTAAGTCGAATGAAAGACCTGTCACCCCAGTTGTCACCCCAGTTACCACCCCAGTTGCCACCCCAGTTACCACCCCAGTTGCCACCCCAGTTACCACCCCAGTTGCCACCCCAGTTACCACCCCAGTTGCCACCCCAGTTGCCACCCCAGTTGCCACCCCAGCATAAGGTCATCCTTACATCCTGTCTCCCCACGGCTCCTCTGTCTTCCGCACGCCGTTCCCCGCTCCCTGCTCACCTGGTCCGAACGGGTCCCCCACCACTGCCAGGTCGCATGGCTGCTGCTGCGCCAGGTACGCCAACGCGGGCTGGTCGCTCACGAAGCCGGCGATCGCACCCGAGCGAAGCCAGGACACACAGGTAGCGGAGTCGCAGTAGCGGATGTTGGGCTGCAGCTGCGTGGCAATGGTATCATGGCTGCTGGCGAAGTAGGCTGCGGTGGAACCATTAGGGTTGACGCCGAGCTTAAGGTTTCCGTGAATGAGGTCCTGTGCGGCGGGGAGGGGAAAGGGAAGTCGGGCTCATGTGCAGAGCTGCAGGCATGCTGGCGGCACTTTGGGTGTGGAGGCAAACGTCTGTGGGCAGTACGGGCGTCGTGAGCATGCCTTCTTGCATGCATGCGTGCAAAAGTGTGGCGCAGGGTGTATAGGATGGAAACCTGCGCCCCTGCCGCACAAATGGCTACAGCTTTGTGCTTAGCCAGCAACGCTTGGGCTGCAACAACAGCTCTATCTGCTTATCACGACGCAGTGTCAGGATGTCGGCTGTCGAGGCCCCATCAGGTGTTTCTCAGGTAACTTACTGTCAGTCCTGCGATGCCCTGCTCCGCTCTCCGTACGGCCAGGAACGAGGTGAGGTTGGCGGTGTAGGCGGACAGCACGATGAGGCAGAAGAAGCAGTACATGACGTACAACACCTGCGAACATGGGGCGTATACCTGTAGCTAAGGGGAGGACGCTGGCATTCTCTTGGCCATCGGTGATACCGGACGCGCACTTGCCTGTACTCCCCAGCTGGATCGTTCTGGCCGCTCTGGCGCCCCGGCAGCAGCCATGAAGCTTATAAGTACGTGGCTGCGTTCATCTGCCAGTCGCTCATGCATGGGGGTGTATGTAGGCGGTTAAGACTAAATCAGTGAGGCGGAAAAGGAAGTTGACAGTTTGGAGGTTTGCGCACTGATCATCTGCATGTTTGAAGTACCGGTACGCGGCTACAGTAAAGCGGTGAAGGTTAGAGAAAGGACAGTAAATTGTTACCTCGTCTCGCTCTTGCTGCTGCTTTGTCCGATATCACGCCCGTCTCCCTCAGCGCCTCCGTCTGTTTTGCACGGATCCATCTGCCGTACGCATCTAGTGCCCAAAAGACGAGAGCCACGCCAACAACCGTACATAGAAGCGTCATCCACAGGGAGAGCTTGAAAGGAGCGAGCACCGATAGAGCGCCGGGTCCTTTCTCCTCGTCCCTGTGTTCATTATATATGGTTCGTTCAGGGCGTAGCGAAGGTAAAGGAACTTAGAGATACATAGCGAGGTAGCATTCCTTTAACTCTGCTGATTGGACCCTGCATGAACGGCCTGGGCACTTTCCAGGTTCCCAAGAGCCCACATGCATCGTTGCATTCGCCCGTGACCCAGCAAGCTAATATGATTTCCTTGCCCCAGCCCCCGGCTCACCTGACAAGCAATGATAAGCCTTGGTCGAGGTAGGAATACGTGCAGTCGATGGCGGTCAGGCGAGACGCCGTTCTAGTGAGAGGGAAGAGTGCGACATCGGCACGGTCTTTTACCAATTCTCCTATGACACCTGCAGTGAAAGGGTGAAAATATGAGCCGCATTCAGTTTAGTGCAATATAGAAGCAGAGGCTGCAGGATTGTAAAACCAAATGCGAACCGACTCGTATCTATCCGCCGCTGCCTGCAACCTACCGCTCCAACCAGCGCTAGAGAGCGTCCCTCCAGCATTCGTTGGAGATTGGTAGGCATCATATTGATATGTAACATTGCCACTGGCCAGTATCTTTTCTAGGAGGTCTATCAACAAGCCATAATAGGTTCGGCCAGACAAGTTATCCGCGAAGACGAACGGCGGTCTATGCGCCACAACGACACGAAGGCGAGTTGACATTGCTGTTGGCGGATATGTTGCTGTAATCTCTTGTCGTCTCCTGAGAGCAGACGCCTCGTGACGTTGTTCGTTGATAAGTACCGGTAGCCCATCCAGTGGCTACGTTTCTGCGATCATAGGGTAAGTTGCAATGGCTTAACTTGTACATGTTTGCTGTATACCGGTACTGAACGAGTACGAGAAAGTCAGTATTGCGCTCTTGCGCTGCTTGACTGGGAACACTGGGAGATATGACTGGGAGGTTTCAAGCCTACCGCCTAAAAACTATGTATCCCAACCAGCTTGACGGGAATTGTGTATTCGTTATGCAGCTCTGCGCTGCGAGGTACATGTATCGCGAATGCAGGTTTCACGACAAACATACAAATCCCATCTTTTTCAAGCATTTGTTTACCGGTATGCTGCCGATAGGTAAATGTTGTAATTCGGGCGCAAGGCCGTGCGTTGTTGTGCAGTATCCCCACAGCCGCAAGTTGCAGTGTTGCAGTTAAAACGACTGTTGCCAGAAACTGTTTGCCACCATCCCCCTATTGCGGATACACAGCAGGATCTATAAAAGGTGTGCCGCTGCCCTTGACTGCTTTTGATGCTGGCAGGTTTGCATTAGGGCTGGTCGTCCTGCGATCAACAGTCAACACTATTGCATACGAGGCCTTCATTATTTTAACTCACTTTACGCTTGAAGAAGGATAGGTAGTTGCAGCCCGACAGACGCGCTATAAGTGGTAACCGTTCGCATGAACTTTTATTGATCCGGCTTTCTTGAACTCGAGCTTGGAATTATAAATCAGTCACACCAAGCTCATCCATAATAGCCGCTTTGGACTTCTCGTCAGCATCGGAAAGTTTAACCTGTCCTTTGGCAGAGACCAGGAACCCAAACCAAGCCTTGACAATCTTAAGAATGGCTTTCAAAAGAGTTCATGTTATAGGCATTGCCTCGTAAAACGGTATCACAGGGCAAGAACTCTTCTATGTCGTACACGGCAACTTACCAAGGCCAAGGGGGATTGGCACAGCAATACCGTCATGACTCCTTTCCCTGAGGTTCTACTCCTTCATTGCATATTAGGTTCTAATTTGAGGCTCCCGTATGCCGTTGCCCCAGGTTACATTTAGAAGTACAGAGGAAGCAAGAATATGGCTACCACTGCGTACAGAGTTTATCCTAATGAACCAGTATTTCTCGGGTGGCTTTGACTATTTTGGCCTCTACTAACAGCTAGAGACGCCGTTATCCTTACCTTGGTCCTATGAACCGTCTTATACCTCCTTACTGGGCTTCCATTAACGGTAACTGCGATGACTTCAGACGCGCTTAGAGTTGTTGCCGCACACAGGCCGCCCTTCGTCTTTGCTATTAATAGCACCGATGGCCGAATTAACTTTTCTGGAATGCTGGTCGACTTACTTCAAAAGATTTTGTTGGACGGCAACAGTACACTTCAATACAACTTTTATTTATCGCCAACCAACGCCGGCGGGTCTTCCACAGGAGGTGCGTGGAATGGTGAGTTGCCGAACAACACCATTCCTTGGTAGTAATCGACATTGACGGCTGTTAGGTTCAGTGGGATGCTCTTACCAACATCTGCAGGCGTGGTCGGTGAGCTTGCTGCCAACCGTGCCGATGTGGCGCTGTTTCCGCTAACGAGAACAGCAGCTCGCCTTGAGGTCATTGATTGCACCTTCTCATACTTGGACCAAGGACTCTCACTGCTCGTAAAGTGAGAACGGGGTGCGGTTACTGTACCCCTGTAAGGGTTCATGGGGGTGCTTGCAGCTAGAGGCTCCAATGCAGCCTGCGGACGGGAATCAGTGCATCTCTCCCTTATGGGCTGTGGCTCCATCCCTCTTTAACTCCTTACGTACCTACCACACAGGAATGCCGTGGATGGCCCCGGGCCGCTGTCAGTGCTGGCTCCCTTTCGAATGACGCTGTGGGTCACACTGCTGTGCACCGTCATTGGTGTAGCGCTCATCTTTTGGGGCCTAGACGTGTACGGCAGATGGATCCGGACGAAGCAGATGGAGGCGCTCAGAGAGTCGGGGCTCATATCGGACACAGCGGTGGCCAAATTCAATGGAGGTATACCGTTCTGGTTGCGGTTGAGGGTAGGGAAGATGAAGGGACGCGGCGGACGACGGGCTGGCTGGCCGGCTCCAAACCAAAAGCAAGGTGCTACAACTGTACTCTGCCATCCCCTGCTATGCAGAGGCACGCAGCCACGTGCTGACCAGCTTCATGGCGGTCGCGGGGGCGCCGGAGCGGCCGGAACGCTCCAGTTGGGGCGTGCAGGCAAGTGGAAACATCGACTAACTGGGGTGGACGCGGTCGTGATGGGGCTTGGTGGCTTTCTTCCGGAGCGTGGGCCCAGCGCGGCTTTGCAGCTTCCGCCTGCCTTGCGTTGCGACCTTGACTCAGGGCGTCCGTCCACCAGTGTCACTCTGTCATAGACAACTTTCATCCCTGTTTCCCAAGGCATGGCAGCACATGCCAGCCGGGCCGACTTGCTCCTCAGTCGTCAGTGTTGACGACTTTCGGCCTACCTTGAGCTTCTAGCCCGCTAGAACGCCATAATCGAGCTGCATAGCCAGCATTCCAATACAACTAATGCGGTTACCGCATACCCACCGTTGCATGCCCGTACATGCCACCCTGTCTACATGTATGCCGCCCCACCTCCCAGGTGCTGTACGTGGTGTACTGCTTCTTCTGCCTCATCGTGCTGTCCGCCTACACCGCCAACCTCACATCCTTCCTAGCCGTGCAAAGAGCAAGCTCAGGCGTGTCAGGGCTGCAGGTGGGTGCGGCTGCAGCAGCCAGCCAGCCAGTTTTGCGGAATCGGTTTCAGCAGGCGTGTGCCAGTATGCAGGGCAGGGAATTAGGCAATGCATGAGGAATAAAAACTCCTTCCTATACATATGGGCTTCTGAGCCCGTGTACTGTGAGCCAAGGTGACGCGTGACCCACCTAAGTGTGTGCCTTCCTCACGCGCATCCTTCCCTGCCGGCACCCATCGCCCTCCTCCAGGACCTTGTTCGCGGTAATCTGCAGCTCGGCGTCAACCCCAGCGGCTCCACGGCCGCCTACTTTTCCAACAGTCGTGACACGCTGGCAATGCAGCTGCAGCCCAACATCCGCTACTGCGACTCCGCTACCTGTGTGTCCTGGCTTCGCTCGGGTGCGATCGCCGGCTTCGTGAGCGACCAGCCCGCGTTGGCGTACCTGGCGCAGCAGCAGCCATGCGACCTGGCAGTGGTGGGGGACCCGTTCGGACCAGGTGAGCAGGGAGCGGGGTGGGGGATGGGGCCGCTGGGCGCAGGCCTGGCCTGGCCAGCCTGTGCTCGGCGTGGGGGGCCGTATTGTTCAGATTGGTGGCTGTGGTTCACGCCCGCGACACGCCATAAGGCCTGCTTGTGTTAATGGATACAAGATTAAAACAACCCGGTCGGAGAACGTGAGTGAGTTCTTGGGGCAGAGGCAGTCGGGTTCGGGAGCGGCGGACCGCCACAAGGTTTGTTGCAGTGTAGTGGCCACACCGATGCCATGGCGGGAGGGACGATGAGGCAGAAGGGCCGGTGCTCATTATTTACCCAGTCACGTTTTGTACCCCCGTTCGTTGGATGCGTCCTATACAGGCAACCTGGTACTTGGCCTACAAAAAGGCTCCCCGCTTCTTGACATGTTCAACAAAGCATTACAGGTAGGAGACAGCGTAAAATGGAAGGTGCTTTACAGTCGTACTAGGACGGCCCAGAATCCAGGGATCTGCTTTTCTGGTGCCACCATTGTCACAAACCTACAGCGTCAAAACTGTCTTCTGCTCCAGCTTTCAACTTGTTCTGTCAGTCACACGTGCGGCACCTAGGCTGCACCTACTCGCGGCACCTGTGCACCCTCCTCACACCCACCCTGACCTCTCTTTCTTACCTCACCGTCACCCACTCAGCGCTTTTCTGAGGACGGCACGCTTACAGCGCTGCGTCGCGCCTGGTTCGACGGCCTGAGCCAGTGCGACTCGACTGGCTTGCAGCTGGACAACAGCCAACTGGACGTGGGGCACATGCTGGGGGCGTTCGTGTTTCTGCTGATGGGCGTGGTGGCGGCGTTCGTTACCGGCACTGTGGAAAACCTCAAGTGGTGAGTAAACAAGGGTGTGCAGATGCATACCGTATGCATGGCCGATATGAATGAAGCAAATTTGTTCCAATGCTTATCTGTTTAACTAACCTGGTTTCAGCTTAGTGCATGTGCACTCATGTTTGTAACACCCACCGTGCTGCTGCCCTGATCTCAGGTGTCTGGCTCGGGCCTACAAGCACCAGGTGCGGTTCAAGAGTCCGAAAGCAGCAAATTTGATCCTTGATCCTTATTAGTTGGGCTAGTAACCAGCAAACAGGTGGAAGCTCAGAGGTAAATAGCGGCAAATCCTTCTCTGCACTGCAGAGACCAGAAGTAGCATAGCAGGGATAGCACAGTAGGCACAATGCTGACGCTTTCCTGCACAGGAGGTATTTAGCGCCTTGGACCGCGAAGGGCCTGTCGGTGCTTTATGCTGCACACAATGCCTGCTACCTCCACTCCAACGGGTATCAGTTCTCAACCTCCGCAGGACCGCCAGGAATCTGGAGCTGCGGACACTGGGGGGCCTTTAAAGCACCGCTCAAGCATGTGGGGCCGCCTGATGGCTGCCGTACAAGCTGACGTACAAAGAGCTGTGGCGGAGGAGTTCGTTGAAGATGCCACGGCCGCTGGCGGAGAAATCGCGCACCGGTCAACGTGGCCCACGGGGCTGCGCTACGATGGCGTGGGCCCCAATGTCAGCGTATACACTGCCAGTGGTGCAGGCAGGGGTTCTGGTGTCCATGGTGCCAGCGGCTGTGCCGTAACTAATAACAGTAGCTATGGTTCCATCGCCGGCGGGGGCAATATCAGCCAGGGCGGCACTGCATTCGCTGGAGTTGCCAAGGCCTTGTTGACCGCAGCTGCTGCCTCTGCTGGAGATGCGGCTTCTGGAGCCGTACCCTCTGTGTCTACAACAGATGGGCCAGAGCTGGCAGGAGATGGCGGCAGCAATGGCCAGTGGAAGCGCGCTGGTTGCCCGACAGGGCCGATGTGTACGGCACCCATCAAGCAGCACATGGTAAGTCAGCAGCCGGGAGGGCTGCTGCAGGAGGACTGGAGGCTGCAGGATGTCGTGCACCACAGCTCCCCAGTGGAACAGCTGTCGCCATCGTCATCGCCGTCACTACCCCGTAGCTTCCGACCAGCCTCCTCGAGCTTCAAGCGCAACAGCAACAGTGTTGTGCCCCGTCTGCTACTGCCGCCGGCAGAACCAGCATCGCTGGCCCTGCAGCCAATTTCACCTCCTGTGCAACGTCGAATGGAGGTATTGCTTTCAGTTGGACAGGATGAGGGCGGGACTGAGGAGACCATTGTCTCGTCGGCACAGCCGCTGACAAAACTCAAACAACAAGCCCCGGGTGATTCATCGCCCAGCTTGGACAAGCAGTTTCGCAGGAAATGGCCTGTAGAGGACTCAACGGCTGGAGCTGCTGCCCCGGGCTCGCTCTCAACAGTGGCAAGATGAGTCGGCAAAATGAACGAATTGATAACTCAATCTGCCTTGCATATTTGCCAGGCTGGTGCTGGCCACTTTTGTGCATATCATGGAGAGTTTGAAATGCGTGAGGAAAAGTGAGTCCGTACACTAATAGTGGGAGCATGTGAGCCCGATGTGTCGGTGACGTATGCCGTCGTCTGCATGTGGCAGTTGGTTCCCGTACTTGTTGGGGGCGGGTTTCAACATGTATCTACATGTCGTTTGCATTAATGTTTATGGGACATTCTATGTTATTGTGTTGACAAATGACTGTGACTATTCGCCTGTGTTTGTCCTAGCCTTAATGCGGTGCGTGCCATATGCCTTTTTCGTCTGAGAACAAAATAAAGATTGCAGCATTACGCTGAAGAGCCCATGCATGTGGCATTATTCTTGGTTTGCTAAGCAGTCAGTGGTATGGTCGCTTGGGCTGCTTTTGTAGGAATTAGGGACAACTATGTGCTCTGAACTGTGCTCCGGGCTAGAGAGGCGCGTTAGAGATATACCACGAATGTACCAGCCTGAAAAGGTTGGTAGGGTCGTGTCGACACCACTTACACGGCGTGGGCATTGCCGCGCTCTTCTTTCGAAGCTGCCTTGTTTCGGTGTACACAGGCCGAGTACAAAGATATGCTGTACAGCCTGGTTCATTTGTGCCGGGCCGGAAGCTTAGCCAGGTCCTCATCGATGTCTCCGAAGAGCGGGTAACCCGGGTGTAAACGCTAGCGGCTGGGCACCGAGACTTTCCTTAAGGCCACCCAAATTTTGAAATTGTAGGCAACGGTTCAGCCGTTCACAAAGCATTGTGTCGGACGATTACTCAGCCGTGCCTCCAGAAGAGGTGAGCGCGCTTCGGTCTCGCCTCCTGCTGACTGACGCCCATCACCCACGCCTACTCCTGCGATGGCATGCAATCGGACACTCCATACCCCCCTGGTTCTGTCCCTACCTACATGCATCCAGCTCCAAGCACCTCCATACCGTGTCTCTGTGTGCCAACTCACATCATACGGCCTTGATGTTGTGCCAGAGATCCGCGTCCCCCCACACGGAAGCCGTCTCCCTACCTCCCATTCTCTATGCGCCAATACTTGCCCCTCTATATACCAAACACCCCGACCCATTTCAAACCCCCAGCCCGAATGGCTTACCAAGATGGCTGCACGAACGAAAGGCCGCGACACCGCTGCCAGCATTGGCACAGCCTCATCACCCCGTGATCCCCGCCGCAAGCCCCGCCGAAGCTCCATGACTCCTATAAGCACTGCCGGCAGGAGCAGCGCCCTCGCCGGCTCGGCAACAGCAGTGGCGGGGCCTAACCTGGGTAGGGCCTCAGCCGTGATCTTTCCGTCCCCGCTCCGCAGCAGCGTCAGCGCCTTCAACCTGGCAGCTGCGGCTGCTGCAGCAGACGAAGCCGGCAGCAACAACAGCAGTGCACTGTCACCGCGCGCATTAGACGCCATGGCAGCGGCTCGGGGATCAGCGCAGGATGCCCTGTACGACAGGTTTGTGTTAGCTGGTATGACACCGGTGTCGTGCAGGGGGCAAGAAGAGGAATTTGGGGGCTGCTTGGCCACCACCATCACCAACGTGATCAAGCGGCCACGTGCCCTAACCGGCCTTCGTTACGGCAACATCATGCAGTAGTGCATTAGCACTTGGAAGGCATCTTCGTTTTCGTTCTTTCCGCATCCTTCCCTCGGCGTGCCTCTTGCCCGTTGGCTTCCTTGTCCCATATCTCTCTCCGTTGTTCTTGTCCTCTGTCCTTATCCCCCCCGTCGGCGGGCTCAACCAGGTTCGGCACGTTTGAGGGTCTGTCAGCTGCGGTGGACGACTTCTACCACCGCCTCTGCAGCGACCCACGAGTGGGGCCGGCCATACAGGAGGTCAGGCATCCGGGGGACCCGTGGGACACTTGCCTGCTGACAGTGAGCGAGCCGCTCTAGCTACGGGGCATGCCAGCTCGTGCAGTAATGCTGTATGTGAATTTCGATTATCAGCGAATCGGCAGATACCACACTAGCTGCAGTCCGCGGCCCAGCTGGCTCCACCCCACACCAGTCGGGATATGGGATTGGGACTCGTTGTTTCACATATTTAATTTTTTCCCACACCAGCACCTGCCCTGCTTCTGTTTAAGTGCGCCATCTAGCACCGCAACGCCCAGTGATATACTGTCACTGTCACTGCACCCAACACACGCATTCCATGCTGCTGTCTTCCTGCTTCACAGGTTCCGGAGCCGGCTGTGCGCCAGGTAATGATGCAAATTATGGCCATGTCGTTGCAGCAGCGACAAGAGGAGGCGGTGGGGAGCGGGGGAGGAGGCGGGGAGCTGCAGGTGGTGAAAAGCGGGGACGCAGAGGAGGAGCAGGGAGGAGAGGAAGCAGCTGCAGGCGGGGCGGGAGGAGGAGGTGTGAAAGCGCACTACCCGGGAAAGGTAGGAGCGGCGGGCAATGGGATAGGGTAAAGGGAAATGCGTGGAGGAAGGAAGGAGGAGGTGTCGAGTTTTGCGTTGTAGGATAGCAATGGGACGTGGATGCATAATGACTTCTTTCTCAGAGCCGGCGTGTACGGCATATTATTAATCCTCCTTGCCAACCGAAATTCAGGATACATTGTTGGACGGTGAGCTAGGCGGCAGCGTCATTTCTTGTCCCGAATTCGCAGCATCCCAACATGGCCATGACGCGATTGTTGTTCAAATCCTCCTCCACCACCCCATGTCGCTGCCGCTACACTGCTGCGCCCACGACCCCAGGACCGGCACGTGTGGATGCAGAGGTGCCGTGCGCTGCTGCGGGACGCCGGAGCTGCCTCCCCTGTCCTCCACGACCCCTGCACCTGCCACCGGAGCATCGCCTGCCCCTGCACCGGGGGCGAGCGCGAGGAAGTAGAGGAAGGCAACCCCGTTCCGCTGCTGAAAGACCCGGATATGGACCCAAACCTGGATCGCAACGCTTCTGACCTGATCACGGCCAATAGCAAGCAAGGAGGAGCAGGAGCTGCAGGAGCCGAGAAAGGAAAGGGAGCAGGGGCTGAAGACGCCCTTATCAGTGGTAAGGAAGAGGTCCCGGGGGAGGAGAAGCCCCTCAGAATCGGTGAGTTTTCATACAACTTGTACGACGATGCGGTGTACCATGCCGTTATGGACGCCATGGCTGCAACGCTGGAGGGGCTGGGGGCCGCGGAGCGAGGAGGCGCGGATGGCGGAGATGCGGAAATGGAGGAGGGGGGAGCACACGCCGGAGGCAGCAGCGATGGCGAGGAGGAGGAAGGAGAGGGAGTGGAGGGGGTCTGGCAGCAGCTGCGACGTGGCTACTGCAGCTGCGTGGGGTATGATGCAGGCAGGTTGGTAAGTGGTGCGGACGGTGGCGTCGCTGGCAGCGGCAGTGGTGTTGTGTCAGAGCCACTGCTTTGGAAGCTGTGAAACGGCTTGACGTCGCAAGCCGCGCGCTTCACAGCTTCCTGAAGTGTTGAGAGGGAGGACGAGAGGTTGGATAAGCCAAGCTGCCTGCATTCGGAGGAGAGGAGAGGGTGGGTGTAAGTCGAATTGAGGCCTTTGTGAGGTGTGCGTAGTTGGGCCTGTCATCTAAGGCTGTTAAGTTTGCTCCTGTGGTTTTGTCCTGTGGGGTTAAACAGAAAGATATTGCAGGGTAGGCAGTATTTTAAAAACATGTAAACTGAGCTATGATCGTATGACTTGTGTGCATTGGAGTATCGGTGTGTTTTTGTTGCTGTTGGTGATTTGTCACTTGGTGCTTTGGAGTTGTTTTTCAGCTGTAGTAGATGTGGCGCTGCTCCACTGGCATGGCGAGGAGTGTGAGAGGCAGGCAGGCGGTTTAGTGCATGGGTGTGGGAGCAATAGCAAGGTGCAAGTCGTGCTGTCATCGCGATCGTGCTCACTGTAGTGGCCTGGGGACGAGGCGCGCAGCTCGGCGCCCAGCTTGCGAATCCTTGGAACCCTTCCGGCAAGGATGGACATGCATTCTCTAGGAGCTGTTGACTGCTTAGCCTTTTGTTGGAATGCGCTTCCCAATGCGCTTTGCTGTCTGTGCTCACATCATATAATTGTCTGGGTTTCTATGGTCGAGTGAAGATGCTGCGGTGTTGATGGGGCTGGACTGCTGCGGGAACAGGGCCTTCCGCCGTGCAGAACAGGGCAGCCGGCAGCAGCAGGGCTGTGGGGAGCTGTGATCATGTGCCTAACCTTTGAAAGCCCCTATGCTGCCGTACCCTTACCCTGATCGTTGCCTCTCCCACTCTTGATCAGGGAGACAGCTACTGCTTCCCTTTTTGGTGATGGATGCTTCCTCGCAGCCACTCGCCATGCAGGCATAGAACCAATAATCACAATGTACTTTCGGCAGCGCGTGTGTTTTAGGTGCTTGTTCACTTGCTGGTGGTGGCGGTGCACTGGCGCCCTCCGGGACAGTGTGTTCCCTGAAATTGACGCGCTACTCTCTGTCCTAGGTAGTGTATTGGTTGCTTATGCCATCACGTTCTCGTGAGGATTTAGTTGGTTGAACGTTGATATCGTTTCCATGTTAAGGTTATTATTTTGGGAATAATACACCTTGTAGGGCTCTCCTTGTCCTAAAGCCCTCATCACCTTCTGCGGGCTGCTAAGTCATGGTGCAAAATGTTGTGTGGGATTGTTTTCGTTGGGTTCGTTTGGCGCTGGGAGTTGTGCAGTGTATTCCCCGGGAGATGCACGACGTGTATAGTGGGGGGTGGGCGACCATTCCAGCTTTCCCTGCTACGGTAGGTGATGGTATTAGCTGTCTGTAGTAGCTCTGTATGTTGGTTTACTTCGGGGTCCTTGGCTTCTGCGCTTTTCACAGGTCATTTTCATAGTTGTCTGGCCGGTTGCTGATGCCCCACACCTACCAATGATGCCGGAATTACCACAGCCCTATGGTTCTTATCACCTTAGGTTACAGTTCCCCGAATTTCCGTAGCTAACAATAAGCAATTTGTCCCCCTGTACGTACGTACGCTAGGTGTCATTTCAACTTTGGTGTTTGGTTTGTATCCGTTCACGTTCCATTACGTGGTTGTTTGTTTGGCAGCGGTTAACGTTATGTGCTTTGCTTTGCAATGGACAACGCCAGCGCAGGTGCCATCAGCAGGCACTTGGCTGGGTGTGGGTCACGGCTGCAGCGCCCGGGTAGCCATCCTATCTGCTGCAGTGATTGCTCCCCTCAGCCGTACAGGTGCCTTTCCCGCATAGCTAGCTTCGGTATGGCTTGGAGCTTTGCATGCATGGTGGACCGGGATTTGGTGCTGGGTCCCGCCTACTGTACCTATGCGCGCTACTTTCTGGTGCAGCTCTTTGTGACTATGTGCGTGCGTGCGTGAGGAGCAGTGGTGCTGCGGGGGTGCCGGAGGGGCTGCGGGGAGCATGGCGGCGCGCGAACGTGCGTGTGTGTGTTTTGCTGGGCAGCTTAAGTTGTGTGGTTAACCACCTTGTGTCGTAGCCATGTGTACAGCTGCTTTTGTTGCAGCATATACACTTTGTATCCCAAATAAGTGTTTCCAGTGTATAGTGCTGTTAGCTGGTGTGATTCAATGGCAGGGCCTCCTCTTTACCATCGGCATTTGTCATTAGAAAGGTGTCTGGCACTGATGTTAATAGTAAAGGAGAAAGCCGGCTGGCTTAACACATGCCAGGTATGAATAATTGCTTCCATGCCGTAGGTATTACGTTAAACAGTGTGGGCCCGGTTCGAAGGGCCCTAGCAACTGGCTTTATCTCTCCAGGTGCCCGCTTTCCGGCCGTCTCTTAATTGGCCTAGCGTATGGGTCAGCACGGCAGCCATGGCTGTACATCATTAATTGAATAGGAGAATTCAGCTGGTTATACACAACAATACATGGGTGTATGTGTGGCGGTAATCCAAGTGCTGGGCTCGTACATTACAGACGTTCATGTAAGCCTGCGGTATGATAATGCTACCGCCTCCTCTCGTTGTCCCGACCTCCTCCATTCTTACGTAAAGCATGCATCCCCCTGTTGAGGTGTGGGCGCCCAACACACACAGCTCCGGTGCCGTCATGTTGGCCTCTTCTGGACCATGCAGTTGCCCTCTTACGTGTTCCTAAACCAACTAGGGAAAGAAGCCACACTTATGTTTAAAAAACGCCAGGTGGCAGGCAGATTTACCATCTGCTGCCATTTGGGTGTGTGCCTGCAACAACCTGCACGATCCTGTCCCTGCTGCATGGGACAACCGCCATGGGCCTGCGGACCAGTCATGCGGACCAAATCCATGGGAAACAGTGACCAGCACCACACAACCACCACTATACCACACACAACTCAGCTGCAGTGCTTACTAATGCTTGGTGCTCCAATGCTCGCTTCCTTTCCGCATACAACAAATGCTGTAGCAGCAGCTGCTGCTGCACTTTGCGTCCTCTTCCTCCTCCTCCTTCCCGACTACCACGCTCCTCCTCCTCACGCGCTGAAGCCAAGCTGCCGGTCAATGATGCGCACCATGGCGCGTGCATCACCCTTGTTGTACGGCAACAGGCGACTGGCGTCAAACTGCCGTACAGCCTCAAGCAGGTCATCCGGCGTTGCACTCACCTAGAAGGGGCAGTGGCGAGGGGAGAGGGTGTCCTTGAAAGCTACTGATACTACGTGGTGCTATGTCGTGTCTTGTGCAGTAGTGGGGGCGAGAGGAAGTGGGGAAGGGGAGGAACCCCGGCGGGCTACGTACAATGCATGGGGGCTGCACTGGAGCCGAGGACAAAGCCACTGACAGGTCAGAAGAGAGCTGAGGTGCAGACGTATGAGGGCGTCATGCAGCAGCAGTTGCTGCTACTGCTGTAGCTGCTGCCAAGCTCCGGAGCGCGCATAGAGGGAGAGGGGCAGCCCCTCTCCATGCCGGCCTGCTGATCCACCCAATCCGGTCAACCAGCGAACTGACCTATAACAGTCCAGTGAGCGACCCAATGACCTACGGCACACGTGCAGCATTTCCCTTCCTATGACCACGGTCAGTGTTTCCTTGCGGCTCAGTCTACACAATTCCCTCCCCATCAAAGTATGCTTTTCCCCTTTCTTTTCCCTAACCACCTCCCTTCCCCCGCCCATGGTGGAGCCTTGCCACACGGCCAGTCAGCTGCTTCCCCAGGTGCGTCCATCCCTCCCCCCCTCACCAGGTGCCCCATGCCCGCCAGCTGCTCCCCCAGCTCCACCTGGTGGTTGTCCATCAGCAGCGGGTTGGGGACCACAACCAGCGGCACGCCCGCGGTGAGGGTCTCGAAGATGGAGCCGGAGCCTGGGAGGAGGGGGCAGGTGGGGGCAGGAATGAGCAGGTAGGGTGGTTGTGCTGGTTGTGCTTTGCTGTTGGCCTAACCGGGCTGTTGGGAAGCATGCGCATGCTAGAGGGGTGGCAGCTGCTGTTAGGAAAGGAAGGAGTGCTGCTGCAGTGCACAGCTGTTCGTTGTAATTTGCAGCCGCTGGTGTTGTTGATATGACTCGGCATGGCTATTTGTGTGGAGGGAAGGTCGCGGTACTTTTGTGTGCTAGCAGGGTTGTGTAGTTGCTACCTGCATGGCTGATGACCAGCGCCGCTGAGGTAATGTAGCTGGCCAGGGAGGGGGAGTAATCGAAGTATCTGGAGCCAGGAGTGAGGCAGGGGAGAATCGGACAAGGGTGGGGGGAGGTTAGGTTTCAGGTTTGCCTCACGTCGGGGGCCGACCTGGGAAGCAGACTGTGGCCAGGCGCAAGAGTGAAGTGGTAAGGACAGAGCAAAAATGTTGCCAGGATGGGGGTATTGGAATGCAGCTGGGGTTGCAGCTAAGATGAAGTGCAGTGCTTGATGGAAGGGCTGGGGACTGCCGGGGTAACTTACTCAACATCAATGCCTTCTGTTCGGGCCTTCGTCTGACCCTTTGGAACTACTTTTGTTGGACAGTATACTCCATTTCCCTTCTGAATGATAAGCCTAGTGTAGCCCTTGTCACGGAGGATGTGCAGCAGCTCGATCGAGTCCACGCGCCTGCGACAAGTTAACTATTACGCCACGAAGGTGACCGCAAAGCCTGAAGTGAATGAGGATAAGTACTTACTCTACGAGGGCTTCGAATTTAGTAGTGCCCACGGTCACAAAAACTATTCGCTCGGTCGGGGCCATTGCATATTATCGCTTACAACCTAAACAGAACAGGCTTTGGCCTTTCATGAGATAGGTATTCACGGCTGCGGGTGTCAGGGTCTACTACCAATTATGCAAGCAGCAACACCGCGAACGGCAAGAAACCACAGGGAAAGCTCGGCTCAGGCTTCACAAGATAGATCATTTACCACTGAACGTTGACTACAGTTACATACCGAGAAGCAAGGCAATCTGCGGGGAGGCCGGGGACCAACCGTAGTATTACGACACGTGCATTCGTGACCCTTTCGTCTCACCTCATTGCGACCTTTGGATGATTAGTAGCATAGATCAATGCGCCAGGCGCAAGCCTGACTTCCATTGGCTGCAGCCTCTTTCCTTGTCATGTTCAGCCGAGTCCATTCAACCCTAGCTCGCCGCACCCGCTGCGCCTTGCATTCCCACTTCCTATCAACCAACCTAGCCAGGTTACCATCTGTCTCCGAGCGCCCTGCCGCGCTGCCCCTCATTGCCCAAGCCATCCGGCCCAGCTCGAGCTTCCCAGCTGCTCGCGGCCCAACCGCTTTCCAGCGCCCCCTTTCCTCCGCTCGCCTTCTTGCCTCCCATCCCGCCTCCACCTCCTCAGCCCATTCCCAGCAGCTCCAGCCCTTCAGCAGCAGCACCGCCCCAGCCACGCCCGCCCCCGCTCCCACTGCTGCTCCATCCCTCGACATGTCGGCAGTCGTGAAGGACCACTCCAGTCAGAGTAACTTTCATGAGCTTCGTGTCGTCCACAGCTCTTACGGTAGGGTGGGGGTGCAGGGTGGGAGGCTCGGCTGGGGAAAAGCTTGATCACGATGATGCGTAGATCTTATATGGCTTGCTGATATCTTTTTTTATGCAATACCTCGTCTTACAGAGTTATAGTACAGGTAACCCTCTCCTCCCATCCCCTCCTTTCCGACGTGCCACTCTGCGCTGTCCTGCCCCGCTGCTGCTGTGGTTTCAGAGCTGGATGTCGACTTCGAGCGGCGAGTGCTGGAGGGCTATGTGGAGGTGTGTGTGTATGGGGGGGGAGAGCGGGGAGGGGGGAGGCGTGCGTTGGGAGCCGTGCATGGGGAGGAGGGAAGCCGGTACACCGCTCTTGCTACCTTGATCCCATCCTACCCCCCCCCCACCACCACCACCACCTATTAATCGTCTCTCCCCAGTCTGCGTGTCTTACCCGCTCACATGCTCCCGGCTTATACGAACCGGCACCCACATCGCCTCCTCCCTCTTTCTCCATCACCTCCTCCCATCACCCCCTGCCCCCCCAGCTGGACGCAGTAGCCCAGGTGCCCGCCCCCTCCCAGCTGGTGCTCGACACCCGCGACCTATCCATCACCGCCGTGCACCTGCTGCCACTGCCACTGCCGGGGGAGCAGCAGGGGCAGGAGCAGGGCCACCCGGCAGCTGACCCGGTGCCGCTGGAGTTCAATCTGGGGGAGCGGCACAAGGTGGGGGGCGGAGGGGTGGGGTGGGTGGGCGCTGGGGGTGGCGCTGACGTGGCCACGAAGAAGGGGAATGGACACTGAGGGGCTGTGGGCTTCACCCCCACCATGGGGGGGGGGTGCATACATGGTAGCCGGCCCATGCCGCCCTGCCTGGGAGGAGGGCAGGAGGGGGCTGGCTGCTAGGGGGGAGGTGCTGGGCCCCGCTCTGCCGCAAGCCAGCTGCGGTCGCACAGCCGTACACGCACGCTATTGCCGCCCCGCCCACCTGCCGCCCACTCGGGGGCAGCGGCCGCAGCCATCATCCCAACCACGCGCAGAGCCCACGTCCCCCGGCCACCCGCCACCCGCCACCTTCCCCAACCCGCACCACCCTCTTTCGCCACCCCTACCCCTGCCCCACCACAGGTCCTGGGCTCGCCGCTGGTCATCCGCCTGCCTCCCGCGCTGGCCCCCTCCCTGCAGCAGCCCGGCGGGCGGGTGCGGGTGGCGCTGCGCTTCGCCACCTGCCCCTCCTCCTCCGCGCTGCAGTGGCTAAGTCCGCAGCAGACTGCGGGCGGCAGCCACCCCTACCTGTTCACGCAGTGCCAGGCCATCCATGCGCGCGCACTGGTGCCGTGCCAGGTGCGGGCGGGGGGTGGGGGTGGGGGTGGTGCTGAACACGACGTGGGGTGTCAGGCGGACTGGTTTGTGTGCGTGTCTAAGGAGTGTATCCGCTTGCGCCGCTTTCTTTCCAACCCCATCCTTCACTTATACACACACGCCACCCCTCTCCGCCCCCCACCCCACTCACCCCAGGACTCCCCGGGTGCCAAGATGTCGTACGATGCGGTGGTGCGGGTGCCGTACCCGCTGACCGCCCTCATGAGCGCCGTACCGCGGGAGGAGGCGGGGCAGGGGCAGGGGCAGGGGGAGCAGCCGGGTAGGTTTGGGTGAGATGGGGGGGATGTTTGGGTCCGCTGTGGCTGCCAAGTGTATTTGCCCCTGGTTGCCTTCTTCACGGCGCTTCCTGCAGCCCTGTCTTGTCTTCCTTCCTTCTTATGTCCTTCTTCCTTCCTTCCCTTGCCGATTGTGTTTGCAACCCTCCGCGCTCGTACCGCACCCCGGCACGCCATTACCGTCGTGCGCTGGTTGTGCAACCTTCCCCCCCTTAACCCACACTCGTTCCCCTCCCCCCTGCTCCCCCCCACCACCAACAGATGTCCCCCACCTGGCATCCGTACAGCACCCCTACCCCACCCGCACCTTCGCCTTCATGCAAAAGGTACGGCATGAGCTTCCCGCCGGAGCGGTATGCTGGGTTACCTTGTACCTCCCTCCCTCCCTTCCCCTACGCCTCGCTCCTCTCCACCGTGCTTCCTCCCCCTTTTAGGTGGGAAAACTGCTTCCCTCTATCCCCATTGCTTTGCCCTAACCTGCGGCTTTGGTGAATCTGCCACCCGCTTAGGTCCCCATCGCCCCCTACCTGGTTGCTCTGGCGGTGGGGGAGCTGGAGAGTCGCGAGCTGGGCCCCCGCACGCGAGTGTGGAGCGAGCCCAGCATGGTGGAGGCGGGGGCGCACGAGTTCGCGGATACGGGGAGCTACCTGGAAGCAGGTGGGGGGCGGGGGGTGGTGGGGAAAAAGAAATTCCAAGGTGTGGGTGGTGGGGGGGAAGGGCTGGGGAGGCGGAAGGTGTATCGCGGGGGAGGCCGCGGGTATCTGAATAATGGCTCTGCATACATGTGCAGAGCTTTCGGGCCTACCGTAATCACGCCCTCCCCTCCCGGCCCCCGGCCACTGCCCGTGCTGCCCGTGCTGCCGTACAGGCGAGGCAATCGCGGGGGAGTACGTGTGGGGGCGGTACGACCTGCTGCTGCTGCCGCCCTCCTTCCCGTACGGAGGAATGGTACGGCAGGGGCGGAGGTGTAGGGGGAAGAAGGGAGGGGCGTGGGGGCTGTGTGCTTTGGAATGAGCGTGTGGCCACATGTAGCCAAATGCGATCCCTGCTTTTCGGGGTTTGCTGATTAGCTAAGCCCCCACCCACCTCGCCTACGGCCCTTCGTATCCTCTTTACCTTCTTCCCCGCCCCGCCCCGCCCTCTCCCACCCCCCGCAGGAGAACCCCTGTCTGACCTTCGTCACCCCCACCCTGCTGGCCGGGGACAGGTGGGGGCCGCTGCTGGGGGGGGTGCTAGAAGCGGGGCGCAGGGTTAGGGGGTGTAGGGGCATGGGCTTGGGTGTAGGCTTGGCGGGGCTTACCAATGCAAGGTGCACACCAAGGACTCCAGCGAGCATGGGCTTCTTCTCCTGCTCCCTTCTCCCCCTTCGTTTTTGTCCACCAGCCCCTTCCCGCTTGCCCATTGGCACACAACACATAGGGTATTCTTCTTTCTCCCCCTCCCCCGCTCCCCGCCGCAGGTCCCTCACCAATGTGGTGGCGCACGAGATCGCGCACAGCTGGACCGGCAACCTGGTCACCAACGCGTCCTGGGAGCACTTCTGGCTCAACGAGGGTGAGGCCGGCGTGGGGATCGGGGCAGGTTCCTGCGCTCATCCACCATTAGGGTACCTCATCACATCTGCATTCCTCGCCCTCCCCACCTGGATGTCGTCCTTCTTCCCTCTCCCTCTCCCTTCCAACCCCGCCTCCTCTCCCCACTACCTCCCCACCCCCCCAAAAGGCTTCACGGTGTTCCTGGAGCGCAAGATCGTGGGGCGGCTGCGCGGACCCGCCGCCTTCCACTTCCACGCCGCACAGGGCGCCCTCACGCTGGAGGCGGAGCTGGCGCGGCTGGGGCCCGACCACCCGCACACCGCGCTGGTGCCCGACCTGAGCGGCGGGGTGGACCCTGACGACGTGTTCAGCAGCATCCCGTGAGAGGGGGGGGGGGCGGGGGGGGGAAGGGGCAGGGAGGGGAGGGAAGGGGGAGGGTATGGGGCATATAATGGTTGCGGCTTAGTGGTGGAGTGGCCTGGCCGGCAAGGTACGTGTGAGAGCTTCCTTCCAGATGACAAGCCAACCAGCTGGAGATGCGATTGCCTTCTTGCAGGGCACCCCGTTGGTGCGGCGGCGAGAGCTTTTTGACATTCCCCAGCCCTGACCTGCATCCCCCCTATATCCATCCCTGCTGCCCCCCCCTCCCGCTCCCACATACACACCTAGCTACGAGAAGGGCTTCTACTTCCTCTTCTACTTGCAGGTGTGGCTGGCTCCCGGTGTGGGCTCCCCGGTGTGGGTAGCGCGGGGGTTGGGGTCTAAGAGGCCTGCTGCGTCGCCATGAAGCCGCGCTGCTGCCATCGCCTCACCCATTCCCTTCCTCGCCTCCCAACCGCCTTCCTTCCAACCGCCTCCCTTCCAACCGCCTCCCCTTCCCCCTGCTGCCCAGGAGCTGGTGGGCGGGCCGGAGGTGTTCGACCCCTTCCTGTCCGCCTACATCTCCGCTCACCGCCACCGCACCCTCACCAGCGGGCAGTTCCGCGACTTCTTCCTAAACTACTTCAAAGACGTGAGGGGTGCAGTTGGTGGGGGGGAGCGGGTGCAGCAGACGGCACAGAGCCTGTTGTGCAAAGTCAGTAACCGTTTAACACCTTCAAGGATAGGTTGAGGCAGGGCAGGGCCGGACAAGGGGGGGGTTCCCCAGCCGCTGCCCTGCCGAACCCGCGCCCTCCGTCTCCCCGCCTCCTCCGCACCCCTCCCTCCTTCACCCTCCCCCTTCCCCCCAGGTCCCCGCCTCCCGCACCGTGGACTGGGACACCTGGCTGTACGCCCCCGGCCCCCCGCCCGCCACCAACACGTACGACACCTCGCTGGCGCAGGCGGCGTACGACCTGGCTAGCAAGTGGCACACATGCGATGTGATTGGCCTCGGAAGTGAGCAGCAAGGGGGGTTGGGGGTGGGGAGAGACAGGGGCACCCGCGGGCGATGCATGTGCGTGTGAGTGTGTGCGCATGTGCGCGTGCCTACATGTGTGTACCGGCATGCATGCAAATGGATGCATTTCATGGATGCAGATGCTCATGTATTTTTACCCCTGCTGCATGTGTGCGCATGTGCGCGTGCGTGCACGTGCACCTACATCATCCAGGTGCGCATCCAGGTGCCTGCCTGTGTAGATGGGTGCCGTGCTGCCTGAGCACCCCCAGCTACATGCGTCAGGGAGAGGGTCCTCAATAGCTTGATGTGAAAGCGCAAGTCACCTAATGTTTATTTTTTATAAGGGCGCTTTATTGGGACCAACGCATCCCTCCCAACCCGCACCCCCTCCCACCCCTCGACCAGGCGACGGCCCTCCCGGCGCCTCCCCCGCCGACGTGTCCGGCTGGTCCTCTGAGCAGCTGGTTGCCTTCCTGAAGCGGCTGGGGCAGCTGAGGGCGCCGCAGCCCATGCACAAGCGTACGACAGCCAGGCTGGCGGAGCTGTACGGCATCTACGAATCCAAGAACACCGAGATCCGGTGTGTTGGATGGGTTGGCTTGAGGATCAGCAGCGCAAATGAGCACAGACTCACAGCTGTCCTATAGATGGGAATGAACCCCTTGATGTGACTTTACAACTTAACCCTCATACCCTTTTTACCCTCATTATTAACCCCATCGCTCCACTCCCAACCAGTTTCGCGTTCTTCAAGCTCGCCATTCCCGCCAAGGACGAGGCCGCCATGTCCGCAGCCTCCGACATGCTGCGGTCGCAGGGCCGCATGAAGTTCTTGCGCCCGCTCTACCGCGCCCTGTTTAGCCAGGGCGGACCCGTGGGTCGGCAGCTGGCGCTGGACACCTTCGCGGCGGCGGGCGCCTCCTACCACCCCATTGCGCAGAAGATGGTGGCGGCGGACCTTGGGCTGTGAAATGGGGGGAGAAGGTGTAGGGCTGTGAACGAAGTGGCTGTTGGGGGTGGTGCGGGGTTGAGGAGCGAGTGGTGGGGTTTAGGGGGAGGCGCTTGGTTAGGAGTGCTGGGCGGCGTGCTTGTTGTGCCATGCAAGGCAACGTGCGGTTACACGCATGAAGGTGATGTCAATGGCTCCGTTGATTGCGAGGCGTCCGCCGGGCCGAGACATACACTAGATGGGGGAAGTGGTGTCGTGGGGAATATATATATAGCGGTGTGTTTACGGCAGAGTGTGTCAGAGGATCTGAACAACTGAACGTTTCCCGCTTACCCTTGGTTATCAGTGGAATACGCTGTGCGGAGAGGGCTTGGTGCCAAAGGGGATATAAGGTGTTGGTAGTACTGCAGTGGATGGTGGGTGAGTGCTGATACAGAGTCATGCTATGTGGATTTCTTGGCTGTAAACTAAGCTTTTATGTGTCCTTATGTAACTAAGGACAAGAGCAATGTGTGCAATGTGTAGCGGCTAGCAGCCAAAGTCAATAATGCGTGGCTGAGCAATTGTATGCCAATGCATGCCATGCACATGCTGGGGCGCATGCTGGGTGCTTGCTGGGCCCATGCTGGGTGTATGCTATCTAGGCGCATGCTGGGGCGCATGCTGGGTGGATGCTGAGCACGTGCTGCTGGGCGCATGCTGGGCACATGACGCATGGTTCATGTACACCCCGTATAAGGGTAGTAAAGGCATGGCAATGCCTTGCTTTGCAGTACAGATACGATAGGCGGTTACATGGTTGTGCATCACTTATACAACATGTACGGAAGCATACCGTCTCGCGCATTATGTTTGCCTCTCAGCTTCAGGGCCTCACAACAACAACAGACTAAATGTTTGCCCTTAATGGGTGAACTTTAGCAGTAGTACACCGACGGAGTTTTCAAAGGTACACATGTCGCTTCCCCATCCATTTCAGCTATAGCAACACCGCCCGAGCAGCATAGAGCAGGCACGAGGAGACCCAACCGTGTCCATCATCAACAAATGCATCCTCTCGTTCCATACACCCACCTAGAAGGCAGGCAGGCCATGCAGCCGTGCCGCTGTGCGGCTGTGTATGTACCGTGTACACGAACCCTCCCTCTACGTACCTAGCGTATCTTCCGTACAACCTGCACAACTACCACCTCCCCTACGTCTTCACGGCAGGTACGGCAGGAACTGCATCCTCAGCTTCACCTCACCACCCCGTGCACCTCGCCCCTGCAGCCGCACCCACCCCTCCACACACCCCGCCGACAGCACCCGCAGTCCCACTCCCTCCTCCTGCTGCTTCTCCTCGCCCTCACCATCCTCTGGCTGCACCGCGATGGGTGCCGGTGCCCTTGCTGCTGCCCGCATGTCACCGCCGGTAGAGGTTGTGCCAACAGTTGCTGCCGGAGCCGCCGGGCTGCTACCAGGTGTAGTTGCGGGTGCAGGTGCAGCTGCAGGCAGCTGCAGCAGGCAGGCCAGCGGTAGCACGGCTGAGCCCAGCCGCTGGTCGGGGCGGAACCAGCGCCGGTGCCACACCTGGGGAATCATGGCGGCGAGGGGGAGGGGAAGTAAGGGATATGGGGGAGAGGGGAGGTGTGTGTTCAGGCTTTCCGGAGGGTTATCGATATCACTGGACAGGAGGGAAACAGCAGGCGGTGGCGGACTAGCGGGAAGCTGCGAATAGGGCTTCCAGTGACTTCCTCACATAGGTAACCCAGGCAGCTTCAACAGCTCCACTCCGCCGCTCCCTCACCTTGATCCTCAGCTCGCTGCCCTCAGCCGCCGGCGTCACCTCATCCACCTCCGCATGCAGTCCGAAGCTGGGAGCCACGCTGGCGGGAACCGGAGAGCCGCGCTGACGGTACGGCGACCCGCCGCCGCCTGCCGTACCGCCACCGCCGCTGCCGGCGGCAACAGCCATGAACTCAGCATCCGCTGGCGTCGCCGCCGCCGGCGGCGGCGGCCGCCGTACTTCAATTTCCACGTACGGATCGCACTGAATGCGACCGTGTCGGTCGCGCGGTACGGCAGTGGCGACATCGACACCTGCGGGCGCCAGGTCGGCGGCGGCGCCGACGGCCCTGGCGGCGGCGGGGTTGCTGTGCAGTGATCCCCCCGGGTGGTGGGTGGCGGAACCGAAAGTTAGCGGCGCGTCGGAGGCGATGATGCTGGCGGCGGCGAGCATGGCTGGGCTGCTAGCGGCGGCGGCGGTGGCAGGCGGTGGTTGCGACGACGGCACCTGGCTGGTGGTGGTGGTGGGTGCGTCCTCGCTGCCGCCGCTGCTGCTGCTTGTCTCATCATCGCTGTAATCCTCCTCACCCTCGTCCTCGTCATCAGAAGAGACTTCTTCCCTGCCGCGTCCTGCAGTACTAGCACTGACGTCGGTGCTACCAGCACCAGCAGCAGCACCCGCAGCCTGCTGCACCACTCGGCCCATCATGTGTCGTCCCTGCAGGATGTCAATCAGCAGCAACCCGCGTACGGCAGGCAGCCTCCCTGCCGTACGACCTGCCGCCGCCGCCGCCGCTGACGACGTCAGCACTGCCGCCAGGCGCTCCGACAGCACCTCCGCCGACAAGTACGACATGCACACCAGCAGCGCGCCGCCTCCGCCGCTGACAAATTCCGACGGCTGCGGCGGCGGTGGTAGCGGCCAAGGCAGCGACGCGGTCTTGTGCGTTATACCATCGTACGGCTCTGTCGTACCCTCGGCGCCGCTGCTGCCGCCGCCTCCGCTGCCGCTGGTGGGGGGTGCCGCCATGCCGCCGGGCGCCAGCGGGGCTGCGCAGGGGCGACGTGTTACGTGCAGCGGATCGGGAAATTCGGTGACAACAGTCGTCAGGTCATAGTCAGTTGGGGCTCAGGATGAAGAGAAGGAGAGATTGACCAACACCGTTACCAAATACCATTCAGTGTGCCGGAACACACCGAGCACCTAGGAAGTGCCCGCCCTCCCGCCCCACCTCCCCTTCGCCCCCTACCTGCCCACACCACCGCCCGCCCAGCCGCTCCTCCTCCTCCTCCTCCGCCGCCGCCGCCACCAATCCCGCCGCCTCCCTCCACCTGCAGCCGCCCTGCCACCGTGCCATGATGTACGACACCTCCTGCTGCTGCCGTACCTCCTCCTGCCGTAACTGCCGTACCTCCTTGGCCGTGTCGTACCTCCCCCGCCCCCACCATGGGCAGCGCCGAGGCGAGCAGGAGCCCCTCGTCCTCAGCGTCCACACCCTCCAGTGGGCCCAGCTGGGGGGAGGGGGGCGATAGGGGGCAGTGCGGAGGGGGCAGTGCGGAGGGGGCAGTGCGGAGGGGGGAAAGGAGTAGGAACGCAGGCCGGTGAGGGGAAGAGGGGATAGGAAACTCCTTCGCTGCGCACCCTGTCGTCGCTTTCCATCTGCGACAACAACCGAGCACCTTCGCCCCAGACCCTACCCAGAGTGCCCTGCCGAGGGCAATCCATGTCCCAACCCCAGCCATCCATGTCCGCGGTTCCGTCCTCCACTGCAAGACCGTCACACCTCCCGCAACACACTCCCACCCCGGAATCCAGACCCGGAATCAGTCACGCCGTTCCCCTTTCTCTCACCAGAGTCCCCACGGGGTTATCTCCCGGCCCCGCTCCTCCCCCCGCCGCTGCTGCCACCACCCTGCTCAGCGGCAGCCATGCGGCCACCTCCGACCCCGGAGCAGCCGCCAGGGGCCCCAGCGGCAGGGCAACACGCGCGCGGAGCAGCTTGTTGTGCGGCCCGGCAGCTGCTGCTGAGGCGGCTGAGGGGGATTGGGATGGGGAGGAGGAGGAGGAGGAGGAGGAGGAGGAGGAGGAGGAGGAGGGGGCGGAGGCGGCGCCGTGCTGCACGCCTCGGACCAGCTGGCCGGGGGAGGTGAGCAGCTCCTGGAGGCGGAGGGGAGAGGGCGATAAAGGGGTGGTGGCGGTGGCAGTGATAGCGGTGTTGGGAAGGAATAAGGGAGGACAAGCGTTGTGTCACTTCCTCCCGCTCTGCCTCCCACCCAACCCCACCTTGCCCCCTCCCTCCCTCCCTTCCACCCGCTCCCCCTCCCTCCCTCCCTCCCTCGCCTCACCCCCCAGCTGGCCGGCTGCACCTCTAGCAGCCTCAACCGCAGCACCTCACTCAGCGGCTCCCTAACCGCCAACTGACACAACCAACCACCACCACCAGCAGCACTAGCCGCAGTAGCAGCAGCACCACCGCCGCCTCCGCCCTGACGACGACCGCCAGCAGTAGCAGCAGCAGCAGCACTGGGCTCCTCCTCCTCCTCGAGCCAGGAGCAGCGGAGGACGCTGGGACGGGGAGAGGAGGAGGCGGCGGTGGTGGTGGTGGTGATTGTGGTGGTGCGTGAAGCTGTGGTGACGGTGGCGGGCGGGGAGGTGAGGCGGCGTGAGGGCCATGTGAAGGCCTCAACCTGCGACCGGGTAGAGTGAGTGGGGAGTGGGGAGGAGTGGGGAGGAGTGGGGTGGAGTGGAGGAGCGGAGGAGAGGAAAACGGCCATGAGAGGATAGGCGCGGGCAACAGTGCCCGAACGAACCTTGCAGCACCGGTCAATACCGCATCGCGGCAACTCTCCAAGCCGAAACTTCACACCGCATGCGGCTCCCATCCCCTCCTTCGCCGTCCCGCCGAAAACACTACCACCCACCTTCCCCTTTCCTCCTCTCACCCTGGCCCCTCTCCACCTCTCACCCCACCCCCTCGCTTCCCTCCTCACCTGCGCCTGCGCCCCGCCCCTCAGCCCCGCCACCCCCTCCGCCGCCCCCACCCGCACCGCCAGCAGCCCCCGCGTGCGCAGCTGCAGCAGCGACAGCGGCCCCGGCAGCCGCTCGGGCGGCAGCACCGGCAGCACCAGCCGCTGCGGCCACACCTGGGGGCAGGGGGGGGGGAGAGGGGAGCGGAGGAGCCAGGAGGAGGAGGAAACTTTACGAGGAGGTGAGGAGGAGGAGGAAAATCGGGATTTGAGGAGTGTCAAAGTGCATGGACCGGCGTGCATACACAGCACGGCAGGCCAAGCCCCACCATGACAAAACCAACCCGGACTCCTGCGCTTATAAACACAACATGTCAGGTCCCCTCCCCCTGCCTTCCCCCCCCACCCCCCCTCCCTCACCAGCGCCCCCGCCAGCCCCTCCTGCACCAGCGGCTGCAGGAAGGCGGCCAGCGGCCCCGCCAGCCCCCCCGCACCGCCCAGCGTGGGGCCCAGGTCGAAGGAGAAGGCAAGCTGGGGAGGGGTGGGAAGGGGAGAGGGAAGGAGAGAGGAAGGGGGGTAAACACAGCAGCATGCAGCAACTGACACAGCGAGCGAGCGAGCACGCATGTGAATGCGTAGCTTCAAAAAACACGTTTACAAGTTACAACCCAAGCAGTGTTTAGCACAAGCCTGTCAGCTCATCGAAGAGCCCAGCAGCCACCTCA